AAAAAAAAATTTAATTAAATTGACTAAATTATAAAATGCTCTGATTAAAATTATGGCACGTGTCGTTTTAGGGTCGCTGTTGACCCGGTTAGATTAAAAATCAATAATTAGAGCAAAAACTGAAATCATATGTGCACTGTCAGTCAGATCCTCTTCCAATCATGTGAGATTTTGGAAATTCTCATTTTGCCTGGTTATACCTGCACAAAAACAACGTCGGGCATGTCCAGACATGAGAGATCAATTCAGTATAGATGTCTGAGTGAGGGGTAAACTGACAAAGAAAGGCCCAGAGGCTGACAATAAAAAATATTATAAGCAATATTTTTATGGATATTGCAGCCTAACAAGGTCACCTAGAGATGAGAACCACATTGGATGATAGAGAATTGTTTTTAGTGTAATTTGAGGCTGATTTAAGCAAAGCAAACACAGGAGGAAGGTTATAAAAGCTATATTCTCTGAATTGTCAGTCTTATTCCTGTAAGTTTACAGATTTTTCATTCAACATAATCAGCTGATTTAGTCATCTTAAATCTAAGAGATAATGTGATGTTAAATGCTCAGAGAAATGTCCAAAAGTCTATGTAACATCAGCTTTTATAGTTCCGTTTGCCACAGGGATCCTTTACACGACATGTGGGACGTGTTGCTGATTTGGGGTTTGACCTCCTGACCTCTCGTCTCTCTCAGGAGACTGTCAGTCACATCAGTGGGCTGTCCGCTCCAGCAGAGGATTAATGTGTTCACATTGGCTGGTCAGACTTTGTTTAAATCCCCGGGAGTTTTTAAAGGGAGGCCTCCCAGCTTAGGAAAGACCTACCTGTCCCATCAAGCAAAACGCAGCTTATCGTGAACTTTCTGTTTTCATTAAACAGACAGTAACAATGTGTTTCATCAGGCTGAAACACTCAAAGCAAAGCAGAGACGGAGGATTGGGGGTGGAGTTGTATCTCACATGTCTTTACAGTGTTTATATTACTGGGAGTGACAACCTGCAAAGTACAGAGCTTTAAAGGATACCAGATTTATTGTAGCGGGAATAAATCTGCCAGCCGGAAAACATAAAGACTACTGTGTGTCAGTGAGTAAGAGTGTGTGTGTGTGCATCTGTGCATATGTGTGTGTGTTTGTGGGAGGAAATTCCCAGGTGCATGAACGGATTTACGAAGAACTGTTCACCCGTCTTCCTACGAATACAGCTGCATGCTGGGACATGTGGCTGCTCCGGTTTACAGGAAACTCCGCATGTACCTCCGAGGTATTACAACATTGAACATGGCGTGCTCATGACCACACACACAGGTATGAACACACTTGAATTCCCCATAAAAAAGTGGGTGAGGCTGTTTAACTGTGATAAGAAGAGACTTTGGTGGTTTTGAAAACAATTCGATGTCTACATTTGATTAGAAATGGTACAAAAGCAACATTTAAAATGTTAAAATTCAATGTTAATTCAAAGTATAGACTAATTTTTAAAGGAAGTCCAGAAACACAACTCAAAAGAGTTCAGAGGAAACAAAACAATTTTAAAAAGTCTGGTTTTACTTCTAGTTTTACTTCCCTAGTTTTCCCTCCTTCGTTAATCACTAACGAGTTTCACCTGTGTCTCGTCTGCCTCACCTGTTGCTCGTTTCCCGGTCTGTACATAGTCCCTGTCTTCCCCTCTGTTCTTGTTGATTAATTGTGTGTACGTTGATGTCAGCTTATACTTGTGTCCCCAGTTGTCTTCTTGTGTTCTTTTCTCAATGCCCTTTTAATTCTTTGTTTCACCTCTCTGAGTGAGACTGCACATAAGCTCCAAGTGTTAAAGTTTCAGAATAAAGGTCCTCAGTGTAAAATTGCAGAAAACTGTCATTGTATTCAGTTTGTAATACCGTCAAAAGATTCAAAGAATCTGGAGGATCTCTCTTCAAAATGGACAAGACTGCAGTCCTTTGGTGGATTGCATTAAAACAGACATGACTCTGTAGTGGATATTCGTGCATGAGCTCAAAATCTCATCCAACAACCAAAGTCTATGAACATATTTCATCATAACAAAACCACAAAACCACATTCAGTCTAAGAGTCTCGGTGCTGCGGCCACAACATGAAAACACTTAGTACATAAATTCAAAAATCTGACAAAGGACACCAGGAACTGTTGAACAACCAAAAGACAATATTGGATATGTCATCTTGGAGCATCTTTAGGAAGATTTTTAATAAAATGTAGATTTTATTAGGGTTTCAATGATTTGGGTTTCAGAATCTGGTTTTATCAACATTTTATCCACAACATCCCAATTTTTTGGGAAATTTGGTTGTTGTCATGTCGGTCAAGGTTCTCTTCAGTACATTTATGTTGGTTCAGTTTCCTTTCCTATTTAATGTCTTGAATTTTCTGTTTAATTTTGTAGTTCATTTACCCTTGTTTCTGTCTGGTCTGCCCCACCCCCTGTCTTGTCACACCTGCCGCCTGATTGTGTCTCCCCGCCTGTTTCCCATCGACCTCATTACCTCTTGTATTTCACCTTGTGTGTCTCAACGTCTCTTTTCCAGTTCGTTGCACTTATTCATACTTATTGCCAAGCCCTGTATTACCTTTGCCTCCGACTAAAAGACGTTTAATAGACATCTAATGGTCCTTAGACGTCTGGGCTAAAATCGGTCTACCACTGGTCTAAAAATGAAAGTTTTTTTAAGCCATCTAAGCTCAGACTAGCCATCTAATAGACTAAACTGCACTGTACATTGATCAATTACTGTTAAAAATGTTATAATCCAACATTTGGACATCATTTACATACAATTTACAGTTGTTTTTTATTTAATATTTAATAACTAATGGATTAAATTCTGTCGTCTAGATTCAGGACCGATTATAGACGGGTGAATTTCTGTCTAAACTAAGACGAGACGTCTAAAGCAGTCTGTTTGACAAGCTGAATTGGTGTCATGCCGTTGTGTCCTCCAGTCCATGCTTTGGTTCATGACAGCTGTATGCAAAAACACAAAAGATCATATCTGCAATGTAAATTCCTCTAATTATGGTACAGATCTAACTTTTCCATCAATCACCTCGTCTCAGGAAGTTCCATAATCCCTCTCCAGTGTGACACACGCTCATACACACATTTTCAGGCCCCTAATTCTTGCCCTGAGGTAAAGACTCATCCGGTCAATGAAGAGAAGAATGACAGGCATTGTGCTCGCTCTCTTTTTGTGAAATGTGGTTGAAAAGTGTCTCGACTACATTTCCTGTCTGCGTCGCTGAAAAAAATCTATAAGAGACCAGCGTGAACTTTACCGCTCCATACATGTTTTTTGTAAACACGGCGGCGCCCAGATGAAGGGAGTGTTTTATCAACATACTTGTTTGTGCTTTCTGTTTCATTCCTGAGATGTTATGTAACCAAAAGCTGATCTGGTCAAATAACTCCCCCGGGGATTGATAAGGCCTGTTTGTGGACTGAGGCGACAGGGAGTTAAGGAGGATTATATGTGAGTGGTTGGTGCAGTTATTTAGCCTACCTCCCTCCTCCTCCTCCTCGCAGACACTGAGCTCATTCCTGCGCTGGTTATTAGTTCAGTGCTGTGTCTGATTTTACAGAGTGCGCCTGTTGTGCTGGAACAATTGGGATCCTTTTTTTTTTGTTAGACCACATCCTGACTAAAGATTACTTAATGTGATGTTCTGTCTCCTGCATTGTGTGTTTTTATTGCCTTCTCCTCCCCGTTTAGAAAAGTTGTCTTGTAAGCACATAATCATCCCCCTCAAGAGGGTTTCTAACTTTTTATAGAGTGAAAATAATACCTGTTTACCCCCCAAGACCAAGGTGGAACTATAAAACGCAGAGATGTGGAGTGTGATTGTGGTGTAATTGTGGGAAAGGAGTGCAGATATCTGAATTGGCAGCAGCCGTATCAGGATAATAACGGCCATTTCCTCCTAAATTCATCCTGCGAGCCATGCATGCGGGGAAAATGGTTGATTATCATCTGCTGAGACCCCTTCACCCCCAGATCCATTTAGTAGGACAGGCGTTTCCCCTCATCATGTGATCGAGAGCTGTGGAGTGAATCTAAGGACGAGGACCTCACCCCAGTCTCACCTCCCCCGCCTCAAACCCTGCACAAGCACAAACACAGAGAGGTCCCTGCTAATGCCCCGGCAGAAATTACTCCTGACACGAGTTCTCAACACGCCGGAGGATCTCCAGTCCGTTGCGACTGACAGCACTTCAAAGTAACCATGAAGAGGTTCATTGGAGAAAACATGCTGGATTTACCGCAGAGAAACCTGCAGCTATAACTTAAAGACCGGGGTTCGACATGTTTTCATCTCCTGTAAGACTCGGAGGATGGCACCGACTGGGATGACCCTGATGGGTGCAGAGCCAAAGTCAGCCAAAGCTTTAAAATCCCACTCCCATCTTTTTTTTTTAAGTACTTAAAGTGTTCTTGTGATTATGACGTTTTTAGTCAAAATCACGTTACCTGTGTCATTTTTAAGGACTTTTCTTCTGCAGAGCTCCAGTAGCTCATTAGCAATTCACCTCTGAGTCGTGGGCGGAGACAGCGCCACTCTGCACACTCCTCTTCACGCTAGCTTGTAGCCTAACATTGCTGGTGTAGTAGAAGAAGCAGGTAACATAGGAGCATGTCTTTGGGGACATGATGAAAGTTAATATCATAATTAGCTTTCTTACAAGCATTGCAATCCGCTAACGCAATCCGCACACGCTTGTTCCACAATCATCCGCTTTACATCTCCGAGTCTGGCCTGTATAGCGGGGCTCCGGGGGCGGAGCTGGGATTTGTGACATAGGAAATCTCACTGTGTCTGAATGCAGAAATACTCAGAAATGCAATTTCTCACTTATTTTTCTCAAAAATGCCATATGAACATGTTAAAAAGAAAGAAAAACATGATTTTCATCAGAGTGGGTCTTTAAGGTGCTATAATATCTGAACCAGGAACACTTTATATTAATGTCTCTGTAACAAGCAAATAATAAAAGTCAGGAAGCCACTTTTAATACCTTTAAACATGTGTAAATAAATGCATTATTAGTTATTGGTATAAGACACGTTAAGGCTCTCATTAATAACTTATATATGTCATATGTCAGTCAAACATCAACAGGTTAAATCACATTATTCAGCCTTTGTAAAGGTTAATTAAAGATTCATGTACATATTTATTATAAGCTTTTAAAGGAAAATCATATTACCAATTTAATCAAATGATAACCCACTGAAATATAACCGTATGACTCACCAGGGTCTTAAAGATCAACTTAAACTTCAACTTTAACACCTTGAAGATCACTTATTAACTCTAATGAGACGTTATATGAGATAAGTAAGACCATAAACCCTTTATCATATACTTATTTATCACTCTTTTGCAGACACTGGCACCTAAGTGGAAACAGCGTATTATTAATATCAACAGCTAAATTAATCTAAACCTTTCATAGTCTCATTTATATTAAATAACATCTAATTAGAGATATTTATAGATAGAATAGATACAAACATTGTACAACGAGATTGGAGAGGGTCTCCCGTTCAGTGCAAGTAAAAAGTAAAGGTTTAAAATATAAAATATAAATATATATACAAATAAGATGCAATAGAGTGTCGACACATTGTTGTTAAATAGATTGCACGGGTGTAATGGATTCCACACAGTGGACAGGAGCAGCGATGGTGAAAATCTTATTGCACAGTCGGTATGGCTATTTTTTTTTATTGATCATTAATCTCTAAGAAAAAGTCTGACTAGTGTTCATAAACATCACATTAGTGTTTGTGACATTTTGTAAACTTGGACAAGTATCTCAAGTGTTTTATAAGCAGTGATAACTCTGAACACTGAGTGGCTTTTTAACTGTTTAGGACGTTAACGTAAAGTGTTTCTCACAGATTCACAGACCTTCAGTCAGTCTTGTACTGTAATAGAACACATTTGATTCACACTGCTATCTCCCAGTGTTACAGGTCAGTATATATATGTGATGGCAAACAGTGCAGCGTCTGTGTTTTCTCACTCTGCAGCCTGCTGAGAAGAAGAGGTCAGGCTGATTAGATAACTGTTGTGTACGCAGAGGAGCCTGCTGGGCTCACGTGAGGAGGCCGAACTCTGATACAGAGAAAAAACTTCAAACTACGGCGCTTTGGCGTAAACACGAGTTCTTCTCATTTGAATTGAATAACACACACTTTGTTAAATAGGAACTGCGAGTTACGTCAGGTCTGAGTATGAGGAAGACGCTGACTCGTCTTTTGCAGAAATGTGGAAATATGAAGTAAGAATGATGTTTCCTCTTTTATCCAAACAGTCTCCCTGAAAAGTTTTAAAAAGTTTGAATGATTGATTTTTTTTTAGATATATTTACTGCATTTATTTTTATTTTTTCTTTGCTCGCCCCTCTCCTCTCCTCTGCCCTGACCTTTGACCCACATGACAGCAGCAGTGAACAGCTGGCAGACAGATAACAATTGCATGTGCTGAATACACAACATTTAACTCATTCATGCAGTTAATCATAATCTCATCAACACTATCTTCTTGAAACGAGACGATCAGTCTTGAAAATGTTGAAGTTAAAGACGCAGCTCCGAGTCGGCCTCCTGCGCCAAATACGAGTGTCAAATTGTCCGTGTTTGTTTTGACAACAGCCGGGTCTTTAACCCTGTCCTCGGCCGGCTCACATGGCCTCTGAAGCAGAATGCTAGGTGGGGTTTGAATAAAGAGCCGCTGACTGACCTTCAGGCTATGTCAATAAAGTTAGAGCACCATGTGCTTCATGTTATTCACTCTCACGCTGCGTTCACTCCTCACTCATGGCGTATCACTTGTAAATTTGTCCACAGTGAGACAAATATTTCAAACATCTGCAAACACGCTCCACCTTTGAATACTCTGTTTGATTGAAATCTGACTTTGGAGTTGGGAAAGAGTGTTTTTATTTGGACGTCTTTACTGATCAAAGACGTCCAGATTGAACGTGAAGCTGCTGCACTGACTGTTCTGTTCTGGAGGAGTAGCTTTGTCTGAGATGATATTAAAAAAAACACCCTGTTCTTGCGGAGGAGGAAACAGGACGATAAAACGGGATTCCTATCAGGGTTAAGTTAAACATAAGACACTAGACTGCTGTATATCCTCTCTAGTATATCAGCTCTATGTTTGAGCAGACACGATTATTATGATGTTTTTGATTTACTGCTTCGTACTACAGTTTCATTCCTCTTATGTTTATGTTCGTCTGAAAATGTGAGCAGCCTGTTTGTCAGTCGGCTTTAATAAATGCTTCCTCTCCTCCAGCTATGGTTGCCACACAGGAAGCTGACACTCCCCAGAGGGAGTCAGACGGACTCCATCAGACTTTCTACTTCCACTTCTTCACCTCTGCATTTGCAAACAGGACAAACAAACTTCAGAGGACATCTAACACCCTGGACTATCTCAACTCAAACTCCTTAAGTATATCTCAGTGTGCAAAAATAATGAGGACAAGAGGTTCCAGGTGCAGTTCTTGTTTTTTAGTCAGAGCATGACCTTTATTCATTACTGTAGCACGAGTGCAGTACGTGGAAGTCTGTCAGTGCATTAAACGGTCTGTGAAGACAAAGAGTCCACAAAGAAATGCCGCAAGAAACAAAAGAGGCGCTTCGGTGACCTATATGCGATTCACAATTTAAAAAAAAACAAAGCCCTGTACAGCAGCCCGAAGCTTCAAATAACTTTACGTTAATTTAATAGATACTACTCTAAAGTTAGCACCACGACTTACCACAGAAATGTACAAATACAGAGGCACATGTAGCTTTCAATATATGACAGACGTCCTGCTGTTCAGTGATCACATTCCCTTCCAGGTCACCGGCGGAGTAATTGTGCTTAACACAATTACAGTATATTCCACAGGAAAAGGAAATCAGTAAGAAGCATTAACAGATCCCTCAGATGAGAACAAAGGGTCATTTAGCATTAATACTGCTGAGCCCGGCTGTCAGCAGCAGCAGCAGCGACAGGCCCCGACGTTCGCCCTGAGATGAAGATAATACTTCTTTGGCACTCCAAAAACAATCTGTTCCCATTGTCTGGAGGAGGTTTGTTTATCTACGGAGGGATTTCAGGATCGTTCATGTTGAGAGCGGCAATCCAACCGTCACACTGAAGACTCATTGTGGAAGACTTTAGCTTTGAGAGTCCTCAGGCTGCACTGCAGGTTGGAGCTGGTTTCTGACTGCAGGGCCTCGGAGAACTTGACGTCATACGAGCGGCTGACCTGAGATTTCCTCTTGATGGAGTTCTGGATGGTCTCTGACGTGAAGTAGTAAATAATGGGGTCAAAGCAGCAGTTGGACACGGCTATGCAGAGGGCGATAGGGTAGATGGTCCGGACCACCGACTCTGCAACACATCCTTTTAAAGTCTTGGTGCGGACCAGAGAGTAGAAGACCAGGTTTACGTTGTAGGGGATGAAGCAGAAACAAAAAATAAACAGGTGCACGATTATCATGCGCAAGATCTTCGTCTTGTTCAGCTTCCCGCCTCGACTGATGGTCTGGGGGCGGCGAAGGGTCTGGAGCACCATGATGGAGCAACAGACGTTGAGGAGGAGCGGGATGATGAAGCCCACCGTCTCGATGAAGATCACCACCTTGGACAGGTGAGATTTCCACTGCTTGGAGGAAAAGTTCTCGAAGCAGAAGGTGGCGTTGGAGTCGTTGTTGCTGCGCGAAGTTGTCTCCAACAAGAACCCCGTAGGCAAACTCCCTGAGAGCACCAGCACCCACACGGCTATACACACGATGCGGGCGTTACGCTTAGTCCTGATCGCCCTCGAGCGGAAAGGGTGCACGATGGCGAGGAAGCGATCCACGCTGATGCAGGTGAGGAAGAGGATGCTGCCGTACATGTTGGTGTAGAAGAGCGAGACGGAGAACTTGCAGAGCGTGCTCCCGAAAGGCCAGCTCCGGTTGATGAAGTAGAAGACCCTGAGAGGCAGGGTGAAGACGAACAGCAGGTCGGACATCACCAGGTTGATCATGTAAGTGGTGGTCTCGTTCCTCAGCTTCAGAGAGCAGGTGAAGATGTAGATCGCCACGACGTTAGTGATGAGTCCCACCACGAAGACGATACTGAAGACGGTACTGTAGAGCGGGTACTTGAACCCATCGTTCTTGATGCAGGTGGAGTTGTTGGCTGCATCAGTCAGGGCGGTGCTGTTGTACATTATGATGAGGGGGGCTGTTACGTCAACTCTTTATAATGAAAGGACTTCCCAGAACAATTAATTCACCGTGAACAAAGAGCTCATCAGAGAGCGTCCTTAGCAGGAGTGCATTGAAAGACACTCTGGTCATTCAGGCCATCGGCACAAAAGGTTTCTTTCAAACACAACTGTCCGTGTAAGAGAGGACTGCTGCACATGGTCGGCATGATGATTCCCTCCCAGTAATCTGGGGTTACCTCATGTTGTTGAATGGACCCTCCCAGAGGACAGAGATCTGGGCAGAAGCGTCCTCCCCTCCCCCTGCTCTGAAACCCAACAAGTTGCAGGCTGAGTGTTTCTCACTCCGATAAATCACTCACTCACACGTGTGTCTCCTTTCACTCAAAAAATCCAAGTCAGTAGTAGAAACGATGACATATCCAGAGTCCCGTCTGTTAGAGAGATGTCCTCATGGTGAAATCCCTTCTCTTTAGTCCCTTGTTTTTGTCCCTTTCAGTCCAACAGCAGGAGAGTTGTCATCAGCTTTCCACCTCTCACTTAGTCCTTCCCACAAACCACCAGGCTTCTCCTCAGGAGCTCATCTGAAGCCGGAGTGGAGCTCTCCGTCTGTGTCACAATGTGTGGTGTGTGTGTGTGTTTGTCCCCAGGGTCTGTTTCCTGTACCCCCCCTCTCCTTTCTTTTAGTAAATAACTGACTCACACAGTTCTGCTTCTCTCTGTTTCCTCACTTTGTTTCTCTCTCTCTCTGACAGCCTCACCAGCTTTGACTCAGCACACATCACGCACACAGACAGCTCCAGTTCTCCTTTGTGCCGGTGTCACAGACAGTTTTTGTACTTTGAGAGGGAGGGAGAGCAGCTGTAGTAACCCCTCCTCCTACCTCCCCTCTAACTCCTCCTACTCCTTTGTCTGCTGCTACAGTTAAAGGAGGAATCCACCAAAACAAGTCTGCATCATGGGGGGGAAATGAAAGCTGGTGTACTACTATCAGCTTTTTAACACATTTTGATTCATGGTTACATATCTAAAAAAATCTGAATGGATCTTTCTTGATTCAGTCAACAATAAGTTGTTTTTCAAGTCTTCTTTCACCAATATTGAGCAAGAAATGACACTACTCTCATCAAAGTTGCTTTTATCTTTGGTTAAATCATTAGTTAATAATAAGAAGATGTAAAAGTATGGGATTGAAACTCTCAAACTGTACTAAGTTAACAGCAGACGAAGTGAAAACCTCGTTTTTTGAGAAATGAAACCGATGCAGAGGTGCGAAAAGTCCCAGTTCCTTGAGCATCAACTTCAGGCAGGCTGCAAAAACACCAGAAGCCACATTCACACTGACGTTAGAAAAGTTCACCTTTATACACCAAATATTCACAATAAACGGTTGTCAGAGGTCGGCAGGGAGAGATGAGATAAGAGAAGACTGTTTTGTTCTTGAGGTGTCAACTTTGACACGTACTGTAAATTTCTCACAGGAAATCACAGTTCAAGTTTTGTTGTTGTTTTGATACAACTGATAATACAAAAAAGATTAGTACACTACCTCTTAACTCTGACTCCTGCAGAAATCGTCTTGACTAAAGAAAGAAGTAAAAAAAAAAAGGATCAATACATTTTTATGACAAGGGGTGAGGGTGCTCATGGGAAATCAAGTCTTCATTCTGGAACAGAAAAGGTCACCGGGATCAACGTCACAGGAAAAGTTCTCAGGACACTTTTAAAGATTATTAACATACCTCTCATTTTTTTTCACTGTTTTGTCCTTTTCATGTTTACATCATGTTGTCTAAAAAAATACATATATATATATTTATATATCTCCTTCTCTTTCTTGACGTCCAAATCTATCGTTCAGTGTGAATATTTGTTGTGGGAAAAAGGTAGTTTATTCAGGTGTGTTAGGAATCCATCCTCTGGTTTCTGTGAAAGAGGATCAGGGCCACAAGAAGAGAAAAAAATAATGACAGGGAGGAGATTTTTTAATTTCCATTTTAAGATTAAAGTTAAAATTTCAAGATTAAAGTTAAAATTTTAAAAGTTGAAATGAAAAAAGTTGAAATTTCAAGATTTAAGTAGAAATCTGGATATTATTCAAGACATTTCGACATCTTGTAATCTCAAATTTCAACTTCAATCTCAAAATTTCGACATTAATCTTCTTCTCTGTAAATATTTTTTTCTCCTCATGTGGCCCTAATCGTCTTCCGTAGGTTTCACTGGTATGTGGTAGACCTTAATGGTTACAGAAGTCAAACATTAGGTTTTGTTGGTTATCAAGAGGCATCACTACTGATTTCCGTTTCATAACCACTTTAAAACTTCATGCTGTTAGTATGATTTAGATTTTGGTAGTTTAACTTTTACATGAGTTAAAGTCTAAGTCCTGGTGACTTTGTGTTTAAATGGAATGTAACTTGATTAGTTTTTCTCTTTATCAGCAGATCAGGTCATTAAGACAGGAGGAGGTCAAAGTGCCTGAGAAGTTCACTCAGACAAAAGCATGAGCCTGAGGTGACTGCCTCCACAGGTCTGATGGGATGAAGACGAACACTGAACCGTCTCCTTGTGTTTGACAGGCTGTGTGGGCAGCAGCCGGCTACAGGAGAACAGAGTCTGATTCTAAAAGTCGACATCGGAAATGAGACAGAACAGAAAGCTGTCTCTATTCAGGCCTTGTCAGTCCGGGCCCACAGCTTTCTCCTCTTTTCTCTGCTCTGTATGAAGCCTTCAAGTTCCTCTATAGTCGAAAGTCCCCACTTGGCAGTCAGTAAAAACATTGAGGCTTTTGTTGGGGCTGAAGTGGCTTAGTAGCGAGGAATGTGAAGTTTATAAATAATTAGTCTGGTACAACTTGAAAGCTTCTGAATCGGCAGTGAGAAAATACTGTGTGTCACTGTTTCTGTGTCATATAGGAAGTATATTACCTGCTCGAGGTTTCCAGTCTATAAATAGATAAATAAATGAGTCGGAGATAAAAAGATTTACATCTCGAGAACTTGTTCACTCGCTGTTGTTTTGGTTACAATAATATTTCCCTCTTTGCAGCCGACTCCAGTCATACAAACATGTGGATTTTAGCTTAGGAACATGACACTAACCCAAAGACGGTTTTATTCTGGACTTCAGAGAGTTCCCAATAATAGCCAAACAAATGAAGGAAAATCTCGGAGAGAATCAAAGAGACAGTGGGTGTTTAACGGCCAGTGTGCCTCTCTTTGTCAGCTCACCGCAAAATAAACACCGCCAAGGCTGAGGCGAAACACTCGAGAACATAGAAAAACCTGTACTATTGTCCTTCACTCGCAGACTCGTTCCATCCAGCGCATAAAAACAAGCTCTTCACATGCAAGTATGTGGTCGCTAAACAAAAACATGTGCCTGAAATCCCTGGACTGTTAAATTTCTCACAATGCCAGGAAACTGTCTGGTACCCCCAAGGCCAAGACTGAAGGTTTTAAAAATAAAAAGGGCAAAATGCATGTGAGGGACAGTAGGTGACATAATATTATTGTGTAATAATCATAAAGGCAGTCGGTGGTGTACCTCGAAACATGATCCAAATATGAATACAAAGACGATAAGAACAAAACGTACTCTCTTTGATGCTTCAAAAACGGCAGGGCTGATGATGTTCATATTTCGCTCGGCTACAAGTTCCCGGCGGTTTACAGCAAAAGAGGTACTCGTGGTGTGAGTTATCGCACTAAACTATCAGCAAGACACAAGAAAAAAAAACACATTTTACACATCGAACTGTGAATCATAACAGAAAGCAAGAATGTCGTTTCATAACTCCTCTTTCAAAAACCGCACAACCTGAGCTGCTGCAACTTCCACTCAATGCAACCAAGAGGAACAACAACATACAGACAGACTCTGACTCAAGTCCAAATATGAAACAGTGATAGTACTGTTGCAGGTGAGTTATGTAAGATTCACGTTTATCAGATGTTGAATCAGTTTCATTGCGTGAGTTACTTCAACACATGAACGCCCAGAGAGAAAAAGGTTAGACTTTGTGCTTCCAGTCTTAAGACACTGGACCCTCATGTGACCTTCTAATCAATCACTGGATCACTAACAAAGGTAAACATTATGATTTATCCTTTAGCAACTAAACCTGCAACATGAAAACTGAGTTTAAAAAAAAAGTAAATGCTGGAGTGCAGAGAGACTCACAGGGGACTGAAAAGGTTTTCTCTCGAGTTCACCTTGGAAACTGAGGAGGCCTAAATGTGGGGCCACAAACAAACAAGTGGAACCAGCCAGACAGGAGTGTGGTCCACGAATGAGTCCTGAAGGGGAAGTGGGTTTTTTTTTATTTACGTATATATAATCTATTTGAGGTCTGCTGTTTCTATACCTTCACTTTCACATCAGTCGAAGGAGAACAGAAACTTTGCTTTCACTTTATTTGATGCTTCTCTCTGTAACGCATTAGAAATATATGTATAATAAGTTATAATCACGTAGTACTGTACAACTACAGTTATAAACACTCATAAATGATCATAAGGCTTTATGGCAATAATCATAACACATTATATCATGACTTACAAGGTCAGGTATTATGATGTGTTATGGCTATTAACAACTCACTGACAATGCCCACATAGATAACGCATTATACATATATTTATGATGTTTTATAATTAGCTTATAAACTTGTATAACTATCATTATAAACACTCATTAATTATCATAAGGCCTTATAACAATAAGTATAACACATTATAATACCTGACCTTGTAAGTCATGATAAAATGTTTTATAATGTGTTATGATTATTACTATAAAGCATTATGATCATTTATGAGTGTTTATAACTGTATATAGAATGGACAGTCTGCCTCCTTGCTGGATTTCTGTTTTGCTGTCTGTTGTAGAGGTCAGAGATGAAATGGGAAATAAGACTTTAATTGACTCACAAGAAGACCTACAACTTATATTTATTTATTTAATATTTTACTTGTTATTCTACTTTTTGTTTTAGCTGCCAAACAGGACTGTGGTCCACGAATGAGTACTGCGGGGGGATGTGGTCCAACCGAAAAGTTTTTTTTCTATTCATGAGTCTATTCTCTATTTCAGATCTGCTGTTTTTGTACCTTCACTCTAACATCAGACAGAAGAGTACAGAAACTTCTAGTCCTCAGTCTAAGGACTTTTGTTTTGCTGTCTTTTTTAAAGGTCAAAAAGACTGAAAATGACTCAAAAGAAGACCTTTAAACTTAAGACGTCCTACTCAGTACAATTATAACTCTCATCAACATTATTAACTTGTTATTTTACTTTCTGTTTTAATGTATTATTATCACCTCTTGTATAACGTTTGTATGACCAGCTGCTCTTTGTTTGTTAAGAGCGTTGCTGCTTATCTTGGCCTGCATCACTCAGTGATTTTCTCCTGTTTATAAAAGATGAAATAAAGAAATAAAAAACCCAACCAAGATCTTTGATATATGCGGATTTGCTTTGCACAGAAAGGGAAACTTTAAAAAGAGATAGTATCTCAAAAAGGAAACCGTGTTGTGATTGTCCAAACTGATTAAACACTTCAACGAGCAGCACGGAAAAGGGGAGGACGCCACGTTGTTATCTTAATCTTCACCTTCTCGTCACAAGAGTCCAGATGTACCCACACACTTTAATTTATCACAAAAAAAGAATAAACTAGAGACCTGGAAATGAGTGCTGCAGGTCTTTAAAAAGGTCTCTCTGCTCCCCCACACACGGCCTTATCAGCTTTGGTAAACAAATACTTACCACCCACAAATACTTCACCTTCACTGCAAGAGGAGTATTATTAAAAGCTTTTTTGGGGGGGTTAAATACTTGAGCTAAAACACAGAAGATAAAGCTAGATGCAAATGAATAGATTCAAAATAAACTATCTGAATAAAAGACATTAAGTGGACATTTCAGCACAGACCAGATTGTACATTTTGTATCCTGTGTAGCTTATGTAAGCGCTTATCTGTGGTGTTCTTGCCCTAAATCCAGCCTACAGTGTTGCATGTAAGTAAATGGTATGCGCCTTAAACCACAAGTCTTAAGTAAAGCCTTGCTTCATTGAAAAACCAACATGAGCGGGGTCATCCGGTTTCCTGCAACCACCGGGCCAAACTCCATGTTTGGAATTCAAAAACCTCAGCTGTCATACTCCTTTTTTTGGAAATGTCCCAGGTCATATAAATCAAATAATTACTCACTGACAAGGACTGAGCAGAAGGTTTCATTCTCCTTTTTTATTCATCTGGATGTCTCAGAGCCAACTGTGATTGATTTTAATTCTCACCCAAAGGGGAAACAAGCCGAACCGCATGCTCAAATAAACTGCAGAGAGGTATTTGGGTTATTTCTTGAGAAACACAAGTCAGCTGATGTTTTTATTTTTACCGGTTTCACAGAAACTCGAGGAAAAAATGTGAACTAGTGTTTTATTGCAGGTGAAAACCAGTGTGCTAAATGGGATGAGATGTTATCAGAGCACTTAGATGACTACTGGAACCACAGACGTTAACCTGGTCATGTGCTGCTCTCGTGTAACACACTTTTCACATGATAAAGCATCAACACAGACGCTGAGACTCTATTTTTAACCCAGAAAAAAAAACTCTGCCTGGAGCCGGAAAACTTTTTCACAAATGGACAAGCCTTATTTTATTACTGATTGTGTCCTGGTGAAAGTCGTGTTTGGAAACAAACTCTCCAAAAGTGAAACTCATCACTCACTGTGAATATTTGCAGAGGAGGAAATTACAAACGCTTTCTTTCGAGCGTATCTTCCCCCGCAGCCCGTCACTGATGGTTTCATGTGCTTTTGTACATCAGAGAGATGCATCACTGTGCAATATCTGAGGCGCGTAATCTTCACTTGAGTTTATAATCCTGGAACACTACTTTAAAAACAACAAACTTTTTTCTCCACTGATTTTTTTCTTGCATAATTAATTTGTATATATAAAAGTTTTGCTTAAACCTCCCAGTCATGTCCGAGTGTTTCTCAAAATTGAATAACTGTGCCTCAGATTCATCATCTTTGATACCTTTTTTTCCTAAATGAAAAGGGGATCTAATGAAAGCTTTAATTCCACCCTTTTTAGAAGATTAAGGGTCACTCTTGTGAATGGATGAATCCTAAATTAGTATCCCTCTTGTATCACAGTGTTGCTGCTTTGTACGTGGCTGAGTGCCAGTTACTGTTGGCAGCTGTTTGCACCACCATCTGCAAAGCCGTTGCACTTGTGTCATCCATGTTGAGCAACTTTGTGTAACAGTACATACCCTATATGTACATAAATAACATGTTTTCTTTACTGGAAGAGACACACTACAAGATCAGTCTATATGAAAGAGTGAAAAAATGTAGCTTTTAACTTCACAAAGTGTCTGAATTACGATCATCTGATCTGGATTTTCTCACATGATCCTAAAACAGTCTTTGTTTAAAGGCTGGAGTTTCATTTTTAGGACAGACTGTGAAAGTGAAATGAACACACTCTGGGACATGTCATATGATCTGTTAATTTAGTTTTCTTCTGATTTTATTAGAGTGCATTTTGTGTATTTTCCCTATTGTTGTCCAGTCTTGTGAGTTTTCAGTTCGTGTTTGTTTCCCTCCTGTTCTGTTTTATTCTTTAGATCAGTTTTCAGTGTTTCCTGTTTTATTTTGTAGGAGCTGATTCCTTGTTTTACTTCCCTAGTTTTCCCTCCTTTTGTTAATCAATAACGAGTTTCACCTGTGTCTCGTCAGCCTCACCTGTTGCTCGTTTCCCAGTGTGTATATAGTCCCTCTTCCCCTCTGTCCTAGTTGGTTCATTGTGTGTACGTTTGTTGGTCAGTTAGTGTCAGTCATAGTCTTTGCCTTTTTTTGGATTTTTTCCTCCTTATGTTTTTTTTTCATTGAGTTCTTTTTAAATAAATCCTATTTTTGCGTTTGGGTCCTTCCTTTTTGTTTAACTCGTGACAGGACAGCTTGAAGACAGCTGAGATGTTTCAGTAACACAGATGGACAGATCCTCTTTAACAGATGTTCATGTTGTGATTTTCAAATGAAATGTTTCGACTTGAACAGCATCTGATGAGACAACCACAACATACTCTCTTAGTGATCTGGAGGCTTTTAAATCAAGATATTCTCCACTCCACACTGCCCCCTTATGGCTGCTTAACTGCTATAATAAAACACAACATGATTGATGCATCTCTAACCTGATGTGTATGTAAACAGTCATTCTACAGGACATCACCAAGCAGTAACAGATACAGGGTTGTAGAGTTATTGTTTTTAATGTGTATGAGATTATCAAATGTCACCATTCATGCCAGTGCTAGCAGCTTACAGCATTTTCTGTACAAAATGAAAACACAGGCATTTGTAGTATTTATCAAAATGTTCAAAAAATACAACAATTGGCTCGTTAAAGTAAAAGCGTTTTCGCTACATCCCGTTTAGACGTCTTTAGGGAGTTTAATGTGGAATTCTCCTGTAACTAGATTTAAAGAGCTTGCGGTTCGACACCAGACTTCATCTGGTTGGTAATTACACTAAGCCTGCACTATGTTATTATCTGAAGGTGCTACCATGGGAGACTTATAAAGCAAGACTTGTAAAAAGAAGAAGCAGAAGATTGCTGCGTAAAAACAACTGGAAAATAAACAAAAACAACAATAACAAATAACTTTTGTAAACATTTCAAACTGCAATGGCAACAACTGTAAAATCAGCTGCTCTCACAGTTTAACACCAACAACAGGCTACACAGGAATAAGTATAACGCTTGTGTTAGTCAGACACAAGTAAACACACTGAAGGATGTCCTTATCTCTCTTCAAGTGTCACAAACTGCTCTGTCTGTTTTTTTTATCAGTGTGTTAATGCTGGAAAGAGGAACTGCGGACAGCAACAGTGCAAATATAAGTCTAAGCTCGTACTAAACAATAACGAGGTGAAAAACTACAAGTAAAGCAAAGTGGCAAAATAAAAACAGGACTTTGTGTAAAAGAACAACTGTTAACGTTGATCAGATACAAGCCGGAAAAAGGTGTCCAGTCACTTCTGTCTAAAAACAGAGGAGCAGGTTTGGATGTTCTTCATCACTTTATACTCAATCCAAAAAGTTTGAGATTCAAGGCGTCAGAGAAAAGCAGCACAATCTGAAAGAATAATTCACCACGGACTGAGCTCGCATTGAGCTTCCTGTAGCCAATAACTGTTGCAGCTAGCAGTGATACACTGTTTTCATCTCATACTATTGCACAACACTTCCAGCTTGAATTGTTATAAGTCTACTATATGTGACGTTACAGTTTAGTGAAATTATACTGAAGTGTTTGTTCAAGCAAAAAACAAAAAAAGTACTTTTTATGTATTTCTTAAATGGTTAGTATAACTGATGGTAATAATAAAAGTATTAATGATTTACTATAAACCAAAATACTCATTTTTTTAGTGGTGGTCATCATCTTGCAAAGCATTTCCCAGCATTGCAGCCCCACTATGTATTAGACAGAACGTACAGTAACACTTCACTTGATGCCTATCTCTATAACGCATTATACGTATATTAATAATTCGATATAATCACGTTATAGCACTGTATACCTTAGTTATAAACACTTATAAATGATCATAATGCTTTATAGTAATAATCATAAGACATTGCAAAGCGTTTTATCATGACTTACAAGGTCAGGTATTATAATGTGTTATCCTTATTGTTTTAAAGCCTCGTGATAATTAATGAGTGTTTATAATGATAGTTATACAAGTTTATATGCAAATTATAACACATCATAAATATATGTATAATGCATTATCTATGTGGGCATTGTCAGTGAGTTGTTAATAGTTACAACACATGATAACGCCTGACCTTGTAAGTCATGATAAAATGCTTTATAATGCGTTATTATTATTGCTATAAAGCATTATGAACATTTATGAGTGTTTATAACTATAGGTATACAGTGCTTTAACGTGATTATAACGCATTATACATAGATTTATAATGCATTATAGAGATAGGCGTCAAGTAAAGTGTTACTAAATATACTACAGCACAATGTAGGGCGTTGCTGATTTGTCTCATTCACCGTTCAGAGGCAGTGTGATCGAATGAATAATGTCTTCATGCCTTGACCCCTTACACATTAAGATGAACTATGAAAAATGTCAAACGTTTGGGAGCATCCTGGTTCTCAGCTCTGTGTCAATTTGCTTGAACAAAAAAATCAGATCCAGAATCAGCCGAGAAGTCGACTGTGGCACATCTGTCTGTTTGACTTCTGGGCTCTTTGTGACTGACAGTGGCGTAACCCAATCACCAAAAACTTTTACCGCTGTGTTTTGGGAAGTAACACAAGCATCAGTCAGAGTGTAACCTGAAACCGTGAACCTCTCTGCTGCTAACATCCGCAGCCACCAGGCTTTGAAGTAGCGGACAGCCTGGTGTTTACTTTGGTCTGCGGTCGATTCCCAGGACTTCAGTGAGCTTAACCCTCATTGTGTCGCATCCGTCCCCACAGGGGCAAGCTAGTCAGTTTTTGAAGGCCCCATAGCGGCTGGCTTTACTAATGAAGTTCTTGAGCAGGTCGTGGTCCATGTCTGCAAAGGCCTGGGTCTGCGTGACAGCTGTTAGGTGGTTGACACAAAACTTGAAGCAGAACTCCTCCAGATCCTAAAAATGAAGAGGGCTATCTGGTCAGTGCTGAGGGACGACAACTGACTAGCTACTAAGAAGGCCCCACCACCACGGTGTTTGACTGTGTGCCAGGAGCTATGAGCTATGAGCTTACCCGCGCCTCATACTTGACTGCAGCAGAGAGCAGAGTGATGGCGTTCTCCTCAGAGATGCCCCTCTTGATGGTTTCCTGGCACAATCTCTTCAGCCTTGTCTCGCTGTAGAACGTGGCTAAGTCTAACAACCCTGCAGACACAAGATCAAAACACAGAAACACAAGTGAGTGTGTTCAGGACCGGTTTCAAAGAGCTCCTCAGTGCTCTCACTCAAGGCCGTGTCTGGGCTTACCAATAGCATCCTCTGGTGGCAGGTTAATGGTGTCTGTGTAGAGGTATTCAAGGAAGGCTCGGTACACCAGGTATGAGAACTGGTGAATTTCTATGGTGTCGTCGTCCGTCTCATTCAGCAGTGCACGGAAATGTTCACACCTGGACAGGCGGGGAGAGGAGCAGACTACAGGGTCAAAGACTATTTATGAGTAAAGACATACTTGAGGCTGGAAATGATTTATCAACACTTTTCAGGAATCAAGACGTTTATAAATGACACCTACAGCCTATGGCACATGGAAATAAAAAGTGATGTTCACTGAGATCAGCACAAACACTGTTTATAAACCAAAGGACACAAAGGACGCCAAAAAAAGAGTAAGATCTGAGAATATTGCAAAAGTGAAATAATACTGCATGAGTAAGCTACACTTTTAGATAAAGAGTTTTTAGATGTGAGGAGTTTGTGACACAGACTGAATTAAAGGGATATTCCGGCGTAAAATAAATTTAGGGTTAAACACACCGTAACACTGAGTTAGACACCCCCTCGAGAGATGAATGTTGCCGACCGCTTGCTTCTCTAGTTATACCAACTTTAGTAATGACCGCAGGATAGCAATACACAGCGGTCTGAGGAGCCATAAACAAACCTCAACCGAAACGCCACTCTATAGCCACAAATAATGCTCAGAACAGCACCTAACTTCATCAACAGTACATATAGGGTCCCAGCCATAGTGCTAGCCACCAAACATCCTTTTAGCTTTGCTTTAGCATTTTTCCCAGCAGAGGGCGCCAAAATCAGCTCAGACAGGAAGTTCCTCACAGCAGCTTTAAGATACAAAACCACAGAAACTGTTTTCTGAGTATGTCTGATTGTTGCGCATCAGTTTCTGAAACAGTTTCCCCTCACAGTGTGTTAGATTTAGATTTGTTCATTAAAGTTCAACACCCTGAACGAGTAAACAGAGGCGGCTGTGGCTCTTCTTTGACACACGTAACTGTTACCATAACAATGTGTCAAAATAACACATATTCATATATTCCAGTGAACTTACTTAAGATTCACTCTCATCAGTTCCTGAGGCAAAACAAAGGCACCTTGCCAACAATCGCAGCTCACAGTCTTTTCCATAATTGTTCCTCAAGGGCCTCAGCATTATAAATACTGATTACCTTTTTTTTTTTATTTACCCCTCTGTTAACCTCAGAACTCACTGCCTCTCTACAGTTTTTCCTCAGGATGCAGCTGAATAAACAACACAGTTTTCCCCCTCCGAATGCATCTTAAACATATCATTTGCATGTGATCTGCGTGTGCACCACCAAGACTGACGTCGCAGACAGTCTGGCTCCATCCTACTGACAGTGCAAAGAGCAGGGACTGGAATGCAGATCCTCTGAGTCCAAGTGTGGTTATAAAAAGAAAAGCAGGAAACAATAGGACTGTCTTTTGCTTCCCTGTGACATTAACAGGAAAGACGAGGAAACTCTGTCTCACAGCTGGAGTTTAAATATAACACAGGATTCAGTGTGTGTGTGTGTGTGTGTACACTGACTTCAACATCACATAAAGATAACTCAGCGTGTGCAAATGATAGCTGCACAATCAACCAAACAACTAGGCTCCAACAATAATACCAGCATCCACGACAGCACTGACATTTATCAGTGAATTTCTGTCACTCTGAAATTTTCAGTGTGGTCTGCTGAGTGTCTCCTTTACTCATGACAAAGCACTCTGAATGTGGAAAAGTAAACTCATGTGACCACAATGAAAGTCAGGATGGAGAAGCAGGCTGCTCGACTGAGGAAGAAAAGGAAATCAAGTCTGAAAAAAAAAAGACAAAAAGAATGCAGAGGCTAAACACGGTGGAGGAAAACCTGCAGACAGGGTCTCAGTTCCTGTCCCATGCACCATAAAGTGATTCTAAATATGGTTTGGGTAATAATGTACCTTAAAAAAATCTAAACTGAATATTTTGTGCTTTAGACACACAGCAGCTATCTAATCTGGCCTTTAACTGGACAGGAACTGTACAGTTATTTTTTGTACCTGATTTTCAGGAGAGCTTTGTGAACATGGATACACTTCCCATCAACCAAGAACTTCAGGTCTGAAATCTCTGGGCTGTCAAACTCTTTCTTCAAAGACTGGGCCACCGTCAGGTAGTCATCACCATCTGAAAAGAAAATGATAGTTTTTCCTTCACTGAGGAGAAGCTGGAGAAGTAAAAAAAAACAGCAGCAGTATTTCAAATCAAAAATAAAGCCCTGTGATGTCAAGGGTCAATATCGATATCCTATATAAAAATGAAAGAAATACCCTCTGACCCCTGGTCTTACAAGTTCGCTTTATAAAACAGAATCGATGAAATTACAGCTTTAGTTCGAGCGCTTGTTTCTTCCTCAGTGCTCAAGTTCAATGAGTGACAATAGACTGAAACAGATACATAAATAAGAGCACAGAGTATTTCAGTGGTTTGTTGGTTTACTGATTTTTCAGAGGGTCGTTTAATTAACCTCAGACAACAGCGTGAACAGACTGTGAAGTTCTTCAAAATACTTGACCCTTCAGCTTTAACCGAGTTCACACAGAATCAATCTGTCAAATTATGAGTGTTTGACACCGACAGGAAACACGGCTTCCTGTTTGTTCCTCACACCAATTCTTGGAATTTGTACCCATGAGGAATATTGTCCGCCTCAGTGTGCCATGAATCCTTCCATGATTCTCTGAATCCCACAACTGTCCTTTTCAAGCTTATTTTTTTTACACTCTTACCTACTGAGAGAAGGTGCCATGTGACCGCTGGTGTGGCGAAGCAGGCAAACACATCATCAGTGCTGCTGAAATGGGTGAGATGGGGGCTGGCTACAGCCTGACCCCGACACTGACCCCACATCAGAACCTGCCCGCTCTGGGTCTTGGCAGCTGATGTGTGGCTGGTGTGACATGCAGCCACCTCCACCATCCTAGTGACAAAAGCAGAATTAACCATGAAATACTACTGAGGTCCAGTCCACTCACATACTGTAGGCTGTGCTAAAATAATGCAGGTGATGACGAGGTCGGTCATATTCAATCATAACAAAAAGACTCCCTTGGACCCTCAGTGATCTGTCATGATAGCAGAAAGGCGTTTAAGGCTTAATGAACCTGGCGTGAACCCGTAATACTAACCTCTCTTTGTCAGTGTTTATCAAAGTGGGGAGAGCTTGGTTGCTCTTATTTCCTGTTCCTAACTGCCCGTACGAGTTGGCTCCCCAGGCGTAAACAAAGCCCTCATCTGTTAGCGCCAATGTGTGTGCGTATCCACAGGAAACCTGCAGATTCAAGGAAGGGCGGCGTTAGACTGAATGTTTCCTGCAACGTGTACGAGATGCTTCACCTGACGGCGCTCATACCTGGACAATGTTGACGCCTTGAAGAGCAGCGATCCTGCACGGGGTCTGCTGATTTCCATTGTTGCCCAAACCAAGCTGCCCATTGCAGTTGTAGCCCCAGCCGTAGATCTACGAACAGAGAAGAAATTCATCTTTGATCAAGACAGTGAAGAGGGGAACTATTTCATTTAGTTTAGATAAGTTTATAGTACGGTCTGCAATGATTACTTTCATGATCTCTGAATATTTCACTTCACATTTTTAACTTGTTATATATATGTTTTATAAGATGACCCAAATGCAGAATGACAATGTTTGGTGATAAACTACAATAACTTACATGTAAGTCACATCAAGAAGACCTGTACAAATCTTTTACAAGCCAAGAAAATGTTAAAGGAAAACGCAATTAGACATTATGACAAAAGTAACCAATGATTCTTGTAGAAAAGTCAGTTTAAAATGCTGTATTTTATTTATATTTATTATTATGCCTGTTTTGTTTACTTCAGGGTGTGACTACAGTACAGCTCAGTGACCGATAAGTCAATTTGAAACTCTGTTCTGTTTGTTTTGTTGTTTTTGTTTTGTGGTATGAATGTTTCTCTGTGATAGATTATTAGAACTTTTAGACTTTAAGTGAGGGGTAGGTAATATAAGATGTTTTTTCTCCCTGCTCCCTTCCAACCAATGGATAAGAAATGTTGCATTGTGACATAATATTGTAAAATTGAGAAATTGCCTTGGCTGGAATAAATAGAGAAAGAAAGAGAGAAGAAAGAAAGAATTTAAGCAATACTAGCCCTCTAAAGCGACACTTCTTCTAAGGTGTTGTGCCTCTACAGTTGAGATAATAATTAATTTTCTATCAAACACATAACAGCCGGTTTGAGGTCACTCCATATCTGCTGTCTTGTTTATTCATTTCCTACGAATACTGGAGGATGGTTGCTATCACAGTACTGTAAAATCTACATTACCAGCTACAAGGACAGACATCTGATCGCTCTGAAAGCTGTTATTATGAAGTCAACAGCAACATAATGTCGGTTCAGAAACAATTGAGGGCCGCAGCCAAACACCTGGCCCGATGAGAGCGCTCTCTTTTGTTCATGCAAAACATTTGCAGATTAATGTGACCCATTACCTCTCCATTGTCCAATACAGCCATAGAGCAGAGCTGACCACAGGCTATGTTAACCACCACTTTGTTCTGCAGGCAGCTGCTGACCCGGCGCGGCGTCGGCTGGTTGGCAGTCGAGCCTGAACCGACTTGGCCTGAGTTGTTGTAACCCCACGCGTACACCTGAATGCAGAGAAAAAAGGTCACAGTGGGAATAAACACACAGAAAACAAACAAAAAACAGCATGAAGAAACGGACGACAGGTTACCTCTCCATCAGTTGTGAGAGCAATGGTGTGGTGTGAGCCACAGGCCACTTCTGTGACTCTTTTGCTTAGTAAGTTGGTGGACACGAGGGCAGGGGTCAGCCCATGGTTGGTGGTCCCATTGCCGAGCTGGCTGTAGCCGTTATGGCCCCAAGCGAACACCTCTCCATCTACGCAGAAGCAGGGAAACGTTTATTCATGTTGTCACAGTGGTTAATTTTTGATAAATAGACAAACAGACGACTTCACGTGATTCTGAGCTTGATATTTTCTGACGCACAATCTGTTTCAAATGTTACGAAGACAAGTCCCACCAATATATAACCCAAAATTAAAACCCGCTTTCAGCCTGACATTAATTAACAGGCCTTGTGATTGAATAACTGATGTTGACAACAAGTAAACCAGAGTTTGTTATGTTTGCAGATGCTACTTCAGTAAAATCAAGTATGTATGAAGCCTGGTTATTTGACACTGTCACTCTAAAAGCAAGATGTAAATTTGACTTGAGACTGACTCATTATTTTGATTGTAATTTTCTATAACTTCTGTCCAGGAATGACGCAGCACTGTCATCACACTGTTTTGAATCATTGTGTTGGTTGTGATATTATTCCTGGGGAAACTTTCCCCTCGGGGAAAAATAAATAAGTGTTAGGGAACTGTATTACCTGAAGTAGCGATAACCACATGTGGTCCTGTTCCATAGCTCAAGGACACTATCTTTTTCCCACACAAGACATCAATCCTGCGCGGCTCGATAGTGCTTTGAAGGTCTCCGAGCCCCAAACATCCACTGCAGTTAGTTCCTAGAGCAAACACCTACGAAGAGCAAACATCATGGGTGTAACAGAACTCCTTATGACCAATTAAACCAAACAAAACACTGCTAACTGATAACACGAGGTATCTGGTGAGACAAGACATTAGACAGAAGACTCTTTACTTTACATGGAGGGTTAGATATTAAAGCTTCTGTATCAACTGTCTAAACAAATAAGGCTAATCATTTCAGCCACTTCACATCTTAGTAAAACTAGAGTAATCTTTGTGCGATTGTTTCTAAGAATACTCTGATTTCCAAGAAGCTCTATTGTGAGCTCTATTAGGTAATTTGATCTAAAGTAATTACAGCGTGCAGAGGAGGTGGAATGTAATGTATCTGGCCTTTAAAAAAATATATATCAAAAATTTGTTCAAACCCCACTTACTACTCCAAACCATAACCTGTTTGTGCCACAGGGATAAACATATGAGAGCGGGTAGAAAGATGAGGCATGTGCTACAACTCTCCGTGGGATAAAAATGGAGCTTGCTCGGGTATTAGGCCTGTATGGCTAAAGATAGCCTCATTCTATCTGCTTATCCCTGCAACCGGAACTGCAACCTGTATCAGCCTTAGACTGAGAAGCCTGCAGCATTTTTCCAGACAGTTCTAAATGTTAAAAAATAAATAAATTCAAGTTTAATAATGAAAAACAATCTATCAACTCTAACAACACATGCCAGTGTAAACAAGGAGATTAAGGCATCCTTCGTAAAGGCCAAGTCTTACCTCATCATTAACTGTGACATAAAGGGCTTCATTTGCAGCGCTGCCAAAGACACAAGCCTGCCGGATAAGCCGAAGCTCCTCAGGAGGAAGGAGGGCAAACACTGGCCACTTCCCCACGTCCAGCATACTACTGAGCTGTGAAACAAAGAGCAAAACACAGATATGAATCAGGTCATCCGTTGATAGTTTGATCGAAAAAGTAAAAGTGAAAGTGAACAAATGCTGGAAAGATAAAAAAGCAAAAACGCGTTAGATGTTGCATTTTTATCTAACCTAAGCACTGACTTTCGGTTAAGCAAGATGAGGGAATGAGAAGTTCATAGATTTGAGACACTGTTTGATTTTTTTAGTTACAACTGTTTTCACTCTTAAAACGTAACTGATAAAAAACTAAAAACTGGCAAGACTCAAACCAAAAGAGGCCAAACTTCACTGGTGCCTAAAGGAAACATGCAACTGCCTGGAAATCAAGTAGCAATAAATACATAAAGTGACTTGAGGTCAGCTTATCCTCAAGTTTTTCACGATCACAAAACTGCCCAGGACAAACTAAAGAGCGTGGGCAAAGAGCACAACTCTGTAAACATTAAGATTAAAACACAAGCTGCTGACAAAGGTGAAGCCATTTAAATAAGTGATGAAATGAATGAAATCCACCTCAGGTCACCTCTGCATTCTTGTTAACTGACCATAGCTAAGGTAACACACAATATCTGCAAAACAAGAGTCAAATTATAGGTCAGTAGAGCTGCTTTCCTTGCACAATAAAGTTCTCAGAGCAGTATAACCAGCTTAGAGAAATTGGTTTTAAATGGATTTCTTTGGCCGTTGTATTTAAAAGGAGATTCTCCATGAAGCTTGACTTTATTATTTTCTATGTATATGATAATTAAACCAACTGGTCGTTTAATATGCAGCTGCATCTCTAAGTACATGCAATCTTATGTATAGATTGTATACATAAAACTTAAATATCTGTTTTTTTAAGTTAGCATTAAACCCAGGCTGATTGATCACCAATTTAATTTAACAGCACACCACTTTAATGTATTAACCCTTGAAATCAACACATGCTGAAGATGACACAAACAACACAAACATACAGGGTGTGTTACTCTGTAATACATGCAGGCAGGATTAGCAAGCACACACGTTAGCAACGTTTATGCAACAACAACATAAAGGTGTCTAATGTTTAATTCTCTGACAGACAGCAGTAGTCTAACTGTTAAACTAACACAACTATAAAGCAAAAGTAATGAGCGCTCAGGGTGGAGGTGGTGCTGCTGCTGCTTCAGGGAGCCGCTAACGGTTTAAACTGTTGACGTTACCTTCTTACTGTTGTTTTAGCTACGGTTTCGTCCGCGATGCCGTTTTCTATTCAGTGAGCACCGAAACCCTTGGAAAAAATCTGCGACCATATTTAAAGATTCAAGGTGCCGCTATTGTCATTTCGACTGTCCCGTAGCTTCCTATAAGTTGCGGCTTGTTGTAGTTAGCTTTCATCGCTACACAACCGACGGATAAAAAAAAAACACATTACAGTCCTACTTCCTGTAGTCAGATGGTGCGTTCACAGGCAGTCGGAGCGGGGAGAGTCCAACAGCAGTCATTCAAAAAATGTTTAAAAAGTGGGGGGAATAGATTTTATTTATAAAACACACTTTTACAGGTGTTTAAAATTAATATACAGACAATTTTGGGCAACAAGACCAACAATGTAAAAGGTTAAAAAAAAGAAGAGTCCAATCGCAGCTATTCACAAAATATTTAAAAAGTGGGGGGAATAAGGCCTCCACAAATTGAGTCATCCCTCAGGATAGTATAAATTAAAATTTTCACTACTTAGGCGTGTCTAGTTTATGTATGTAATGTTCCTTTTTAATTACAATTTGAGGGGACAGAGCCTTCTCTGGTGCTGCTCCCACCCTCTGGAATTCACACCCCAAACCTATGCGAGACTGTACAGACCCCCCCTACCCTCAAATCACTTCTAAAAACACAGCTTTTTAAATTGGCTTTTAACCTATGAACTGTTCTTTTATTGTTGTTTCATAATGTGTCTTTTTTAACCTTTTACATAGTTGGTCTTATTACTTAAAATTTTCTATATTTTAAATTGTGTTTTTTATTTTTATTTTTCTTTGTAAGGCGTCTTTGAGCACCTGCAAAAGCGCGTTATGCATAAAATTTATTATAATTATTAATTACAATGTTTTTAGTTAACAGGTTTGCAAATTTAATCTTGACAACCAAGCAGACAAAGCACCACTATCCCCTAAAATTACTGGTGCCCCCTCTGTGGGGCCTGGACCCCAGTTAGTGAACCCATTTTCCATAGGATCAAACATGTAAAAGTTTTTTTTTGTTTTGTTTTGGGTTTTTTTATAGATGTCTTGTACTGTGTATTGCAAAGCCAAAATAGAAATAGATAAATAAGAGGAAATGAAACAGGTGCCATAATGATCAGTCATTATTACTTTTTCAAGGAGAAATTTTCTTAACATATCATGGAAGTAGGGACCGTTCTACATTAAATGTATCTGACTAATTTTGCAAAAGCAGCACTGTATTTGTTTATTTATTTGTTTGTTTGTTTGGAACCTCATTAGCTTCCACAAAGTGGTTGCTAGTCTTCCTGGGGTTCAAAAACTCAAAATCACAATACAATTACATTTTAACAGTTATTTAACAATAAATACAATTACAGATTCAATTAATAATTCTTCAAACATTAAAACATCAAAATCACCCTAAAATCTATGCTTATATAGTTCATTCATACATACAGTTTTGTTTTAAAGTCCTTTTTAAAAAAAACCTACTGCTTATCTGTTGTGTGCTCATAGGCAATTGATTCCACATTGTATGCCTTTAACATTTCCAGCAGATGGAGCCATGGATAATTTGGGCTTAATGCTTGTCAATGCATGGTATGTGATGCTGAGTGTACTGTATATCTACCAAATCATTATTTGTTTATTTTTTATCCCTTAAGATTATACTCTTCTATGACTAAACATATTTTCAAATTTTCCTGTGCATTTTTAGATGGATGAATAAATTACAGAATGTGCATGTAGATGTTTTTGGGTGAAATAAAAGCATAGTGAAATAACACAAGTGCTATTAATTTTGATGCTGTAATTGAGTCTGTTATTTTCCTGATTTTCATGATAATGAAATCATGATAATGATAATTATATATGTTTTGGGTGAAATAAAAGCATGGTGAAATAAAAGTAGTGCTACTAATTTTGATGCTGTCAATGAATCTGTTGTTTTCCTGACTTTCATAATAGTGAAATTGCAAGTTTTGATTTTGTCATTATGATCATATGGCAAAAATTTGCAGTAAGCTATAGGATATATAAATATTAGTATTAATAAGCTCAACTCGCAATCACCATTACTGCATAAGTCTTGTAATGAGGACAGGGAGGATAAATATGAATGAACATCACACACGGACACTTTAAATGAGATATGATGCTGTTAAGGTGGAACATACATACATTTTCTACCGCTATCTGCTTGAATATGACCCCTTTAGCTCCACAGAGCAGGATGAAGCGAAGAACAGTCACGCTTGAGTAAAATTTAAAGGGACTTTATTTCCCTCTGTCTCTTTACAAGTGATTTAGAGAACGAACCAATCAGAGACACGTCAACCTTAAAGTCTCCCTTAGGATAATGAAACGGGATATGGAGGATAATGTTTATTTTTACAATAATTACTAATGAAAATAACATCGTATAGTGGACTCTAAACAGCGTGAAGCGGTTTTAAAGATGTAAAAATAGACGATAAAAGTTGCCTTTCGCTATCTTGGAATTTGGGATTCGTCATGATTTGCTGCGACGCGCATGCGCACAGAGCCCTGTAAGCGATGGCGAAATTCCTGACTTTTATGCAAGCAGCAGGGTTAGATGGAAAGTTATCTCGATAAAATTTGGCACTCGAGCTGAAACTATCGACACTCGGCGTCGTCGCGGTTGCTCGCCTGTTACTTCAGCCTGTTTTCGGGAGAAGTCAATACGAGTGACCGTAGCTGGTTATTGCGAAGAAAGCACATCTTCATCTTGCTAACTATTAGCTGGGTAGCATTAGTAGCTTTACGTTAGCATGTCACATTCTGCCTTGTCTTCTGTTTATCTATGTAGCTAGCGGAATTCTCCGTCTCAGGTGTTTGCAGAAAATAGAAAAGCTGACGTTAAAGATTTTCTCCGTCCTGCTGCATCGGAATCATCATCTGTGTGTGTATCAGTGAAGTCTACTACTACTGCTGCTGCTGCTGTGTCCACTGACCTGAGTGAGTAACGTTAGCCTCCTCCTGTTGTTGGTACAAGCTGACTCAAAACGATTTATCAACATTATCTTTGAGGAAAAACTCAAGCTGAATATATCGTTTGTTAACTACCTGACTGCAATTAAATGTTATGCAATTAAACAGCGAGTAGATAATGTCCCGGTTTGAGTACACACCTGTAGCAAGAGTAAACAAATGATCTGGCTGCACCATTGCTAACCTGTTTTTTATTATATAGCTTCCTTAAGAAGGCTTTGTGTTAATTAGCATTTGTTTAGTTTTTCAAAAGGGGGGTTTATGATGGTAAATCTGTCTTTAAAGCATAGACAGTGTTAGCCAAATGGGTAACACACAGGCTCGATCTCATACATGCTCTGAATTGTGAATCAGCCGTGTGAAGCTGGCAGAAAAATGCTGTCTCTCTGTGTGTTTTTAGCTCTAAACAAAGTTCTCTGACATTATTTTGAACAAATGTATATGTATATAAATATAAGTGATGGTCTGTCTGTATCTCTCTAAGGTGTTGGCCACACAGAGCATCCCATTACTGGACAAATTTTAGTGTACAAAAGGCCAAATGTTCAGTCTTCAACATAAGGCATGCATCAAATGGTTATTTCACACTTCCAAAAAAATAAATAAATACATAAATAAAATTTTATTCATATAGTGCCAATTCACGAGCAGGTCTAGACCACGCTCATTGTTTAATGAATTATCAGGACCCAACCTAAGATGGGACAGATTTAACCCATCTCATCTAACATGAGTAACAGTGGCGAGGAAACACTTCCTTTTAACAGGCAGAAACCTTGGGTAGGACAGGACTTCCACTCACCAATACTAACTCTGGACAGCGTACTGTCATGTTTAGAAGTATGAAAATATGGAATAGTCTTCTTTCTGTCATTACAAGGTTTAAAAATAAGGTATACCAATATCTACTGATCCAGACTCACTGAAATAAGAAACAGAACACCTAGACCAGGCTGTGACAACATACAATACATGGGATTTTGATTATGAGTACATTTATCTTGGCTTTTATTTTAATTGGAAATGTAATGTCATCATAATTTTTGTTTTAGTTATGATTTTAACATCTTGAACTCTTATCATGTTAATTTATACAACTGTTTATTGTCTGCTTGTGGACCCCAGGAAGAGTAGCTGCTACTTATGTAGTAGCCAATGGGGATCCAAATAAATAAATAAAATAAATCCTGCGCATTCAGGGTGTTTTCCCAATATCGCCAGAAATGAAACTGAAAACCAACTGTGCCCTTATCAGCTATCCTCTTTAGCGACAGTCAAATAAGACATTCGGTTAGAGCAGCAACAGATGTCACCACAGTTTCTATATTCAAGTAGTGTTCATTGTGCTGTAACAGGAAAAGCTGTGCACAGGCTGCAGTGCGATGCAAATGCAACACCAGAGTCAGCTGCTGCTGTTTACTCTCAGCAATTTACTGCCAGATTTCCTCCTAAAAGGGGAAAAGTCATAACTCTACGCAAGTGCACATGTTCCTGTTTTAGCACAGATAACATGCCACTCCTTCAGCCTCCACAGGTAACTCTATACTGAACACCTTCAATCCTTCTGGGAATACAATGCCACCTTTTCAAGTCATCGAGTCTCCAAAATGTGGGTGAAAGAGAAACTGTGTTCAGGGACCCCCCATTTTGACTCGCCTCAGTAGCAGCTGAGATTGTCCTCTTGAGACTTGGCAAATGATTTCAGACTCAAACATGGATTGTTTCTTTTCTTTGTATAAAATAATATGTGATACATTTACACTGTCAACTCACTTAGAGGCTAAATGACCAGAGGGGCCCTGCCCCAATAAGAGTGCCATTGGCACCGGGGTAATCTCATGCTGTTGTTTCTAGTGTAGCAGTAGTTCCCCTAAACCTAGTTCATTGACCATCACACTGTAAACTGACTGTGTGGGTTAAGCTCAAGGAGGGGAGGGGCTAAAGCTAACAGATAAGCCAGATCACTGTGGGGTTTAGGGGCGCATGCGCTGGATAGTAATTAGGTTCAAGGACACATGTTACACTCTCTTGGTGCTCTTTCTTTATTTAAACATAGTTCTTGTTAGCTGTCTAATGTTTTTCCTTTTTTTTATCCAGGCTTTGACTTTTAACTCATGTCACTGCAGTGTCTGAAGTGCAACTCTTACTTCTCTTTTTTCCCTCATAGTTTATAATTTAATGTAGTATGTAATTAATGTAGGCTTAAATGATCTTTTAACCACAATAAAAAGCTTTCTTTACCAACTCAATAAGATAAGAAGACCTTTATGTAAGATGTTAATTGGGATAATCTGTTGCTAGAGCGTCATATAGTTCCCTCTGTACAAATTTGACATTTTTTTGTACTTTATTTTTCTTTTACCTGCTTAGTCATTCTTGATTGTCACTCAAAAATAATTTAACATTTTTACTGAAAGGAAGGTTATTCATTGTCAGTATGGAAATATAGTTGGCATTGTAAAAAGACTGTAAAAAGACTGTTTATTGATAAATCTCCCTTTTTGGTGCACAGCTTCAGGTACAATATTATCTCTTTGGTATTTGATCAGGTCTGTTTGGTTTGGATGGAGCAGCTGGCCTAACTTGACTGCTGATTGATGCAATCAGAAAATATCTCTCAGAGTCAGCAGCTGGGCGACTGTGCCAGAAATCACTGCCAGTGAATGACTGACAGAGGAAAACAACGTGTGTGTTTGGAAATTAATTATGATCGGTGTCATATAGCCACTCAGCATTTCATATTCTCATTAAGTCTTAACCAGAAACAGTGTAGTTTAGACATTCAGAGGTCAATTTCCCTGTGCTATTTGTGTTTTTCACTTTGAAGGCACCATTAAAATAACTGAATACAGACCTGACTATTAGTTTAATGAAGGAACAAATCATCAGAAAGCAACCAAACCACTCTGTGGTAGCATTGTCACCGAATAAACATTTGTTACTTCTCAGGAAAAGAGAAAATTATCCTGTTATTGAAGCAATCGGTAAAAGCCTGGTTTCCGTCCTTTACTTGCAACCCTTCATTTCTAAAAAGCGAGGATATCTTATCTCTCAAAGGAAAATGATAGTTTTACAAATAAGATAACATATAAAAATCTCAAAAATGCTAGAATTGCTATCTGGTGTTTACAAAATTCCTACATTTTGAGATAATCCTACTTTGATGATATGGAAGTAAACACACTGACGCCTGTTTTTATACTTTTATAGCAGTACAGGTTTAAGGTGATCATATATTCACACTGTATAGTAGAGGAGAAAGAAGCTACCTCTATGGTTCTTTGCCATTTGTCCAGTATCTCTCATTGACGGAGACTGTTTGTTGCAGGAGCACCTCTTCAGTGGTGTGGATGAGGGAGACATGGCAGACCACACCCCACCTCTGGAGTCTGGCCAGCTTCTCAGCCCTGAACTCCCAATCCTGGCCTCACCACCACCCCCAGCTATGGTCAATGGAGAGGGCCCCCAGCAGGTACACTCAGACCCCTTTGCCCCCGTGTCTTATTGCTTTTGCTCAAGCTTGCTGAATCAAAGCTGCTTTGTTTGACTTTTGGGGAACTGCCTCAGCAATATCCACAGATGAAGTATTCTTCCAAGATAAATTTATTTAGTTTGTTGTGGTTTCCACTCTTCTGTTGTTAAACTATTGTGTGTTCAGGGGTACTGGCAATGCAGTGGGAAAGCTTGCATGCTTTGAAGAACTGGTTGCTCTACAATAACACTTGACTGCTTTGCATAAATATAAGTCTTAAGTGCATTGCATAAATGGGTAATTTTTAGAGGGTGCACTTGCAAAACTTGAGCACTTAAATTGTGGGAGTAAAGACAGGGCAACATAAAACACAGACTGTGTTAGAAAGTCCTGCAGAGGCTGTTGTCGAGGTTTTTTGTGTGTGGAGCATTAATAAAGATGTATCAATGATTTTAAACTATTTTAAAATTTACTTCTCTTTCTGTTATCAGGATTACAATACATCAAAAACTGCTGTTTTCCACAAAAATCTGTCATTTTATTGTGTAGCCACTAGCCGTGGATTGAGTGTTGTACTTGATGTCCCTTAAAAAATCTCACCCTGTGAAAGCTGCTGTGTTTGGTGGTTTGTAAATGAACCTTTCAGTTGTGTCCTAAACTCAGTATCAGTATTGAAATAACCAAATGGGTTTGCTGTTCTCACTTCATGTGCCGGTGGAGCATGGAGTATGTCACAGGTAACAGGTGCTTATGGGGTTTTGAACCAGTCATCTCTCAGTTTTGATAGCAGCGTTTGCTTTGCGAGCGCCGGGCCTTTCCTGTCAGAATCAGAGTGAGACTGATCGGCTCTGACAAGCCTGGGTGATTTTCCTGTCATTTTGATGGCCATCGGTTCAATTTGCTTAAGTTTCCGTGGCTTCACGGGGGACTAGCATGGAACCCGCTGTGATATCTTTTCCGTCATTTACTCGGTCCTCTGCGGCCTGTCCAGATAAGACTGGCTAATATTAGCCCTGCCTTATAAACACACCTTTTCCAGCGTCTTGTCATTTTCCACAGTGGAAAACCCTCACCTGAATCAGGCTTTGTTCACAGAGAGATCAAATTTTGCTGGTTGTGTTGGTCTGTAAGGGTGTTGTTCTCATGGAATTCAGTTACCTCACCACCTCCCACAAAGGTTACCCGATTACATGTACTTGTCTGTGGTCGGTGTTTGCGGTGTTTTATGAAAGCTAGAGGAATAAAATGCTTCTGTACCTTTCTTGTATTTATCATTACTACCCTGCTGCTTGGGCCAGTTTGAGACACTGCATGTTCATGATGGCTAAAATGTACTGCAATAGGCTCCTATGTAGAGGGATAACAAGTACCAGATAACTCAGAGCAGTTCCAGTTTTCTTTTGTTTGTTTGCTCTTTAAACCAAAGCACGATGTCTCGGTTTTTGGCCTACAGGTGTTTTTGTAGACTGCTCCTTACAGACATACAAATACCCAGAGAATTTGTATATAATTAAATACAGTAACAGCTCCTTTGTATTAACCCAAGATTTAATTCATGTCAATTTTCATGCTGTATGTTATGAGGTAGGGCTGGGAAATATGGCCTCAAATCAGATCACCATATATCGATCAGTTCACCTCGATAATGATAAATGGACGATAACTACTCCACAAGCTGCTCACCCCCTCCCACATTAACTTCGTCTACTTCAACCGCCGCTCCAGCCGCTACAACTTTTGAACTGTCCTCCATCTCCTCACCTGTCTTTCCCTCTTGATGTAGGACAGCGTCTTAAAGGGACATGAGACCATAGCCTACCTACACATACAACAACTTTTATGGAATTGTTTTTTTGACACCGAATATACCGACATTATAGGGCTGGGCGATATGGGAATAAGTTTATCATGATATATTTTTTTTGAGCAGTCAGTATCGACATATATCACAATATAAAAAATGAAATTTAACAGTGCTTATTGGTAGCATGTTTTTTGCAGTACAATAAGCTACTGCATCTGTGAGGTCTTTGCGTCTCCTAGAAGTTTTGTCGTAAGGCGTTGCGCTAGAGAAAACGGACTGAATGGTCGGCTGTTTCGGCTGCACAGGTGTTCTTATTCAGCACGAAGCGGACCTGGAGCAACTCCCCTTTTCATCGGCTATTCGTATAGTCTACCAAAACATGGCAGAATGCTGACTATTGAAAAGCATATTGACCATGTTTTATATCGATACTGAGGGAAATTAATTTTCAATGTATATCTATAGTGATTGTTTTATCACCCAGCCCTACGATATGGGCAAAATGACGTTGGTTATTGTAAATTGTAAATTTCGGTATCGGTAAACTTTTCGGTTTGTCGCCCAGCCCTATTATGAGGTCAAAATGGCTTTTGCTTATAATAAATGGCAAAATTCAAGTATACATACAGTGGGAGCCATTACCTCAATAGATCATGCTTCTTCCTGCCTCCATTAGCGAGTAATGAGAACTGACAAAAGGGACATCTTCAAGACACTGCTCCTTACAACGCGTTTATTTTTTTCCTCGTAAATTGCTGCTAAAACTGGATATTACAGACTTCTTCTAAGCAGTCATTATTTCAATAATGTAATATCTGGTGCATATTTTTTTTCACTGTAAGGGGTAAGGTGTGAGTGCGTGATGGCAATGCTTGCGTGTTTTTATTACCTCAGCGTGACGTCTCCTGTCAGAAAAGTGAAGTCTAATAGTGTGACGGAGAAAAGATGAATTTGTTGTTGTGTTTTTTTGAAGACTGTAATGGTTTTAAAATGTGTCGCATTTGTTCCTTGTGCGGTGTTTGTTGATTTATGAAGGTGAAAATGAGTAAAACATACAAGCCTGAATTCTTGGAGCTCAAGAGCACAGATACTTTAAGGATTTTCCCAAATGACTGAATGACATCTGTACTGATTTAGCTTCTTAGTTAATGCAGCCTTATGGTTCTCTTCACATCGATTTCTTTTTTATTTTTTGAAGTCTGCCTCTCTTTGAGTTCATTTTTACTATGATATTGATCTTATAAATTCTCTGGTTGCATTGCTTTTATGGTTATTGGTTTACCCATGGAGAGCTGAAACTTAATTCAGTACATAGAGACCACACATAAGACAGGGTGGATAAGATTTTAGGTAATGGGCCTTTTTTCATATTTATCAGAGAAGCTAAATCTTGTTCTTAATGTAAACAAAACGTCTTTTGAAACCTCCTATTTCATTATAACTCAAGCTTATCGAGATGATTCGCCTTCGTATGACTGTGCAGGCTTCATGAGTGTTGTACGTCTGGGAAGGTGTGTAAATATAGTGACAGCTGCAGAGTGAGGAGCAGGAACCACTGGAGGGGTCTGGGCCCTGACAGAGCAAAGCAGGACGGCGGTGACAGTGAAGAGGATTCACAGCGATGGCTGACCCCGTCGCTTCTGACCTTTAGCTGGAGAAGCTGCAAGGACACTTGATTCTTTGTTCATGGTTTCTTTATCCCGGTCGGTTGGACCAATTATTCTGAGTCAGAGAGGAAGCTGTTGTCTTGGGGTCATTACCTGAGATGATTCCTTTATAGAGATGACTTTGGCTATAGTATGATTCACTGCTTCCATCCATTTAGCTCTCCCACCCCTCCAAGATGTTCCTGCTCATGATGATTGTTGCTAAATCAGTTCCAGATGAATCAGTGTTTTTTTTTTTTTGTCCGGCTAAAGGGTTATGTACTTATCTTATTTGTGCATCCTCTTTTATCTGTACATTAGTCCTCTTCATTCATTAGCCCTTTTGTCCTCCTCGTGTTCTTATATCCTCCATTTTGATGTATTTTAGGTCTGTGTTCGGTGGTTAAGAGACTGTGTGTGTGATAAAAACACCTCTGAGAAAAATTTGATGAGCCGTGAGTAGAAATGGCTCATTGGCAGTTATTTTCACTCCTTGTTAAAACTCTGAGTAGTTACTGTCAAAGTCTTTCCTGGGAATAAACCAACCTGACAAGAAAAGTGCTTCATTACACAATCTTAATAAGCCAGCTGAGTTTTTTGAAGGTAGATGGAGTGGTGTAGATTCAGCCACGTCTTTTCTTTCATTTTTATTAAGTCGTCCTTGATTTGAATTTAAACACGTTCTGTTTGCTCCGGTTGTGCGTGTGTGTGAGAGGGAATGAGAGGGGGAGGGAGCACTCTGAATTAAATAGTTACTCCTCAAATTGAACAGGGAGCACACAGCCATGAGTGTGTGGTCTGCTGGTGGCTATGTGCCATGTGTGGGCTAATGTTACTGTGAGATAGTGAGACCTCACTCCCGACTCAGCCGTCTTGGTGCTGGCCTTGTATGCTATAGCCAGACACAGGAGACAGGGCCTTGGACATGTGCCCATCACAAGTTACCAGAGGGCTTGAGTTGTTGTGAAAAAAAATGCAACCCACACTGCCTGTCTCCTGGTCGGCCACTGAATCATCTGTGGAGATGGGAGTGAGCCCACTATTTGTCAACTATTGTGAGGAGGAGGAGGACAGTGTGTGACTCAGCAGTGTTTAGGACACTTTCTTCCAGTGAGACAAACCATATAATCATGACTGCACCAATATTCAGAGCAGACGCAGGTGCCCAGGAAGATAATACCCAGAAAATCAATCAATACGAACACTGGCCTGAGCCGCACGCAGTAATGGTTCCAGTACAAGTACGGCAGGAGATCATGTCATGGTCTGATGATAGCCTGAAATAAACCAAACAAGATTAATGCTACACATTTAAACATTTAAACAATTTATAAAAAGACTCCTTTATTTGCACAAAAGTTTATTTTAAGGGTAATAGAAATTATATTCGATAGGGTTATATCAATACATTTTAACAGCAATGCACATTGTCATATTGCTGGCAACACATTAAAAGGTTACTGTTTAGAAGAATATAAGTAAACTGATCCAGTGACTAAAAATACAATATATAAGTCATGATTTTATTCAACATTTTAAAGTGTCGAATAAATACCTGGATCTACTCTATTCTATAAGCACCATCCTCCATTAGGGCAGGTTCTTGTCATCAAAACAAAGAGTTTTATTTTCTGTTCCTGATCAATATGAAAGCCGTCACTCACAAATCATGAGGCATGATGTGGGATGCTCTGTATTTTGGCTCTGAAGTCTGGATCATTTTTTTATAAATGTAAAGGTTTATCTGTGTGGATGTGTATCATTACTGACTGCCATGGTAGCTTTAGCCTTTAGACTTAGACTTTAGAGTCTAAGTGAAGATGTTAGTGATGCCTGAGACCTTTTCTGGGACGGTTGAGAAAACGTAGCATAAGGTAGGGCTGGGTGATATGGCCTCAAATCAAAATCACAATATCTTGATCAGTTCACCTCGATAACGATAAATGACGATAACTACTCCACAAGCTGCTTACCCCCGCCCACATTCACTTCGTCTACTTCAGCCGCCGCTCCAGCCGCTACAACTTTTGAACCGGTGTCATGTCTCTGACTTAGGACAGTGTCTTAAAGGGACAGGAGACCATAGCCTACCTACACACATCCAAAACCAACTTTTATTTATTTATTTTTTTGACACCGAATATACCGATATGGGCAAAATAATGTTGGTTATTATCGTAAATTTTGGTATTGGTAAATTCTCGGTTTATCGCCCAGCCCTAGAATAAGGTAACTTGTAGTTTGATGCTCATACATTCCCTTCAATGCCTCGATTGTTCAGCTGAAAGATGGACAGGGTTGCCGGGGTGTTTAATTTCACCTCTGCATGCTGTGCAGACGGTCACTGGTTTATCAAAAGCTATACTTCAGACTTAAAACCACTCTGCTTGTCAATCTATGGCACTGTTGGCCTATGCCCAGACTGTCACTGACTGACTAAAGTTTAGCTTTCCTTTTCATTAAAGTGCAGAAATACATCCACATAACTAACATTTGTCATGCTAAACATAGAATGCACAATATTTCTGTGAAATAGTCCCTAAATCTCCTTTAAACTAAATTGTGAAAAGCTTTATTCTTCATGTCAGATGATCAAGATGAGTGGAAAGGTCAAACATTGTTGTGAGCTAAATCTCCAAGTGAAAATCATGAGCTGATCATAAGACGTCATCATAAAAAGATATTTGTAAACTCCGTCTCTGGACTCTGCTTGGAGCTGACTGACCAAACAAACAAAGAGACCAACCTCTGGAAGTCAGGAATCAGATTGGAACTGAGGACTACTTGAAAGAAGTACAAAGTGCCTGAGCCATGATGAGAAATTCCTCTGGAAAGACTACAGTCCACGGCACTTCACACTTCACAGGGCTGTGGCGGTGGAGCAGCCAGATGAAAGATACTCCTGAGGAGAGAAAAGGTGCACAATAGTGTGCCCAGAGTTTGCAGAAATTTATATGTCATAATCCACAAGCTGAAAATAATGGTGTCTGATTGAACAGAGATGACTATTTCAGCGGTGGCAGAGGGATCCCTGTATCAGAGCTATTTCACTCTGTCATTTATCTGACACCTGCGCCTCGCTGAAGGATGGTCGACTTAGACTGTGAGACGTAATGGTGCAGAGAGAGAACCAGAGTCAAATCCAAGAAGAGGCTCTGAGTTCAGTTCAGTCCCTGTCATATTAGCATTATTATTAATGTGGAGGCTGATTGACATTTAGTGAGACACGGATCTTAATAATGTCTCTGGGTCAATACTGGAACAGAGGTACTGTATGATAAGGCGTTTTCTAAATTGATTGATGTCTAAAAGAAAAAAAGGAAAAGGAAGCAAGGAATGAAGGCTTCAGTTTCTTTTCTGTTACTCTTTAATTTATTTATCTGTGCACCTGATTTGGATATTAATATGAGAACGTTTATGTGCTTCAAAATAAACAACACCTTTATTTCCGAATGTAAAATTAGATATCGTTACAGATTAACTGCGGTTGCTGTGAGTTCTGAGGCGTATGCCGTCACTTGGTCAGGAAACGTGATTTAATTGACACGGTTAATAAAAGACCGGTGGAAAACGACATGCAGTGTAGATTTTAGATAATACATGGGCGCATGAGGTTGGCTGTGTGGACAACATTACGTAAATTGTCTGATAAATATGCAAAGCAGATTGTATTCCCTGACGTAACACTGATAAAAGATATTTATGAGGACTTTCTACAGCATAAGCACCTCTCGCAAAGGTTTTATTTCCCACCTGTTGTTTCCTGCTGTCCCGTCATGCAGCGTTTCCAGGGACTCCTGGAGGGCGGAGGATCATCAAATTGCCTCGAATTACTTTTACACACGTAAGCATATGCCATCATCTGCGTTAGTTCCTGGCTAGTTCCGACACTGTCAGGATTTTCCCACTGTCGTTTGGCTTCTGTTTCCGGTCCACCCAGCTGCTATGTCACATCAACACGCAGTAAACAATTAGGAGGAACAAATAGTGAGAAACCTGAACTCTGAGTCACCATTGACTGAGAAACGTCAGAGCTAACAGCCATGAACGCAGAGAGCAGGCTTATTCTCTGGGGTAATAAAACACAGCAGCGGCGGTCTTTGTGAGAGTGTGTGTGTGTGTTAACTGAACCGTGCTCATTTTGCAGCAGGCGTTAGACGCAGACACACACACCTGTACATTACTGAGATCTTTGCGACATGCTATTTGGTGAATTGGTGGCACTTTTGTCGTCCCTGTTCTGCTGCTTTTTTGCTCAGTGAAGATCATGCCTGTTGTGAGTGTGACCTGGAAACCACCAGAAATTACAGTGCTTGTTCAGCTGTGTGAAAAGTAACCTTTGCTGCATCCTGGCACTGTTTCAGCCTGTCCACTTCCAAACCAAGTCAGCGTCAGTTGTTTTGTGGCCCACATATGAAGCCCTCAAATTTGGAGCTCTGATTTATTGTGAACTAAACCTAGAATTACAAAGTTGAGATCTGAAAGTGTGGGTTTTGTACAGATCATGTTAATTTAGTAGATACTGATGTCTCTAAAGGGCTGCTACTATCTGCTAGTCATCATTTATTATTAACCAAAAATAAATTGCTCAATTTCTTAAAAGCTTTAATTCTGGTATCAGCTTATAAATTAAACATTACTCTTTTGATCTCAGCTCATGCCATTAAAATTTTGATTCTTGCTATATTTTATCTGGTCTTTACACAAAACTAGTGTTGATTAGGGGTGTACCGTTACAACTTTTTGACTTCCGATACAATTCCGATATTGTAGCCTTCAGTGTTGGCCGATACCAATTTGGATACGATATTGGCACAAACTTGTGCATGACGAGTTTTGCATTCAGCTGTGACGTCTTTTTCGGACTTTAACGAAAAATATTGTAGATTTTAGATGCTGGTTGATATAATCCGATATTCGTTTTTTGTTGATATCGGACCAATATCTGGATCGAGACATCCCTAGTGTCGATTTACTTCTATGTTTATAAAGGGAAAAGTAGTTTTTGTTTTACATGTAACGGAACATAATGCAGCGTGTCTTTAAAACTTAAAGCTAAGAAGGGGAGATAGTTACCTACCTTAACATAAAACTAATAAAGCTGCTTGGAAATATTGTATCCTGTTGAAATATCAAACTCTAAATCACAACTTTTCCTGGTAATGCATCAGAATAATGTAAACTGAGAGTCTTAACAGATTTTGGCTTTATTCGTTGGCTTTTACCAGAGGATAGGATTTGACGTTTCTGGTAGGCTGCTGAAAACTGTGATAACTTGATTATTAACAATAAAATTACATAAAATTAGCCCACAATAGCTATGAAGTTTGTTTGATTGCAAAATGTATTAAACATATACAGAAAAAAATACAAAAAACAGGCTTAATTTGGATTTTTGGTTCATAGCTTCTTGTTTGTAGTTGTAAAATAATCTAATAATCTTAACTGATAACCACAATGAATAGTTGATTCGATCACTTCTCAATGTACTGTGCATAATGCTTTGCTTCTATTGCTCATCCATTCTTGTTCTTTAAATAGATTTTTTTTTACCGCACATCTCCCTTAAGTCATTTCATAAGCCTGTTATTCTTGAATCTTGATTATTGCTGCGAGCAGTTTTAGGACTCGAACACTTTCTTTTTCATTGAACTGAAAGTGAAACGAACGGTAGGTTTAAATTGTGGAGAATCTGCCTTAATGTACCTCTTGCTCAGCAGTATCATCTGCTAGCTTGGCACACGATCAAATGATCCACTGTCGCTTTAAGGAATGATCCATTGAGAATGAATGAGGACAGATGTTCTGAAGCGGTGAATACTTGTGATCGCTGTTTATTGTGTCGCTGTACAAATAGTGCCCCTGTTTTGACTGTCAGTGGGCTGCTTTGTGATCTTTAAAGACAGTAGAGAACTGGAGGGTGCAATTGTTGCCGGCGCTGGAGCTCTGCAATTGAACTCCCACCACCTCATCTCCTCTCACATCGATCGGAGTATTAAGAGAGGGTGTATGGCATGTCGCTCTGTGAATGGGAGAGGGAGCCAGAGAGAGTATGAGGGGGAGGGAGAGAAGGCGGAAAGGGAGAGGGACTGTAGTGTAGTCATGTATGTCAGCCTCAGAAGCTGTGTGGGTCGCACAGCTCCCTCACGCCATTGTTGTTGTTGTTGTGAGAGGAAAAAAAAAAAAAGGCAGAACAAAAGACTGCCCACGCTGTGGAACCCTTGTACCTTTGCCGGCTCAGTTGTGCTATGATCACACCCCGGTGGAATGCTTTTGAAATTAAGCATATTAAGGAGCACAGCAGGCGCTAACTGAGCTGGCACACAGTCAGTGACAGAGGCAAGAAGGAAACTGAAAGCCAACTGAGGCATCATTCATTCCTTCTCACATTTGGTCCTGTTTTTTTGGGTTCATCCACCTCCCTTTCCGGAGAGTGGCCGCCGCTGATAAGGTTTCAATCCCTTCTCTGAAGGTTTGGCGCGGACATCGCTGTGGCTTATTTGTTGAAGGGGTTGCTGTGGATACTGACAGTAGGGAGGCTGCACTGGAGCCAGAGGCACGAGTGAACAAGCAGCCTGCTGCAGCGAATGCTACTATGGAGCAGATGAGGTTGAACCAGGCTAAGCAAACATAAGATACACGCCACACTCTCTGTGAAGGCTGCATCCAGCGGGAGAGAGACGGAGCCCTATCCGCCTACATAGCTCCCGCTGTACTCCTCGCCTCTCGCCAGATCCTTTCTGGATTTTGTGCAGGAGTTGAAGCAAGTGGAGGATGTAAAGAAAGACCAGCCCAGCCAGATGTGTTAGCATCGTAGGTCATGTGAATTCTCATGAGGGCTGGGTGAAGTTGTGGAGGGTCGGTTGGACCCTGGAGCATCTGTGACTGCGTGAAAACAGCGCCTGAATGAGAGAGCGATGCGGGCAACAGTAAGTAGCAGTAAGATCTTTTGCAAGCTGAATTTTCTTCCTTTGGATTGTGTGCACATGTGCAGTGAATTTGTCAGTTCAGATATCGGATGGAACTTCTCATTTTAAGGTTGAAGTAGTTGTCTTGCGTGGATGTGTGCTTCCCACAGACAACAAACACGCACATGCATCAGACTGTGAAGTGCCGAGACTTTGATTCAATTAAACCTCCCTTGCCTATGCATCCCCCTCCCATTCTCCCACCCTCAGCCTTACCACCATCATCCACACCGCTGACGTTGCCTGTGTGGGTGTGTGTGAGAACATGTGAGTGTGTGTGTGTGTGTGTGGCAGTCAAAGGGCTCTTTCCTCTGCCTGCTGAGCACATGAATGGGAGCAGTGTCAGAGATGGAGGTGCTGATGATTTCTGTGCTTGAAGAGAACCATAGCCAAAGCCCTTTGCCAGGGGAGTGTAGATTCTATGACAGCGACTTCAACAAGAGTGAGGTAACGAGCGCCCACACATATTGCCGAGCAACAAAAAACCTAGTCATGTGTTTTATTTCAGCGTGTATAAGACGAAATCGAGAGTGATGCATTTGTGATCGTATCACCGGTCAGAGAAGTTTTATCAGAGTATGTTGTTGTTGATTAACTCGGATCAGCCTGTTGAAGGTGAAAAACATTGTCTAAGCTTTTCTGCTGTTGTTAAAAGAGAGTACAGTTGTAATTAGTGTTAAAATATTCCAGTGGGGTTTTTTTTCAATCAGACTTTTTCCTACTTCAGCTCTGATACTCAAGTCTTTCAAAAATGACAAAAGCAGCATGACTCAGTGTAAGGTAGCAGCGTGTACCTGATGTTTCCAACGGCAATGACGAACTCTATTGAAAGGCATGAAATAGTAATAGTTTAGAGCTGTTAGGTTCATTGTTAAGGCTTATTACTCATGAGACACATTAAAATACAATATGTGAAGGAACAGCTCGATGACTAACATTAATTTCTTCGAAGGTTTAACATTTACACATTGAACATTTTAAGATGCAGGAGTTTGTAAAAGGTGAGATGACGATATGATCAATTTCTTTGTAATTTCATATTAAGTTGGTGTTGTTAATGTTCCTTAAAATTGATCAAACCTCTCTATTTCAGACACATTGTACTTTTTCTTGAGGTTTATACTTGATGCTGATTATTTGGATGATTCTATGAAAGCAGACACTAGTTAGCCTTCACTGTCTGTCACTCTTGCTCTTGTTGATTTCTCACCCATGACAGTTTTGATGGACATTGGTGTTGATAACAGTTGGTGTGATTGGAAGACAAGTCTGGTTTTGGTTAAAGCTGGGATGTTTCTGTTGCCCTTATTTGCCTCCATCTGTTGATACCTACATGAACATTCTTACTGGAGGGATACAACGTGTATTTTTTTTTCTTTTCTACTATGTTAAATTTGGCTCTATATTGTCAGGGTAACACCAGACCATTGGGTTCTTTCACAGGCCTGTTGCTGCTTTTATTCACATCAATATATTGATATGGTCAAAAGGACGTTGATTATTGGCGTAAATTTCTGCATCGGTAAATTTTCGGTTTATCACCCAGCCCTACACCTGACCGTTGGGTTCTTTCACAGGCCTGTTGCTGCTTGTATTCACACTTACGCTGTGGGGGAAAACTTGCAATAAACTGAAGAAACGTTGACAAAAAACAGCTGCTGCTTTTGTTTTGGAAATGCAAACATGTAGAGTTTCCTTCTATAAAGAGTAGGGCTGGGGGATATGGCCTCAAATCAATATCACGATATATTGAGCAGTTCACCTCGATAACGATAAATGGACGATAACTACTCCTCAAGCTGCTCACCCCAGACTGAACCGTCCTCCATCTCCTCACCTGTCTTTCCCTCTTTGTTACGGACTGGATGGGGGTGGAGTCACGTTTCTCACGTAGGACAGTGTCTTTAAGGGACACGAGACCATAGCCTACCTACACACATCCAAAACCAACCTATATTTACTTATTTTTTTGACACTGAATACTGATTTGGTCAAAATGATGTAGGTTATAATCATAAATTTCGGTTTTGGTCTTTGGTTTTTCAGTTTATCGCCCAGCCCTAATAAGAAGGTGTCAGATGTAATGTTCAGTCAAATAATAATCTGCTTTGTCTCTCCACAGGTAATCCTGGTGCAAGTAAACCCAGGTGAGGCCTTCACTATTCGACGAGAGGATGGTCAGTTTCAGTGTATCACAGGTGAGAAAGCTGCCTTGTTATTATCTGCATATTCTCAACAGTGTGCTGCTGAGTTTGATGCAATGTCTCTCAGTCCAGTGATAATGATCGTGTTACTTACAAATCCCTCATTTGGTAATAATGGGTAAAACAAAACTTTAACAGCTGCTCATAATGACTGCTGTTGTCACTTTTTAAAGCAAGAGTCAAAAAAAGACACTGTCACGTTCATGTTGTTCGATCACGTGTTTACATACAGATAAGCAGCGTGTCAATGTGAGGAATAGATATTAGAATCCAAAAGCAACAAGCTGATCAAAAACGAGCTCTGGCATCACCTTCTAAAAATGATTTAAATAAACATGTGCGCATGCTGATTGCATTTGACTGTGCCAGTTTTCCGCGTTTGCTGTGAAATTCTTCACAGAGTGCTGTATATTCTTTTTTGGGCAAAGCTCCACTGCTCCAGCAGAGAGTGCTCCAGAGAGAAAAGACATCATTCTATCACTGTGCGAGTTTCAGGGCATTGTGACCACAAGACAAATGCCTTCTTGACTGCACTCTTCACCGAGCTGCTGAGAGCTCACTGAAATGTATTTCTCACTTAAAATTCTGAGAGCCCAGCTTATACCCCGTCCCCTGTGAAAGGCGGTAAAACATTTCCGATAATGCTGTAAATTCGGAAAATGTATTGACCATTGTAAAACAAATCTGCCTCTGAGTGCAAATAAAGTAACCCAGCCTGAGACGTGGGGATTTTCAGTACAGCTCGGGTTTATCTCAGAATGAATTATAACATTATTATTATTATTGTCAAGCAAGTAAAAGTAATGTGCAACATACAGAAAACAATCATCAGGAACATTTCTTTTCTTTGTGTTCATGAATATTCACTTTGAAAACAATCTTGTTGAGTGTTATTGATTCTGACATAAATTTGTAATCTGACAAAATCATAGTAGAGATGATGATAGTAGTTTGTTGTTGCGGGGAGTAAATGTTGTCAATATAATGTATTGACAACATGATTTCGTAGGTATGGTAGGTATTAAAGTCCTTCCCTCTCGTAGACTCCATCTGGAACAGCTTTGCAACAGATTAAACAGTCTCACAACAGCAAATCAGACGCAGTCTTTCCAGTTCCTTGTGTTTTCCAGACAGCTAACAGCTATCATTGCATTAGTCTGAAAAGGAAGAAAGAAGTCACATCTTGTCTGTGTCATTTGAATTAAACTTAAAAGCCTCTGTAAAAACACTCGCCTAGGGCTGGGCGATAAAACAATGACGTTATATATCAAAAATTCATTTCCCTTAGTAACAATATAAAACACTGTCAAGATGCTTTTCAATAGTCGGCATTCTGCCATGTTTTGGTAGACTATACGAATAGCCAATGAAAAAGGGAGTTGCTCCAGGTCCACTTCACACTGAACCGATCATGTGCTGAATTAGAGCCAAGTAGCAATCAACTGCGTAATAGCAGGCCGCAGCTACATGCAACTGTAACCTTTTAACACGTGAAGCCGACAACACTGTTGGTGAGAAAATAAGAAAATGAGTGCTACACCCGGCAGAAATGCAGATGAAGACTCAAAACGAAAACGTCGGTAAAAACGTCAAAGATGCAGTAGCTTATTGTGTTGCAAAAGATGTGCTACAAATAAGCACTGTTAAATTTTATTTTATATATAGTGATATATATCGACATTGACTAATATGAAAAAAATACATCGTGATAAACTTTTTGCCATATCGCCCAGCCCTACACTCCCCTGACAATAACTCACAGCTTACCCAATTTTAGCATTTGTTAGCAAATTGGCTCACAAATGTCAGTCCTACTCGCCAGTTTCTGTTTCGCACTTTGCTGGCTCTAGTATGCTAGCTAGGGGTGTCCCAATACGATATTGATATTGGATATCGGGCTGTTATCAGCAAAATAACGAATATCAGATTATATCGACCTTCATCTAAAATCTCCGTTGTCGGCACTCCGATACAAGCAGTCCATTCCAGACTCCGCTCCGGCACCTCTATCGAGCAGCACCCTGATCCAGCAAGCTGAGCCCACAAAATCACAACAACAACAGTGTGTACTAAAGTACAAACAAAGTAGCAAGGAGTACAATTTTGTGCCAATATTGGATCAATATCTGTATCATATCGGAAGTCAAAAAGTTGTATCGGGACACCCCTAATGCTAGCCTCATTGTTCAATAAGAAGAGTACATTAGCTTTAACTATAAATAGCTGTATTCCCTCGCACTAAGATTAAACTGCAACACCCACCGTCGGGCACAAACACACACAAGATTCATCGATCGGACATGAGTAGCATTTCTTTTACTTTGACCTGCATTGCTCGTGTCAAATAGAGTTTATTTGTGGAAAAAAAAAATCCATGAAGGTTATGCGCTAACATTGGGTACAGACAGAGTTGTATTTCAGACGCTTACCTCACCCTCTGCAATACCTGCTTAGATGCACATGTATTTTGAGAAGGGAGGAAAAGCTGAAATGATCCTCTGATGGGGCTTCCTTGGCTGTCTGACAGCAGGTACGCATTTTTGTTCTGTTTCGGGAAGGATGTGGCGCTTCCCTGGGATGCATGGATCGTGAGTTTACTGTGTCCATGTAAACTGAACCCTCCAGAGATGCAGGAGGTGTACCTACAGCAACAAGAAGTTCGTTCCAAACTGAATTTCTAAAAGAGGACACATAGGCTGTTGAAAACTGTGTTTGGCTGATAAATTACAAGTAAATGAACAGATTTTTTTCACTGATATTTGCAGCTTGAATCTGGTCATGCAGGTTCTTTAAGTTTATACATTCGGATTAAATGTTGGCGATTAAGTCTTAAGCTTTTCTAAGTGTAAGATATATACACAGATGTGTGTCTGACCTTATGAAAGCCAGATTTGATTAAGCTTCATATTTCCATTATTTCCCCCACCAAGCCTCATTGAGCTCCTTTGCGTGTGTGCAGTGACAAAAGGGAGGGGCTTGGCCAGGGAGCATTGACGTATTTTTACAGAATAATAAGATGACAGTCATGTCTCACAGCTCCCAGACTGCTCAATGACATAACTGCATCAGATTTTTTTACAGCCAGTATAGACAAATACACATCCGGAAAAGAGGCTTATATAAGTGCAATATGCCTTTTGTCATTATTGAATCCACTTTATTATTATTGATGTTTTATTAGAAAGATACAACCCAGTGTATGCTGTGTCACCCCTGCAGTTTTTCCAGGACTTTCATACTCTTGCGTTAAAATCAAAGTATCTCTTTTCCCCTCATTGGCTCTGCTATCTGAGTGTCATTTGGCATAGTGCTCTTGCTGCTTAATTTGACAGATGATAATACGAACCGTGCACTGATGGACTATCAGAGGAGAATAAGCATATGGTATAATTACAGTGTGGTGGTACTGGAGTTGGAGCAGAAAGGCAGTGTTTGAGTAAGATTTGTTACACATTGGTATTTGTCCTGATGACAGTCATTTCCCTTTCTTCAATAGCTAGTGATTGTGCTGGCTTTGTGACAGCAACAATGAAGTCTGGGTCCAATGCGCCTCTGAAATTGTGAACAGGAGACAGCTGGAGTATTTGTAGGAGGCAGAGCTGCAGGGCCGTAGTTGTAAACAACTGTGATAAAATGTTGTTACCTGGTAAAACATAGATCTCAAACATGATTTACTTTGTTTAGGGCTCCGTTCACAGACATCCCTCTGTGCGCTGACATTTCATGCGCTCACAGACCGCTCTTTTTTTTTTTTCTTTTGTGTGATTTGATAAAGAAAAGTAAACTAAACCAAGGGTGACAGCATGATAGAGCTTGTGACTTGCTGTGTGGGCGAACACAGCATGATGTGTTTGTGACATTTCAAGTATAAATGTAATGACCCTCATACAGACCTGCACTGACGCTCTCAGGAGTGGGTCACCTGTATGTCTGTATATTTTGACTTTGCCCTGTCTGGTGACGAATATGAATATCAATGGGTGCAACAGGCCTGTGAAATCGGACTCCTGCATCCAGGTTTGAATGACACAAAAGCAAAAACAGGGATGTAAAGCGATGCTACCCGGGCAGGAAGCCATCATACAGTTCACTCACGCAGGGGCTCTTCTCCCTACTCCTGTCTGACTGTGCTCCCACCCCGGCCTCCCATTATGAGCTGAGTAAACCTTCCTAATGGGGAGTGAGCATACAATGTCTCTCCATCAGAGGAGAAACAAAGAGCTGAGAGGTGCCACATAGATCAGTGTGACTGCTACTAACTGGCCTGTCACAGGCTGCACTCATCTCTCAGTGACGTGGATAGAGGGATGACTCACTGCCTGCGGTGCAAGGAGGGAGGAAGAAGCGTGTGTATGTGGACATGCATGCATGCTGGTTGGTTTGATTTGTTGTGTGTTCTTAATTACACACACGCTCCTTTTTTTACTTTTGTCTCTCTCGTACATATGCGTGCTGTCAACTTTAACCCCGGCTGACAGGGACAGTGGTGCAGCACAACAGAGCCGGGACAATCTGCTCCACTTGTTTCTCTCGGGGTTTGATCTGTCCCGCAGCAGTTTGTGCATTCAGTTTGTATTTTTAGCATCTGGATGTGCGTAATTGCTACACTTTAGCGCATGACAGCCTGCCTAATATGAACCGACAGTCTTGTAAAATGCAGTTTATAAAAGGCATTTGCCTTTGTAATATTTGCCTCAGAGAAGGGGCCTTGAGCAAAGGAAGCTGATTAGAGTGGCCTTTAAGCATCCTTCTGCTCTTGCTATGCTCCTTGCCATAAGGGGAGTTATGTATGTGAGAGAGACAAGCCCCCCCCAGCTTTACACTCAGACCTGCAGACGCCCCTGGCTCGGTCTTTATCAGCCTCCACCGCTGCAGATTTGATGGCTGTTTGACTGTCACCAGGTAAAAAGACCACCCGACATGCTGAGTGACTGATGAGGCAAGTCTGCATCAGGACCATTGGGTTGATTAGATTCACTTCTTCATATGAATTAGGCTGCCGCTGATTCACATCACTTTGGATGATTCAGCCTCTGGTTGATAGCTTGAAGCACCGTCTAGTTCCACTGGGCTTATTGAGCCTGATAGAGATGTGCTTCTTCCTTCTTAAGCCAAAACAGTCATTCTGGCATCCCGACAGGGAGCTAAAGATTGTATGCATCTGTGTGTGTGTCCGTGTGTGTGTGTGTGTGTGGTTATCTACTGTACACCTTTTTTGCCATTGCTTTTCCATTGTCATCTTTGTTAGATGCAGGTATGGTATTCAACCCATTTTTTCTCTTTACTGGAAAATGTGTTTTTTCATTTATCATGGGGCTGCAGATATATTCACTCTTATTTCTCACCAATGTGTATTAAGTTTACAGGAATATTACCCTTGAGTTTTCTTCTTCAAAATAGACAGTCTGTGACGTGATTGGTTTGACTTTAGAGGATTTACTGAAAACGGTCCAAGCTGTTGAATAACTTGGACTTTTACAACCCAGTTATGCTGGAAAATAGCAGGTAGTGATGTGTGTTAACCAACAGTGAGGACAAGCCTGGTTATAACTGAGCCATGGGTTTACAATCAGAGATTCAGTTTGGACACAGGGTGATAATTACTACTAGTGGTGAGGGTACAGAGATAAAAAAAGGGTCAAGAATCAGCCAGGAAGGATGAAGGGAGGGAAAGGGTCCATGCCAGCCTCTAAAACCAGTCTTTAATGGGAGGGGTCTCGCCAATCGCCTCTTCTGTCATCTGTTCAATTCGCACAACAGCAGATGAAATTGATACACAATCGTTATTGCCTCCTCACTCAGATGTCTCAGAAGAGACATCTCATCCTTATTGGACTTTGATTCCTTAGACCTCTGGACAGCTTTCCTGGTCCTTTTCCTAAAGTTTCCAACATCTCTGGATCATGGTCATACATTGACAATGGCTTTTGGAGTTGGTTTTGAGCCAATGCAGTGATTTCCACTCCAAAGTCACATCAGATTTTTAAGGCAGTACTGCCCAGGGGCCCACATATCACAACCATGCAGTGCTGGTTTTTGGCCAAGACCCTTTTGTGCTGAGATTTCTCTAAATCATTGATGGAAATCATGGTCTGCAGATACGAAGGTGACATTTTCAAATTCTCAGTAGTAAGAAACATCACTCTGAAACTGATGAACAGTTTGCCTATTCACTCCCCCCAGGATCGAATGCCCTTTTTTAAACCCACTCATATCACTAACCTTCATGAGCATTTAGTTTTCATTAACAGATCTTTTTTTTTTCATCATATTAAAAATAAAGGATTCCTCCTACCCAAGACGTTTTAGAAAGACACATTAATCCTCTTGAAATCGAAGCTGAAACCTTTTATTTTGTTCCCTTTGTATCCTAAAGTTAATGTTCAAATATAAGTTGGTAGATCTATGTCAAAATAAAGTGGGGAAAAAATCGTGTCCGCCCATTATCTTTGTATCTCTCCTTCCGTCTTGCTGTAATTTCTCACCCTTTCCATGTCCTCAGTGTCTTCCAATGATTTCATGTTGTGGCTGGTGAGTGGGCAGCAAGGACGCAGAGCCATCATGTAACAATGGCCTTGCACTGGCGGCGCTGGTATTGTGCATCCATTAGGCCATTATTAATAGTGAACTAGAAAAGCACTTGGAGAGCGCAGACCTCCGTCAAGCAGCTCATGTCCCCCCTTATATTGTGATTCACACCAAAACTTTGACTGTTACGTGTCTTTTATTAACGTTTATTTGTGTTTAAACTGGTATGTTCACTGTTCATAATGTTCCTAAAACAAGAAATGCCCTAACCCGGATTTAAACCCAGGACCTTCTTGCTGTGAGGCGACAGTGCTAACCACTACACCACTGTGCCGCCCATTGGTTATCTTTCAGCATTGAAAATTCCAACGACACCCTTATTTTTGTGTGTTCTGGATCACAGTATCTGGAATTTTGTCTGGATCAGGATCAACCTTTGACACCTCATAAAACTCACTGAGATCCTTTTGTGTAATTTTTTACTAAAGACTCTAGACATTTTTATAGAGTTAAATGCAAAAATTCCAAAATTTGCCCTATCTCACAATGATAAAGAATCCTTCAAAAAATTCCTGGATCCAGAAGGCGATCCGGATCACCACCAAAATGTAATGGGATCGTCCTGGGGCTGAGACGCACCTCTGGTGAAAATTTCCGGTCAATCAGTCTGTAACTTTCTCCGTAAAGTTGCTAACAGACAAACAGACAAACAAACCAACAAACAAACAAAACGCTACCGAAAACATAACCTCCTTGGCGGAGGTAAAAATGGCCTTGCACTGGCGGGGCTGGTTTTGTGCTTCCATTAGGCCATTATTAATAGTGAACAAAAAGGCATACAGCATGTGTTTGGACATGTATCACCATGATGATTAAGATTTAAAGCTGTGTGTTGGTTGCATGTTCCCTCACCAGAAAAAATAAACACTTCACATATGACTCATGATAGGATCATAAACATTAGACCCATTAGCACATGATTTTTCTACTCCCCACCTCCCCATCTCACTCTAAGTACATGTGCTAAAACATTGGCATGAGGACACACACTTTTCATTCACATCTTCTACGGTGTGCGTCTCCAAGAATGACTGAGCTTGTGATTCATTCTCCCATTGCTGTTTTCATACCAAGAGGAAGGAAGAGAGGATGAGAGAAGGATGAGGAGAGCGAGGGGTGTTAAAAAAAACTTGTTTTTGTTCTAAGTTTAGTCAAGGATGGGATGTCCAGGGCATGTCCATTCAGCTGTTTTTTGAGCTTGTTAAATAATCAACTTCCCCGGTTTTGTAAGGTCAGCTTCTTGTTACAGGGGGGAGACTGGTTTTAGGGTGAAACCGTCGTTTCCTGAACAGAGGCAAACAATTCATCATTTAAAAAAAAAAAAAAAAGAGTCTTTCCGTTTGGCCGGGAGCTGCGGCAGCAGTGTGATGTTCTGAAAAAAGCACAAGCATGAAGGTTACTGATTCCCCCTCCCCAAACAGGACACGTCATCCGTGCCTGTAGGGCTGCGAGAAAACATGTGTTTGCCTTAAAATATCAGGAACTCAGACGGAGTTGACTAACACATAAAATAATGGCTATTCTTATTAAGACGCTCAGTTGTTTACTGTCTCGCTTCCTCCCTCCGGCTCCTGTTTGCACACAGATCACCTCTGAATACCCCGTACTTCTGCTCCTCTTTGTGCCTGGATTGACGGCAGTTGGATGCTAACAGGCATGTTGTGAAGACGTAGCCAGGCGGAGAAAGAGAGTACACATCCTTCCTAATCTGTTAATAGAACGTTACGCTGGCTGAAAATTACTACCCACTTAATTGACGGAAGATCTTTCCAGCCTGCGAGGGAAATGTGCCATGCCACGTTTTAAGAGAACCAATCGCCCCAGTATCATCACTCCAATTACAAGGTTAGGGTTTTAACACGCAATTAGTCGTTTTTTTGTTATTTGCGGTTCATTCCTAGCCTCCTCCCTGAGCTCAGCTGTGATTATTAACCTGTCAGTGAGGCTGCTCACCCTCCCTTACCCATCTTCTCTCCTCTTTATTTGTGGATGGAGACAATTTATTAGGTTCAATTAATAATCAAGCCTGCTTCATTTTTATAGGCTCACAGTTCATCATGTTGCCATCGAGGACTTATTGAAAGCTCCCGTATGAAAACCCTCTGTCTCAGTCTTACTACCTGACTCACTCTTGTTCTCTTGTCTGTGTGCGTTTTGTCGACACTCCTCCTAACCGAGGTAACTTTTGTCCAACTTGTCTTCTCTTCCGCCTGCTATTCTCTGTGTTTAATTGAGGGTTCATTCGTACATCCGATTAGACCTGACAGTTCGCTCAGATTGTTGCTCTCAGAGTCATGTCTGGCAGCGTGCTTTGGTTGAACCGGTGGGAAGTCTCACTTGTTTGTTAGGATCTTAGTTCATTTGCAGACGAGTGAGAACAGGTGGATGCTCACATTGGCCTTATGCTTGTGACACTGTATGCATGTGGACATGTCTGGCTTTTGACAAAGTCTTTCTGTTATGACTTAACCTGAACAATTATCCCTATTTCCACAGTATCCTCCAGCCCCCTCTAGACAAAGACACAAAGCTCCGGTTGATACTGTGGGCCCGCCCCCGTAGGCGGGGAGGTGAGGACGGGTTATGAGATGTTGACAGGAGGAGATGGTGTTTTTTAAGTGTTGCCTTGTCTCTGTTTACACTGCCAAAACAGGCAGCTTGTTTGTGGCTATTCCTGGCTCAGTAGAAGCCTATCGTTTTGTGGAGGAGGACTGATGTTTTTCCCGTGGCTGCTTCCTCTGGAAGGCTGGCACTCCACGGCCACGTCAGCACAACCAATGCTCCAGTTGACTCAAGGGGAGGGAAGGAGGAGGGGGAGGGGAAGTGGCCTTTTCTATCTGATCTCTGTCAGCACTCGTGCGTCAGTCTGATGTAAAAGAGTGGGTGTTTTTTTTCCCCCCATTCTCCACCCTACCTCCCTTCTCTTTTTTTCTGTCTCTCTTAAATGTGTGTGTGTGGCTTCCTCATCCATCCTTTCTCCTTTTACCCTCTGCTTTCTGCTTGTCCTCTCCTCTTTGCACTCTCTGTTGGTACATACAAAGCTTTCCAAACAAGCAAACAAAGGCATGATGAGTGCTAATATGATTCATCAGATTTCCTGTTAGTCAGCATTGGCGATAACTGGAGTTGTTCAGATCAGTCATTTAGCAGGTGCACAGCGGCACCTGCTGTAAGCACTCTCTGATTTATTAGTCTTAAAGTGAGTGGAGATAACAGAGCATACTTTGAAATCCCACGCAAATGATATTATCTGAAATCAATAAGAGCAGAGGCAGTGCGACTGCCGTCATTCAGGCTGAGCTCTGCCCTGCTCCCTGAACTGAGGGAAATGAGACCTTGTATCAGTCTGCTGGCCCTGTGCATTGAGAGGGGCTTCAAAGCTGGTTGCCCTTTTGATTTCTGAATCAGAGGCCTACCTGCTATCTGTCAAGTCCAATTATGTTGATCAGCCGCTAGACCTCTACAGTGCATACAGAAAAGTATTTCAGCATAGAGGAACTGCAACCAGCAAATATTTACTTGATTTTAGTTGGTGTTTAAAACAACAACAACGTTGTAATTATAGGATTAATGTAAGCTGATTTAATACACACACATTAAAGGCATTATTGTCAGAAATTTCCTCCATTTTGGAAGTTTCACAAACCCTCATTCTTCCTCCCTTTTGTCCCTTTTTTCCTTCTATGCCTCGTTTGCCTTTTAAGGGTAAATGTCTGGGGACATAATGTGCAGCAGCAGCCAGCACTGAATAATGCAACAATGCAAACTATTATCTGTTTCCTGATTTACACTGTAGATAGCAGCAATTCAGATAAAATAAAATAAAATGTACCGGGGCGCAGGGATTAGCTGAGCAGGTCAGCGCGCCCCATGCATGGATCGAGTCCGTGTGCTGCATGTCCTCTCTCTCTCTATCTCCTTACATTTCACACTGTCCGACCAATAAAGGCAAAAAGTGCCCAAAGAATACTTTAAAAAATAAAATAAAATGTACTAACACTTTGGGTAGAACTGAAGATTCCTCTTTATTTTTAAGTTTAGGACACGACTCAACGACATGTTTAACTTCATTTTTGTTGTTTTGAACATTGAAGGAGGAGTATTGAAATAATCAGTTGATAATAATTGAACTGCTGCATATGAATACATGAAATGACCCTCGCATAAGCTCACCATGTTTATTTAGAATAGTTGGTAAATAATGGCCGTCTGACTCATTCATGGAATTGGCTGTATGGTTGGTATTCCTGTGTTCAGTCCAGTTACACAGCGCAGTACTTAAAGTGTCAAATGTTATCTGGGTCACTAAAACTGCGTTGAGCGCCTGTCACTTGGAGTTATTCATGTACAAGTTCACGCTGACTTCCTCTTATTCGATCAACCCCCGGAAAGTTTTCACTGATCCTGTGATGGAAAGAGGCAGAGACACATTTCCAAATCTTAATCGAATGTGTGGATGAGTTTTCTCTGACGAATCGACTCTGTTTAACTCTGTTACCGTGTTTGAAATAAATCAGAGTGTCAGTCTGATAAGGTAAAAGAAGAAGTCAATGATTCAGAGACTTGGGGTTTCCTATGTGTTATTTATTATATCCTGATTATAACCCCACTGTTTCTTTTCTGAGTGAGTTGGAATCTGGACTTGAGCACCTGAGGGGGTGGCGCTTTGGGTTACAAGTGGGAGGTTTCAATGAATCATCCCACAGGCCAGAGGCCAGCCTCTGTAGTCAAGGGCCTGTCATAGCTCCTCATTTAGAAGTGCCTTCTCTCTTGTTACTCCAGCGTTGACAACATGAAGGAAAGCTCTTACTCCAGCGGGCTGTCTGGAGGTCAGTGTGTGTTGTGGATCTTTTCACTCCCCTGCATGACATCTGGGCGTTCGGGGGCCCGAGTGTTTACGTCTTACGGTTGTAAGGAGAGAAATGTGCAACTCTGCAAACTTGGCACAGAGGTTCCTCTCGCTTTCTCTCTCCCAGGCTTTCTGCTGAGCTGTCACTTCTCTGGGCTGAGCTAAGCCGCTGCACTGGCCCTTACAATGGAGCCACGAAGGAAACCTTATTGTTGTTTCTCAGCCCTTTTCTTCCTGTGTTCACCAGAATTTTATGAATACATTTCTGTGCCTTGTCTTGGCTATGATAAGAGGAGGAGGTCTCCTGGTTGTCAAGGGTTACAGAAGTTAAGTATGTTAATTATCTGTATGAATGTTATTGAGCAGGACTGAAAATTAACATTTTTACCTGGTAACACATCACTAGGGCTCTTCTCTGTAAACATAACTTTATTTCTCAAGTTTTTCTCATAAATTCACAGTATGAAATTTTCAGTACCATTCCCAGGTTTAGGATACATTTATTGATTTGTGAAGCTGCAGCCTGTTATCATAAACTCTTCCCTCTGTGTCCTTCTCTGAATCAATGAATATTTGTAGCAATAACGAGTTTTATTTCATCGGTAGGGGTGCATTAATGAAACACTCTCTGCTGAAAACTTTCTGCTTTTCTTCTTCCTCTGCAGTTTTGGCAGCGACTGATTCTGATGCAGACCAGCCACCACATTGGTGTAACGCTGTAATTGCAGTTAGAAATGACAAAGTCAGCAAAAGTGCTGTCCTCGAAAAAGCAAGTTCCTAATGAAAACCCTGCCGGAGTCTGATGAGGCTCGAGGCATTTGAATACGAGACTGAGGCGGCTGCTTTGTCGTGAAATATACTTGAAAACCCTTGCATTATTTATCAACAAGCTACCACCTGTAATATTGACAGGGGAGGAGTCAGAAAGCCTAGTGAAGAAAACAAATGAAAGTCAAATTATCAACTGAAATGATTAATCGATGACCGATCAAATGGTTGTTGAGAATGACGTCAATCACGCAAATATTCGAACGATCTAACGTTCAAAGATCAACCTCTGCTGATCAGAAGGGATACCCTCATTGACCAGTCAGTGTATGTGTGTGTTGAAGCAATGAAGTGACTATCACCGCGCGGGATGATTTTGACATTTTACGAGGGGAGTGATACAACTTCAGCGGGCTTCCATAGAAGTCAAATAAAAAAAACATAGAACACAAGAAATAGACCATTTCGAGCGGGAAAATTATGAGGTTTGCTGCAGACACTGCAATGCTGTGTACAAGTAAAACACGACAACACCCCAAATGATATACCACATAAACCACATACAACTTACTGAGGTTAATGAATCCTGCAAGTGCTCTCAGTCTCAACCTACCTTCAACTTCCCCGATTTCGGGGGTCAGTACCCGTTTTGAATGACCTGTCCTTGGCTAAAGTTGTCCCTGGAAATGTCCCCAATTTTAGCGTTTCATGAATGAGAAAAAACAATGGTTATAATGGTTGCCAGGCAGGTAGGAAGCACCAGTAAACATGTAGCGCCTAGTCTGGGGGGCGTTTTTTTTTTCCCAGGATGGTAGGTCCCGCCTCCTTTGCCTCTGATTGGCTAGAAAAGCTGGGCTCTGATTGGTTATTCCTTATGGCTGTGAAACGTCATCACACACTCAAGCCAATCACTGGCTGTCGGCTCTGTACATCGAACAGAACATTATCGCAACTCTGAATCTCCTAACCTTAACCCTAACCCGAGAGACAATGACAATTCACAGCCATTAAGAACAACCAATTGGAGCCCAGCACTTCTAGCCAATCAGAGGTGAAGGAGGCGGAACCTTCCCCTACCATCCTACGAAGAACAATATCACGTCCTGGGGGTGGGGTTGGGGTGTATGTCAATTAGGAAAAACACGGTTATTGCGTATTTTCTGCCAAAAAAAAAACGATCAAACCAATGATTGATTGTTAATTTGTATGATTAATCAATCAAAGGACTGTCTTCAAATGCTCATTTCTAATTAAAAGTCGTTTTTATTGTATCAGAGTTGAATGCTGTCTGAATTTGCTGAAGTTCCAGAGGTATCCATTTGATAGATCTTCAGTTAGTTACAGTAATCTGTTGGGAACATTAGTGTTTCCGATGTATTTGTCACCTGTCCTAGAAACCGTTATTAATAGACAGTTATGAGTCATCATGGAGCTTCTATCTTTGTTCCAATGAATTTATTATTCACACCCAAAATTCAGATGTCTGGTCAGACAGGGCCCAAAGTCTCAGCTCTGTACCCGCCTCGGCTAAAACCCCTAAAACACAAAGCACAGATGAAACAGATGTTCTGCTTGAGGGAGATTGTTTGATCTTACTCCTGCTTTCCCAACAGGTCCTGCTCAGGTTCCCATGATGTCTCCAAATGGTTCAGTGCCTCCAATCTTTGTGCCTCCTGGATACGTATCACAGGCATGAGTTCAAAGCTGTTTCCAGTCAAATGCTTCTGATGATTTGCATCTTGTTGAATTTAAAGCGGCACATGATATCTGACATCTGTGTTCTCCACTCTCGTTTGTTCCCCCTCTAGATCATAGAGGAGAATGGAGTGCGGCGGGTTCTGGTTTTACCTCAGCAACCAGAGTTCCACCCAGGGGGCCACTCCCCTCTCCACCACCCTCCACCTCCACCCCATGCCCACCTGCCTGCCTTCATCCCACACCCTGCCATGATGCCCCCACCACCCCATCTGTACACTGGCATGGCAGGGGGCGTGGGCGACATGAGCTCTCAGTACATCTCCCAGTACCATCCAGCTCATATCCACTCAGAGCAGGGTGAGCTGACTTTAACGGCCTCTTTTGAATCAAGATGTTATTTATATGAACTCGACACTTTCTCGGCACTCTTGAGTTCAATAATCAAAGTTCAAGTGTCAGTTTCTTAATATAAAGGAGTTTATTCACACCTGCTCTATTCATCAATTATCCACCTGCTTTTCTAGCTGACATACACATCCTTTTGGAATCACGTCTTCATCTGTAGTAACTCGAAATGTCTTTTTCTTCCCCAAAGTCTCTGCAGATTCTCACTCCCAACACGGACGGCCCCCGTTTGTTCACAGAGACGACAGAACTAGCAAAACATACGAGCGTCTGCAGAAGAAACTGAAAGAGCGTCAGGGAGGCGGCGGAGGAGGGGGAGGAGGAGGAGGAGGAGGAGGAGGAGGGCAGATGAAGGACAGCCCTCCCCCTTCACCACAGAAGACTTGCAGCAGCCCTCCGACTGTCGACATTCACAATGGTGTCGGAGGGAAAGGGCTGGAGGCAGAGCAGGGGCAGCTCAGCCATGCAGTGGTTGGCTCTGACAAGCAGACAGACAGGGGGAAAAATGGAGAGTCAGGAGGTAAGGAAGTTACAGGGTGGAGGTCTGTTGAGCTTTACAATCTGGCTGACACGCAGCAATTTCCGGATGTTTGGACTGTGTCGTGTTTAGGAACAGTGGACAGCGCCTCATTAGGGGCAGCAGCTGGTGGCAGCACAAGATCAGAAATATAGCTAACATTAATCTTGATTACATACACCCCGACTGATCATCAATCATAGAGTTGAACACTGCCACTTGGCTTCTCCAGTGCATAATTAAAGGATTACTGCCACCTCACGAAATGTAAGGGAAAATAATGTCCTCCAAAAAAAAGGAGGGGCTCATGATTATCGCTGAAATCTAGGAACACCGAAGTACGAGCGATTTATCTTTTGACAGTATTTTAATTTTTAACTTTTGAGAGTTTTCAAAAAAGGTGAAAATGTTTGACTATGATTGGAAGGTCACACAAGCTCACATCAGGTTTGAAACAGCAGGCTTGTGCTTCAACTTTGGAAATGGTTTGACAGTGGCAGCAGCCCTCAAGGGATCCAACAATATGGTTGTCCAACAGTTCAATATGTACTTCGATTTTAAAGTCACAGTTTTGGTTCAGCTGGATTCTGAAAGCCCCAGACATTTGAGTGTTTGTGTTTGTTATTCTTAGGTGTTCTGGGCTTATTTACAAAAAAAAAATCCAGACAAAGCAGCTGTTCTTTTGATTTCATAACTCTTTATTCCTTTTAATTCAATACACAAAGATTGCGAATTCACCTTTTGCTGCTTATGAGATTTAACTATTTAAAGTGAGGGTTATTTTTTTTTTCAACACACCTGTAGTTGTTTCATAGAGGTCAAGAATAACCTTGGTGCACAAAAATGTTCAAGAGAGTACTTTGTCATAATGTGGATCGAGTCTTTTCATAAAGTGACAAAAGCCCACAATCTCTGACCACTTTGAATGGCTGCAAACCCTTGACAATGAACACCCCCACTGCCTCCATTATGATGGTTTTTGTGGATAACAGACAGCATTAGCAGGGGACTGTTGCTTTTTGGATGATGGTGCTACCAGCTGGTCTGTCCTGGTTATGGACAGAGATAATACCAGGTGACGGCACTGCAGTGAAATACTGTTTGCAGACAGTTATGTTATTATTTGTAGGTTTAATGTAGGGCTAGGCGATAAACTGAAAATTTACCCAAACTGAAATTGTCCACAATAACCGATGTCATTTTGCCCATATCGGTATATTCGAGTTGTTTTTGGGTGTGTGTAGGTAGGCAATGGTGTCATGTCCCTTTAAGACGCTGTCTCCCCCTCATCCAGTCCATAACAAAGAGGGAAAGACAAGTGAGGAGATGGAGGACGGTTCAAAAGTTGGAGCAAATTTAATATGGGAGGGGGTTAGCAGCTTGTGGAGTAGTTATCGTACATTTATCGTTACGGAGGTGAACTGCTCGTGATATTGATTTGAGGTCATATCGCCCAGCCCTAGATAGGTGTCTCTTTTTTGTGCTTTTTTTTTTAAATATATCTGTCTGCTTTTCTCTCCTCAGAGTTAACCGAAGATGCCCAGGCTCTACAAGCACTTCTGAGCACCATCAGCAAACCGGTGGTTAGTACTCTCTTGAGTTATTTGTATGTATTCTTGAGTTTTTAAATACGTTTTGTATGTTTTAATAAGCAAACATGGAAACCAGTAATGATGCAAATGTGTAGCATCATTAAACATCTTATCTCGCTAATGGAGTCAGAGCTGCTGACTATCGTTCATCCGGGGGATCTCTATTCCCAAATGTGCCACCAAACAACCACAAAAGCAGTTAGTAAAAGGTTTGAGCTTTACTTTTGAATAAATACCGACTCTAACTAAACAATTACCAAGCCCTTTTAATGGTGCGCTGCTCTCTGACTCTCTGACAACTCAGTCCTCTTTTCAGTCATTTGATGGGGCCGGGCTCACAGCAGTAATTAGGATAAATAAAAAGTACAAAAAGTGTTTCATCAGCCGCTGGATGAGAATCATTAAAACTCGGAATAGAAATTCTCTCAGCCTAATTTCATCTTGTGTTTGTCATACAGAGGTCTGAACAGATCCATAGAGGAAGTAAAAGGAGGTTTTCTAACACAGAAAAGGTTAAGCATCAATAAGAAGGAGTTTTATCCGTCTGTTTCCACCCTGGTTTGTTAGAGGACTGAGACTGTAACTGTGCGAAGTTAAGAAGTAAGGTGGGCCCCTGAGGGTACAGAAGAGTACCGACCTGAACTGACTGAGTTCCTCCACATACGAACTCCCCTCCACCCCCCACCCCCACGTAGTGAAGCTCAGGCTATTTTTAAACCATCTCGAAACAGAATGAAATATCTCAGGGTTGCACAGCACATGCCTGGCAAAGTGCTAAAAACCTTTCCCCAAAGTGGCACCAGCATCAATATTTTGATTTATTTCTCCTCTCTTCTACTTAGCGGAGAGATTTTTGTGTCACTATTGAAGTAAAAAAATATATATGACAGATGTTCTTCATTTTATTTTATATATATAACTTGAAAACAAAGCAGAGGACATAAAACCAGACGTGCCCTTCTGTGGACTTTAGAGAACAGTGAAGTTAAGTCTGAGATGTTGTGAAATGTTCATTCTGTGTCCAGGTTTGATGGCGTTCAGAGACTTGGTAGTAATCCATGAAACTTTCGTACTTTTGTAATAGGTGTCAGACATTCAGGCAAGGAGGATATTAGTGAGCTGGAGCGCGCCTACAAAGCCGGAGAGTGAGAACGGTGATACGGAAGAGGACTGTAACCCCCCGGACCCCTTCAGCTACGAGGTCTCGGTTTCTTTTAGTGGAAAAGATGGGAAGTACAAGAGCATGTACTGGTGAGCATTCACAGCTGATCCTGTCTGATCATTTTCATACATGGATATTTGTAAAAAGAAGAGAGTTATTATTTTTGTCTTTTGGTGCAGTGGGGAAGAACTAAGTGCTACTTTGGAAGACCTTCGACCAGCAACAGACTATCATGTCAGGTTAGTGCTCCACCAACACCACCACCACCACCTTAAATGCCGTTTCAACATAAGTCGAACATTTTATAACTTCTGCTTTTCTTCTCTCAGGGTCCAGGCCATGTGTAACTGTTTACAGGGAAGCCCATCTGAGGCTGTGAGCTTCACCACATTATGCTGTGAGCCGGATCCTCCCAATGCTCCAAGGAAGGCCAGCGGGACCAAGAACACACTCGTACTACAGTGGAAGGTAAAAACAGGATAGGTTAAACCACAGTTTCCAGATGTACATCACAAGTAGGAGCAGCAACCATGAGACAGACATCAGAGATTTATTAAAAGAGGATATCTGGTGATCAGAAATCAAACGATATGCTTTACCTGCAGGCTCCAATCGACAACGGCTCGAAAATCCAAAACTACGTGCTTCAATGGGACGAGGTAATTTTCCTACACTCATTATTTTATGAGCGACTGTGTGATGAGGTTTTCAGCGTTAAAACTTGAGGCTTTTGTCTCTGAAGGGAAAGGGCACTGGGATTTTTGAGCAGTGCTACTACGGACCTCAAAAGCAGTACAGAGTCACCAAGCTGTCTCCAGCTTCAAGATACGCCTTCCGCCTTGCAGCAAAAAACGACATGGGTGTAAGGTAGGCGCCTAAACATGCTAGGATATTCCCCTCCCTCTTGTCTATTTTTATGTGACAGTTTCGTCCATTCACTGTCTCCACCTGTGCGCTTATATATCTGTGTCTCACTCTGTCTCTCCCGTCGCTCTCTCCCATTCTCTCCCATCCTCCGTCTCTCTCTGCCCTCCCCAGCGAGTTCAGTGAAGTGGTGGACCTGTTCACCTCATGCAGTGTGCCATTGCCACCCTTCCCTCCAGAGCTGGAGATGGCGGGGGTGACCTGGCTGTGTCTGAAGTGGCAGAGGCCCACCAGCTCTCCGAAAGAGGATGACATCTACTATATTTTGGAGATGGAGGAAGAGGGCTCGGTATGTCTCTCTCACTTAATCTTTTTGTGAAAATAGGGAAACCTGCTGTTGTGTGTGTTGCTAAAACACATATATGACTATTAGAGTTAGACGATTAATCAAATTTTAATCATGATTTCGATTTTGGCTTGAATGGACCCCTGTTACGTGCAGCTGCAACAAGCTTGTGTGGCTCAATAATATGAGTAGCAAGCGATTGAAAACATGGCAGAAAGGCAGCTTTTTATTGAGAAGTAAGGTAGAACAACTTAAGTTACCTGGAAACATTTTGGCTTTAAGTTGACGGACGTTGAGCCAAAGGAAATTGTTCACCGAGTTTGTCATGCTGTCGCTTCTGCTCCCAAGGCAACACAACCAACTTCAGGGTTTTCCCGGTATGCAGTTGATCGTGGCTCACCGCCACAGCTAATTAAAAGCCGGCACACCTTAAAAATATATATTTTTTAAAATTTGCGTGGCTCTAATTTGGACTCGGATGTACAGTGCTTCCGGAAAGTATTCATACCACTTCCCTTTTTTTCACATTTTTTTATGTTACAGCCTTATTCAAAAATGGATTAAATTCCTTTTTTCCCTCAAAAATTCTACATAAAATACCCCATAATGACAAAGCGAAAATTTTAGACATTTTGCAAATTTATTAAAAATAAGACACTCATGAATACTTTCCGGATGCACTGTATCAGTATATGCACGCGCACATGGGCGCTGCTAATACTCTGCACGCACGTGGCGTACTAGCATTAACAAGTTATCGTCGGCGATCACACAGCTGATTAATCTTTATTTTTTACTTGTTACATGTTTATTTCTGGCTTTTCATTTAAGTTGTATTTAAAGTTAAGTTTTGGTTGTTCAGAAAATACTCAAGTTTTTAAATTAATGAATTAACGTGTTTATTAATCGTGATTTTAAAATCAGTCTAAATACTCATGATTATTGTTTTCTGCCATAATCGTCCAGCCCTAAAGACTATGTTTGTCATATATGACCTTAATTTTTTTTTCTTTTTGGTACACATCAAATGTGATATGTACATGATATTTATAGTTTCTCACTGATTCATGTGTTGTGTCGGTAACTTGACATCTCAGCGGTTTGCTCTTAATCTTTCCTTGACATTTATGCTTGTTGTCACCTCTGTCTGCACCCCCTCAAGCAGTTACCCACAGACAGTGAAATCCCGAAAAAGTACCCTCCTCCACTGTTCCTGTTCGTCTTCAGCACACCTCTTTGTTTTTGTACTACAATGGTTGTTGTCTTGTTAAGTCATTGCTCACCTGGTTGTTTCTTTTCTCCCTCTGTCATTTGTCATCGTCACAGGGATATGGCTTCCAGCCCCGCTACGATGGCGACGAGCTTTCTTGCACCGTCAGGAATCTCCACAGGAGTACCAAGTACAAGTTTCGGGTAAGGAAGCCCTGCGATGTTTGCCTGTGTCAGAGCAGGTGATACATAGGTTTGATTTGCTGCAGTGTGTTCTTGTGGAGGGGGGAAGGCTCCTGGCGGGGAGGGCGCTGAGGCCCACAGTGGTCCTATGACTCATCTGTTTGCGGGATTCTTCATAAGGGCAATGGGCAACTGAGAGCATAAACACCAGAACTCCAGTGCTCTTCACAAGCGGGGCCCCAGTGAGAAGCCTGCCAAGCAAAGCTTTTGAGCCACAATGGCGTTTTGCTTGGCAGCGATGTGATTGAGTTTGGGGACAAATGAATGACTTCCTCTCTATGTCGCTGGTTGTCTGCCGCTCCCTCATCCCCTTCCTCATTTATTCAGACGTTCTCTTCCACAATGTTGACTTTTTATTTAGTGGCTCCAATGAACTACAGATGACTGTCTTAAGCCTATTATTGCATGACCACTGCTGTAAAGATATGACCCCAGTAAGCGGCTAAATGGTTGCAGTGGGAAAGAAAGACAGAAAGAGTTTTGTGAACTGAGAGTCAAAGTTGTACCAGAACAGTAAGAGAGGATTCTAAATGTGCTTTGGTGACTTTTTCCATTGTTACCATCAACACCTCCACTGTGTTTGTAGTGATTCACACTTTCAAAAAATAATCTGCATGTATTAATATCCGGAAAACACTCGCCAACAATTATACTATTTATTCTTCTTTGAGTCACAGAACTGAAGAGAATATATGATGAAATATCATGTCTGTTAGAAAAAAAACAACCAGCAACAGAAGCAAAAGTAGGATTATTTTCTAAATATTCGTCTCTAAAACAAAAATGAGAAAAATGGGTAACGACTCATTTTCCAATTTTTGTTTTCTTTAGCTCAAATGAAAATGCGATAAACGGATAACAACAATTTTATCAGATTTAGACTTTTTCGTCCGTAGAAAGTTTCATGACACAGAAGTGAACAAGAAACGGGCTTGGGCGTCACGGCTGGGCTTAAATTATTCATCTCTCCTATGGCACTTTTTCCAGGATGGCAAAAGCAAAGTTGTGTGTCTGATACGGAAAATGAGCCGTTATCCTTTTTTTTTTCTTTTCGTTTTAGAGACAAATATTAAGAAAATAATTTGTTTCCTCATTTTTTAATTTTAGGTTTTATTTTGAAAAATGAATGCACCAATGATACATGTTTTCGACATTTTTATCTGATTTAGACTTTTTCGTCTATAGAAAGTGTCGTGACCCAGAAGTGAATCGTGCACAGACGTCAAGAGAACAAGAAACGGGCTTAGGCATCATGGCTGGACTCGAGAATTACTCATAGCTCATATGGCACATATCCGACCCTGTCTGATATGTGTCCTTTTCTCCTCAGGTTGTTTTGGGCACAGAACCTTTTGACATTTCAGAACACCTCGGCACTCCCGCCTCCTGCAGCGCAATGAAAATCTCTGCACGAGTTTTTTCATCCTTAAAAAAAGTTGATGATTGAGCTCTGAATAATTCTCGATTCCAGCCGTGATGCCAAAGCCCGTTTCTTGATCACTTCCAGGTCACAAAACTTTCTACTGACGAAAAGGTCTAAATCAGATAAAAGTGTCGTTATCCATTTATCCCATTTTCATTTGAGCTGAGGAAAACGGAAATCAGAAAATGAGTCATCGTCTGATTTTTCATTTTCATTCCAGAGACGAATATTTAGAAAACAGTTTGTTTTGTAGTTTCTTTATTTTTGGTTTTATTTTGAAAATCGAATGAACAAATGATACACGAATTGTTACAGCCAGATGTGTCGTTGGTTTTAGTCTTTTTTTAGAATTGATCCATAATTTTGAAATCTCAGATCTTTGCTGTTGTGGTTTCAACTAATTTCACATTTGTAATAGTCAGTTACCAGTAAAGATGCCTAATCAAATAACTGAGCTGCAGCACAAATATTCAGATATTTTTATTCAGCAGGCAACAAGTCATTATCTGCCCAGCCAGGAAGCCATGAAATCATATTAAAGCATAAACTGATAGGATCATTACATTTTCTCATTGTTCACAGAACTAAAAGAAGTCCTCTCAGCATCATCCCTAAACATGATATTGACAGGGAGGTATTTTGTGCCCACCATATGTCCAAATGACAGAAATGATCATTAGTCACCCTCAAGACTCCCCCCCTCCATCATTTCCAATTATCTCGCTGCGCAGTGTGTGGGGAGGCTTGATGCTGTGCTGGTTTGTCTTGGTACAGTATGTGGATGAGTTGCACTCAGCAGGCTCACAGAGATCTGCCCATTATCGCAGATATGCAACAATAAAATAAAATGCCTCTTAAGCTTATTGCCTCACTTTCTGATTGCAGTGCTCAGGGTGTCTAAACAGTTTTGTGGAAATGTGTTTGCAGATGTAAAGAGCTGCATCGTTTTGATAATGTGGTATTTGTTTATGGCAGAGGGTGTGTGTTCACTCCTTAACCCTCACCCCTTCATTACCTTTCTCTGAGTCTCGTCAGCGTTTGTTATCAGGAATCATAATGAGCTTCATAATACACTCGCCCTCTTTGACTCTTACTGACGGTGAATATATGACTCTGCACTGTGCCTGTGTTCATGCACATCCTCCAGGTGGCGGCATACAACTCAGAGGGAAAGAGTAACCCAAGCCAGGTGGTTGAGTTCATCACAAACCCAGACAGACCCAGCAGTCCCTGCAGGCCTGTCATCAGAGGGAGAGTTCTGCCCAACAGTTTCAAGCTGGCATGGGGTGAGTATTTCCTACTCCTGAGAAAGATGGTTTTACCTTTTTTCACTTTTCTCATTTAATCCTGACCGACCACAGTCAAATCTTAAAGGGATGATAGCTCATGTAGTGTGCACAGTAGACGATTGACAGTTCTGCAGCATATTCAGACATAGTGATGAATCCTTCCCAGACCTCACAGGACAGACACGTCACTCTCAGCTGGACTGTAAATGGAAAAAATGCATCTCTGAAAGCAGTTTCCATGCCATAAGCGATGTGTGTATCATCAGCTTATTGTATTTAATATGTGTAGTAAATCATAATGAGTTTACTGTTATTAAACTCCTTCCAAAATTTAGATGTCAAATATATAATTACAAATACCAGGGATGCACCGATCCGATATTTGGATCAGATATCGGCTCCGATATTGACAAATTAACTGGATCGGATGTCTGATGAATGACGCCGATCCATCGTTCCGATCCAGTCTTTTTTTCTGTTAATTGATATCAAACACAGCGATTCTGTTCGCTCTATATTTGTCTGTCTATCCTTTTGCACTAAATGTTTACATGGAAGTCTTACTTCTTTTGCTGTGTGCTAATGTGCAATTTGTCAATAAATAATATGAAGTAAATTTCTATCTGTTTTAATTTGTTACCCTTTTTTTTAACAAGGCTAATGTCAAGCCTGATGCCTTCACTCACAGGGCGAGGTATAATGTTCATTCATTCAATATTGGATCGGTATCAGATATCAGCCGATATGCTCAGCCCAGGTATCGATATCGGATTGGATCGGAAAAAAATGGATCGGTGCATCTCTAACAAATACATTTATAGTTAATTTTTATAGTTTTTTTAAGTATCTGAATAAAAAAACTGATTTTGTGAGGCTTCATAGTCGAAGAAGTGAGTTTATTCATTTTTTCTTGTTCATTTCTCATTCAGAGCCTCCAAAAGAAACTGGAGGAGCAGAGGTCACAAAGTATGTTGTGGAGCTGTCTGAAGGCTTGAGTGGTGAGTTATAAATGATTATGATAAAAAAACGTTTCATTATACAAGTGAAACTGGCGTTGATGCTTTTGAAATACAGAATTAAAGCGATCTGATGCTGTGTTTGTTTTTAGGTATGACATGGGAGCTGGTGTACACAGGGCCAGCCATGGAACATGTGTGTGAAGGCTTGAAACCTGGCTGCTCCTACCAGACACGAATTTACTGCATGAGCGAGGGGGGGCAGAGCCCGGTGAGTCATTCAGCATCAGCACATGTGCACACCCAGTCGCGCCCACTGTTCTATGTTCCCTGCCACAGACTTTCTGTGGAGTTTGCTGATCAGTTCCATCGATGTAACAGTGGACACGTTTTTTCTGTGAAGTAAAAAAGACTCTCCAGTTATCGGCACGAATCTTCAGGCTGTTATGTACACTTTCATCGTCAGGGCCAGCAGGAGGAGTCTCACCACACCCTCAGATCACTTCTACATGAATAATTCCAGACATGCAGTGTCTATTTATGTGGATTTTAATAGAAAATTATCATTGAGCCAGTGTCCTATGTTGGGAGATTAGACTGTGCTTCCTAGTGTGTAAGTACAAGACAAAGCCTGCTAATCGATTAACCCTCCCTGCATGTGTCGGAGGATGTTTTTTCTTAATTAGTTCAGTTCACAGACACTCTTCATTAATTTCTTCATCAGCTGTTAGTGCATGCATTTATTCATGATGGGGCTTGTGCAGAAACATGACTCATGGCAAGATCCTGCCTTTTGGTGCAGCGCAATGTGACATAACACCCACATATTTGCCTCCTGTCATTGAAGTCAAGAGTCTGAGAGACAGACGATCTCTTTAATGTAATTGTTGCCTTTGTGAGGACGAGAGGATATCTGTCTGCGCACAAATATATGTCTGTCTCTGCGGTGGTCCGCTGAGGTCTGTTTGAATCAGTCCAATGAGCTGGTTAAGACAATGATTTCCTACTGGTGTGTGTGTTTTTGTGTCGTGCGAGAGGAAGAGGAGAAGGGCGAGATTGTCAATTTGTTTTTCTCTGGGTTTTAATTGGTGTGTTGCCTTCCCTTGCAAGCTGTCGGAAACCCTGCAGGTCCAGACTCCCGCAGTGCCCCCAGGGCCTTGCCAGCCCCCTCGGCTGGTGGGCAAGCCCAAAGCCAGGGAGTTGCAACTGCGCTGGGGTGAGTCATTCCTCTCCATCTCAGATCTGTGTGGGATGCATTCTAGCTTCTGCTGATGCATTTATTTGTCTGGCAAACTACCTCAAAACAGCATGCTTATATCGTACAGTTTGTTTGTATTTTTTCTTTAACCATTTTAAATCTTATTAATGTCAATATCCTATATGTCAAATAAAACAGTGTTGTTTCATAAACACTGGCTACGCACATTTTCCAGGTCCCCCTCAGGTAGACGGAGGCAGCGCTGTGTCCTGCTACAGCGTAGAAGTGAGTGGGCAGCAGTCTGAGGAGAGCAGGGAGGTTTACCAGGGTCCAGAGCTGGACTGCTCTGTGGGAGGCTTAATGCCGGGTAAAACCTACAGCTTCCGGCTCAAGGCTGCAAACAAAGCTGGGGTGAGGAAAAAATTTAATATAAGGATTGATTGATACAAGGAGAAAGGAGTTTCCTTTGTTTAATATTACTAAACATGTCTCAGTAGATGAACATTAAATATGTTTGTCATTTTTCGGACAGTTTGGACCTCTTTCTGAGCGCTGTGAAGTGACAACCGGCCCCGGGGCCCCTGAGCAGTGCAAAGCTCCTTCCACTACATGCAAGTCCCCCAGCTGTGCTGTTGTGAGCTGGGAGGTAGGACCATCAGCCACTTTCTATTCCCCCACTTTTTGAAGTTATGAATGAATGTATTTATTTCAAACATGTATGCAAAGAAATAAAATGATAGAATAATATAAATGTAATGTAAATGATAGAAAAAAAAAAGACGTGAAGTGATTATACATGTTCGAAAAGGAGTAGGAAGAAGAAAATACTTTTTAAATTCCTATCTCTTACTACTTTTTCTAATGGGTTTAGTATAAAAAGAACAAATTCTGCTATTAATGCAATAAATTATACATATGCATACTACAAAACAGATAATCAATATAAATGTTTATCTACCTACAACAGAATCTATGATAGATAGATAGCTAGATAGATAGATAGATAGATAGATAGATAGATAGATAGATAGATATGGATAGTTATATAGATTAATATTATAGATATAAATACATACTATAACTATATCTAATATCAGTCCACTATATATCAAATACTACTCAATTTCAGCATAATTTTTCATGTTTTTTTATTTATTTACCTTTAATTCTGCTATTAATGCAATATATTCTACATATACATACTACAAAACATAACACATAACACAAAAACGTTTATCTACCTACAACAGAATCCACGATAGATAGAGAGAGAGATAGAGAGATGGATAGATAGATACGGATAGGTATGTATAGATAGATATGTATAGATAGATAATTATTGAGAGATGGATATGGATAGATAGTTATTTAGATATAAATACATACTATAACTATATCCAATATCAATCCACTATATAGCACATACTAATCAATTTCAGCATAATTTTTTTTATTTTTTTAATTATTTAATTTAACCATATGCATTAATGAACATTTACATTTAAATGCATGAGATTATAGCCAAGCGGCCCATTTCCATCCCCAGTCCCATTAGCAGGTTGTTGTCAATACATCAAATCATTAATAGTAATGACACACAGAGCATATCAGCAACAATATAGATGACAAACAAACCAAAAATAAAACAGGAGAAATGAACAGGAGTTGTGTTTCATTTGTGTCTCAGACCCCTCCCAGCAATGGTGCTCCAGTGACAGAGTTTCGACTTGAGTGGGGGGCCGCTGAAGGCAGCATGCAGGTGTGTTACAGCGGAACGGGCCTCAGCCATGAAATGAAAGGGCTGCTTCCTGCAACCAACTACTTCTGCAGGGTACAGGTGAGAACAAAGAGGCAGTTAAGTTTCTAATTAGTTTTTTTAATTAACATTTGTTCCTGATGCTGAGAGAGAGATACAGCTCTCCACTTATTATGGAAAATTACCTTTTATCTAACAAACCCGACATGAATTAGACATTTTGAGAATCCTAGAGGCTTCAAAAACCAAAAAGCTTCATAGTAGAGTAAAAAATTTGGTTCTACTGTTTTTGAAAATTTTGTTTTTCTAGTAAATGAATCGTTGTTATCCACTTTTCTTGCATACTTATGAAGAGGACATCACGACCGAATGTTATAGCTGTGTTTCGTTTTTAGGATTTCCTTCACGGTGCGGTTTGACTCTGTCGTGATCAATGAGAGATCCTTCATTCACTCAAACTCACTTTTCTCCGTAGTTATGAGTCGGCTCATAAAGCAGCATGATATTCTATTTCTCATTCGTGCCGTTGCAGACGTTTTAAACTGTGACCAACAAAGCCAGACTGAGTGTCACAGAGACACGGTCTGGCATTTAAGTGTCCTTTGGGTCTGGTTTGGGCTGAAATTTCAGGCTCGACTTTCAATCTCTTTCGCAGTTTAATGGCAGAGAAAAGATCTGGCTGCTCGTGGGTTATCACTCGCAGTCTGCTTAGTTTCCTCGCTGAATCTGATGGTGCACAGGACAGCCAGGATTCATCTGGTAGTCAAGACATAAACCAGACTTTCATTTAACCTTCCTAATTCCAATTTATAAAAATAAGATTACATATCTATTCACTTTATGGCTTTATTAGCATCAGAAATTACACTTTTAATAACTTGTTGAAACCCCAAGTAAAGATGTTAACATTAGAACTCCCCCCTGTGGCCAAGCGTGAACATTACAAGCGTCCTTTCACGTCACAAGTGAGAAATTGACGGTGACTCCTGTGATTTGTTCTCTGCACAGGCTGTGAACGTAGCCGGAGTCGGACCCTTCAGTGAGGCGGTGTTGTGCCAGACGCCCTGCTCTGTGCCTGCAGCCATCAGCAACATCTACGTGCTGAAGGAGTCGGAGATGCAGAGGTACGAGACTCAAGCGGATGCGGATGAAGAGGAGGAAGATGAAGAGAGTGATAACCGACCGCCACTGTTCTACTCCCCGTCCACCTGCCTGGGTATAAGCTGGGACTCCCCATGTGATCACGGCTCTGAGATCACTTCCTACCTGATTGACCTTGGCGAGCGCCAGCCTATCGTTGTCGGTCCTGTTACCAAACACATCATGCAGCATCTGCAGCCTGACACCAGCTACAGGTGGGTGCTTTTCCACAGAGAAATCAGGAGTTCACACAGTATCACTGAACTCATTCATTTTCAGGTTCATTCATGCAATTTTCACCCAGTGCCATAATTGACCACAACAGAAATTTCTGTATCTTTCAGGACCCACAGAATATCTTGTACTTGGACTAGAATTAAATGCAATATCTCAAAAGAAAGAGGGGATTCTCTTCTTTCACCAGAAAAAAAAGTTCGTCTCTAATCCACTCCTGTGTTTCGTTATTCCCTGCTCTATGCAGCGTGGTCATATCATCTTTGCTGATCTGGAAAAACACATTTTTACAAAGAAGAGACTTTTAAGCAAAACTCTGATCGTCTATTTCAGTTTCCGTTTATTTGGATCCGCCATTAGTTACAGCAAAGAGCCACAGCTATTCTTCCTGGGGTCCATCTACACTTCTGAACATGTTCATCCTTCTAACATACATCTACATATAAGACAAGACAGTCAAGACACCAACATCACATCCATACCATCACTCCTCCCACACAGTAGCTCTATCATTGACCTCCTCTTCAAAGAACAGTACATCAAAAACAATATTTACAGAACAATAAAAGAAAAGTGGAGAGACAAACCAAGCTCTCATTACATTGGGTTTCAGCCAACTAAGCTCTTGAAAGTTTTCAAGGTATCCCATAAGTAAACAAAAACATTTTCAGTTTCTTATTAAAACAGCTTCTGTTATTATTTGAGATTAAAAAATTTGGTAGTCGATTCCATGCCACCATGGCTCTGTAGTGAACTGTTCCCTTCCTTACATTCGTTCTACATAGAGGCAGCCAGAATCGGCCCTCTGATACCTGCCTCGTACAGTGTTGTTCTACCTCCGAAAAAAAGATAAAGTTCATTTCACTTTAAACTTCTTTACTGGTGGCATCAAGGTCCTCCCTTCTCAGATACCACTCCTCAACACTCTCGAGATTCGGTCGTATTGGCTCTCAAGAACATGACGCCACAACGTAAACCACATGTACTGCTCGCATCCTCCTCGCCGGGACTGTCGCTGAATTCTGGCTCACCAGTACTGGCACCGGTGGCACAACGACATGCTGTAAAATTGTTTCTTTGATTGTCTGCTGACGATGTGAAGGTCCGGTACCGGGATCTCCACTGGATTCGGAGACAGTAGCACCGCGCCCACGGGAGCCGATACGCTGAGACGTTAGCTCTTGCCTAATGACTTCGGCATTTTCCTACTCTCATTCATTAACGGCTCCACAAGTCGGCTAATTGGCACACTTCTCACTGGCGAGTACTATTTGTCGGCTTTTCTGCGTTCAGAACAACCCCAAACTTCGTTGCATGTCGGGAAGGAGCGCCCTCTGGTGGAAAACCAAAAAACTGAAAAATCTTTCAAAATCCATCAATGGCACTGAATGAGCTAACAGTGTTTTTGCATCTTACAAACGATTCCTGTAAATAATGTTGAACTTGAGCGTGCACACATACAGACACACTCACACTCATGTATTAACCAAGACTGTGATGTTGTTTTAGAAACAGTTCAGCCTTTTTTTTCCCGTAGTTCAACATTTCCTCTGTTCAGTTCAGCCCATTGGACCAGATAGTGTTTGTGTCTTCTTGAGCAACAACTTTGAAATTCATGAATTCATACTGACTGCACATTGACAGAGGCTGAGCATCAACACGCTCACTCAAAGGGGGTGAAATACTGTTTACGGCAGTAATCTTCTGCTCAGGTCGGCTCAGTCCTCTCAGCTCTTTGATCTCCATTCTTCTCCATCCTCCTCAGGATCCGAATCCAAGCCCTGAACAGCTTGGGTGCAGGCCCCTTTAGTCACACCTTTAAGCTGAAGACGAAGCCCCTGCCCCCGCAGCCCCCGCGCCTGGAGTGCACCGCCTTCAGCCACCAGACCCTCAGGCTCAAGTGGGGTGACGGCCCGGCTAAAGCCTCGACCTCAGACGCTCTCCAGTATCAGCTGCAGATGGGGGACAAGAGCGGCAGGTGAGTCGCCCATTAGTGAGGCGAGAGGAAGTGACAAGAGATAAGTGATAAGAGAAGATGACTGTGTGAAAAGGGGAGGGGCTTACAGAGAGGAATGGTCTATACAGAGAGGCAGAGAATATTTCCTGACAGAGGAATCGCATGTCATAGTTGGCTTTTTGTCATCTTTACCCTTTTACTCATTAATCCCTCTCTCTCTCTCTCTCTCTCTCCGTGTTTCTGTCATTGCAGGTTTATATCCTTGTACAAAGGACCATGCCACACACACAAAGTCCAGAGGCTTAATGAGTCTACCTCTTATACGTTCCGTATCCAGGCCTTTAATGAGGCGGGCGAAGGGCCCTTCTCTGATGTTTACACATTCACCACCCCGCGCTCTCCTCCAGCCCCTGTGAAAGGTAGAGTAGAGGAGTCCTCTCTCTCTCTTTTTAGAAGTATCTGCGCTTCCTTTTATTCCTGATGTGGATCTGCTCCTGTTATCTTGACGTCATTGTGCTTTCGCTTTAACCTCACTTGAACCGAGTTCCACTTGGATCTGATAAAGATAGAGCAGACGATCCCTCACTTGCCTGTCTGTCTGTCGTCGTTGAGCTCTCTGCTCTCGTCTCAAGCAGCCTCTTTTGATCCCACATATTCCTCTCACTTATACAGATGTGGGTTTTATTCTCCTTTGAATCAGGCAGTCATGTGCCAGTTTGTCAGAGAAGTGAACTCTTAACCAATCCAAGCATTTTCTTTAAACCCTTACTGACGTTGTATTTTTTTCACTATTAAGACGAGACTTCAGGAGTTCAAACGAGAAGTTATTTTTATTGTTTTTGCTTATAATGCCACCCACCTTAAGAAAAGCATGACTCATGGTTATATCACTTCACTAATGAGTAAAAGTTGCATGCGGTCGTCTTGAATTCTCTCAGTTCATCAGCTAAGTCGCTGTGCGGAGTTAAAACAAGTATTTCAGTATTAAGCAAATAGTTTCTGCCGCAGCCTCGCTTTGAACAATTCCCCGAAGCTCCGATTCAGACAGAGTTCACAGCACACAATAATGTTGGGAGTTTGATGTCTGTTTTTTTCTTCTATTTCACTTTAAATCAAAGCTGTGACCACTTTTAGAAGATTTGTTTTATTCTTAATTCGAACACGTCTCTTTGACTTCAAATAAAACAGTTTTGTGTTTCTGGATTGTTCAGAAAAACACCTGAAAATGAACTTTATTGAAGAAGTCGCTGACTGTCCTTGTCCTCCATTTTTCAGCCCTTAAAGTGGAGCGTCTGGATGACAACTCCTGTGAAGTCACTTGGGAGGCCCTGTCACCAATGAAAGGGGATCCAATCATCTATACCTTGCAGTGCATGATGGGAAACTCTGACTTTAAACAGGTACACACCATGTTTGGGTGAAGACTGTCTTCCTTCACTGAGAGCTTTAATGCAGATCCGGGTACAGATGGATCCGGACCCTTAATGTGTTCACCGCGGCTTTTCGTATCTGTCACCGCTGGTTTGAAATGGTCCATTAATCAAAGGTCGCTGATCCATGAAGTATTCAAGGTGTCACATCCATCCCTCTCAGCGGCCTCCACCCATGTTAACGTGGAATAATGACCACAGCAGGCTTATGCTAATCCGACCACATCATACATGGCTATTGAATCAGGCAGCTGAAATATGAGGCTGTCATCGAGCATGAGCGTGTTTCCATCGCCCGCCGTCCGTCTCAGCGGCCTAGACGCCGACGCTCATGTTTGAGGAAGGGGGATCATTCATTTCCTGGGGGAAGAGGTGTGACTGAGGCAGTTTGCCTCACTCTTTGCACCACCCAGGGGGTAAGGAGGCTGGTGTTACATGCATGGTGCAGTCTTCTTTGTTCTTTCTCTGGTGTAGATCTGGTAAAACAAATTGATTCGACCCTGCTGCGATGGTTTCAGTCTCCAGTATTTATTCATTTTTTAAATTCGGACCCCGACAGAGAACAAAACAAGAAATTAAGGAACGTATTGAGTTTTGTTGGTTTCATTATGAATAAATAGTTTAGTCACTAAGATGAGAACAGGAGATGACAAAAACTGTAATGCTAACAAGGGCTGGGCGATAAAAATTTACCAATACCAAAATTTATGACAATAACTGACGTCATTTTGCACATAATGGTATATTCGGTGTCAAAATAATGAATAAATGAAAGTTGGTTTTGGATGTGTGAAGGTAGGCGATGATCTCTGACTGTTTTTCCTTTTGCCTCACCACACGCCTTATGTCATTCAAATAATGTCATGCTAACAGTGTTTCTGTTATTGTTATGAACCAGGACTCACACTCTTAGAGCTCAAGCTATTACTGAAATTTGCTCTGCATTACAAACATTAGTATGTGGTATAAAGGAGAAAACTGGAGGATAGGGCTGGGCAATAAACTGAAATTTACAGATACTGAAATTTACGACAATAACCGACGTCATTTTGCCCCTTATTGGTATATTCGGTGTCAAAAAAATAAATAAATAAAAGCTGGTTTTGGATGAGTGTAGGTAGGCTATGGTCTCATGTCCCTTTAAGACGCTGTCCTACGTCAAAAACGTGACTCCACCCCATCCAGTCTGTAACAAAGAGGGAAAGACAGGTGAGGAGATGGAGGACGGTTCAAAAGTTGTAACGGCTGAAGTAGACGAAGATAATGTGGGAGGGGTGAGCAGCTTGTGGAGTAGTTATCGTCCATTTATTGTTAACAAGGCGATATGGCCTCAATATATAATCATGATATTGATTTGAGGCCATACCACCTAGCCCTAATGCTAACATTCGAGTGGATCAGGCTCACATAGGTTTCTGTGAGTTTGACTGTGTTTTCGGTCGGTAAACAAAAGTGGCAAATGTTTTTACTTTTTATTCCAGGCCAGTCTGAATTTCGTAAAGCTGGAATAGGCATCCAAACATTTTGTCAGTTTGGTCTAAAACTTGGAAAATTTGATAAGGATTTTGTTTTGGTCAGTCAGAAGCACTAAGATGACGTGTTTTTTTGTCTGCTTAAAACACGAAGAAAGGTTCAGGGTTATATCGTCCTTCAGTGGTTCATTGATCGTATCCCCACAAACATTTTCCTTAAAAAGATGGTGAAAGACAAAGAAACAGCTGATCTGATTGAACTCTTCCTGTCTCCCTCTTTTCTGCAGACCTACAAAGGCTCCGCCACATCCTTCCATGTGCAGAGCCTGCAGCCCAACAGCGACTACCGATTCCGGGTGTGTGCTATCAGACAATGTCAGGACGCCCCTGAGTTAAGCGGCCCCTACAGCCCCACAGTGACCCTTTCACCCCCAAGGAACGACACGGCTTCAAGCGCGACCGGGTCGGGGTCCAAGGCCTGCACGGAGTCGAACCGAGCCCGGCGGAGTCTGACGGACGAGCAGTGCGCTTTCCTCCTCCTCATGGTTTTCGCAGTCATTGCTATCCTGATCGCTTTTGTCATCCAGTACTTTGTCATTAAATGAGCAGTTTGCAGCAGCGACCTGCTGCAGGGTTATAGCTTTATTTTCCCCCCTCTCTCTGTTGTTTTGTATTCTTTGTTTTGTACTCACTGTTTTTTCTCTCGTTAACAGAGTAATCACATTAGGGCTGGTTAGTGAGAGCTGAATAGCAGTTAGAATTGGGGATATAACACCTTTTTTTGGCTCCTGTGATACCTTCCTGACTCTCCTGCCTTTGTCGCCCTTTGCCCGACTTTGTGGTATCTGTTGTTCGGTTCAGTTTCTGTTCCATCATGATCAGCTTCCTGCGCTAAAGGAACTCAGAAAGAGCTGGAAGATGGTTTGCTTTTGGGGAGAGGGTCGGGGGAAGGGGTGCTTTGACTCATGTAATTGTTGATCACAATATATGTATATATATTTACACATATATATATATACATATATTTACACATGTGTATAGAAATAGTCATTATTTATATTTCCATTTATGTGTCCAGTATGAAACTGTTTTTGATAGATGTGTTCCAAAAATAGGATGTAGGTGTTTCTTTAGCCTATGTGCTATTTGATCCTGGGACCTGGTGGGCCAGTGTTTGCACAGTGGGGTTTGTGTGTATACTGTATGTAGTTAGTGCCACAGAGGTACACGGCTGGGAGGGCTCCAGGGCCAGATGAAGGGACTCGACCCCCAGCTGGAGTCTAAGGGGGGTCTAGCGGGGAGGAGAGAAATCGATAGAAAGAAAAGAAAATCTTGTTCACATAGTAGAACGTTCATTTAGCACTTTCCAACCTTTTTGATGTTCAGAATGTTTAAGGATGCAAAAATGACTGGAGAAATGTTAGTATATTTTTGTACAGTGAAGACACAAGGACCTGTAAGTTTGAGGAGAAAAAAGAAGAAAAAAAAAAAGCTCAGTATACAGATAGAGTACAAACGAAAAAACCAAACAAACAGTGAATTCTCATTATTTTTACTATCATATAGTTATACTGCTGCTTTACTCCAAAATATTGTTGTTCAGCACAAAAAATGTATGCTTACATGTATGTTTTTGTTTTTTTTCTTTGATTTTTGTTTTTCCCTAGTAATTGATTTTTGCACCTTAGTGAAAGAAAACCTGGACTGACTCTGCGTCTCGGTCTCGTAATGCATTTTATAGAACACACTTTGAGATTGTGCAAGCCCTACTTGTGTTTTGGGTGTTTTAAAAGTTGTAGTTCCACATAATGTGTCACTGAAACAGCTGATCTAGCTCAGCAGAAAAAGAGAAAAAAAAAAGAAAGAAAAAAAGACAGAGAAGAAAAAAAGTATGTACCAGTTGTTTCAGAGGCCTTAATTGGAGAGGAAAAAACCTCGGGAGGATTTTCTTAATTTCTCTTAAGTTTTGATCTTTTTCTTTTTAGTGTTAGAAAGAGAAAAAAAAGACACTAAAATGTGTTTTATTTACTTTTACTTTTGCAGCATTTATTTGATGTTAGTAAACCTTTGTAATCAGGAAAGAAATGGAAAGTAGATCTATGTTTTACTTGTGATTTCTTATGATTTCCTCTGTCAGGTTATACATGTGTGAAGTATATTTTTTTATAATATTGAAGTAATATAAGTTAATACTCTCCAGAGAAAATAATAAATCCTGAGTACCCATGAATCATGGAATGGAAACGGCAGATACGAAATGTGTTATATCATGTACTTCCTGTTGATCTAAATTTGCCTTTTCTCTGTGTGTTAAGTATTCATAACGGATTGCTCACACTGAGTGTTCAGTGGTTATCTGGTTGTAGGGTCTAGTGTTGTTTGGTTATGGGCAGATAACTGCTGTTGCAAATGTGTAAAAGAAGAAATACAGGTACCTTGCTAAACGTCTTGGATAATTACATGATTTGGTCTTTCAGACATTCTGCAGATGTCTTCTCTTTGTCATTTAAGAAGTCAAATTCCTATTTTTGATAGCGATTGCAACGTGTGCCATTTTAAGACCTCTTCACCCCCGGGCTTACTACCTTTGGTTGGGGAGATTAACAAAATGCTACAAAAATGAGTAAAAATATGCACAAAAATAGAGACCATTTTTATGTAATTTTAATGTTTGCAGTTACCTCATACACCGTACATTCCAAAATGAAATTTGTTATACTATACATACTACCAGACATATCACTTTAAAATGTTCGTTATGGGAAAATGTATAATCATAGATATGTATCTAAAGTGTATCTGTATAGCCATGATATCTACAAAGGATCCATGCACAATAAAAGATTTATAATTCTTAATCGTGTTTCCAAGTTTGGACATATATTTCTCTTTGAGTCACTCCTGCAGTGATAGGTGGAAAAGACAGATTTACTTCTTAATTGGCTATCAGGGGTCTGTTGAAAACATGGCAAACATAACAGTGATATTAACAGTTTCTATGTCAGAGATAAAAGCAGAAACACAAAACTTAAATTCAGCTTCTCAAACTAGTTTAATCTCATTTGATGGAGCTTGAAACTGGATGATCCCAAATCAGGGTGTAATCACGTGGAGCTCCACTTAAAGGGATATTCCGGGGTAAATTAAAGTTATGGTCAAACACACCGTAACACAGAGTTAGACACCCCCTCAAGAGATGAATGTTGCCAAGAGCTTGCTTCTCTAGTTATACCAACTTTAGTAACGACCGCACGATAGCAATACACAACGGTCTTCGCCTCCACACACAAACCTCAACCAAAACGCCACTCTATAGCCACAAATAATGTTCAGAACAGCACCTAACTTCATCAACGGTACATATAGGGTCTAAGGGCGTCCCGATACAACTTTTATTTACTTCCAATACAATACCGATATTATAGCCTTCAGTATCGGCCGATACCGATAGTGATCCGACATTGGCACAAACTTGTGCATGACAAATTTTGCACTCAGCTGTAATGTCTTTTTCGGACTTTTACGAAAAATACTGTCTCAAAGCCGACATCCCTCCTACTCCTTGCTAGGTTTGCTTCGTTCGTACCTTAGTACACTCTGTTGTTGTCTCTGTGTGCTGGATCCAGGCGCTGCTAGATAGAGGTGCTGGAGTGGAGTCTGGAATGGACTGCTTGTATCGGAGTGCTAATGTCGGCGATTTTGGATGTAGGCCAATATAATCTGATATTTGTTTTTTGGCTGATATCGGACCAATATCTGATATCAATATCGTATCGGGACAGCCCCAATAGGGTCCCAGTCATAGTACTAGCCACCAAACATCTTTTTTCTTTAGCGAAGAGACGAAACACAACTCACCCACGCTCCTCCAGCAGCCGCTTGTTTGTAGGGGAGCCCTGACGAGTCGATCACCGAGTGCAGCGGATCATTTCCATGAGGTAATAATTATCATAATAATCATTTTGCACTGCGGACACGGTACTTCTTCTGCCTTAATGTCTCAGTCTGATTGCATTTTCATAAAGTATTAATCATAAATGTTCTTCCTTGAGCTGCGAAACTCCACTGCACTCGGTGATCGACTTGTCAGGGCTCGTCAGAAACCAGGCAAAGCTAAAAAGATGTTTGGTGGCTAGTTCTATGGCTGGGACCCTATATGTCCTGTTGATGAAGTTAGTTGCTATTCTGAGCATTATTTGTGGCTATAGAGTGGCGTTTTGGTTGAGGTTTGCACGTGGAGATGTAGACTGCTAGCATGCGGTCGTTAGTAAAGTTGGTATGTAGCAGTCGGCGACACTCATCTCTCGAGGGGGTGTCTAATTCGGTGTTATGATGTGTTTGACCCTAACTCAAATTTACGCCGGAATATCCCTTTTAGTGGGATTTAAAAAGATCCTTCAAACTTTTTACATTTTTATTTTAATTAAAAAATCTTAATATTCAAATAAAGATAGTGGCCTTTGTTGACAGGAAAAAAACAGGCACTCTTAAAGTAAAATGACATATAGAGGGGCTTTGACTAAGCTGACAGTGGAACCTTAAATTCAACTATAACTTAAAAAACTTTATATTTCAAACACTTGATTTCACCTCCTAAATGAAGCTTAAAATGCACACACTGGTTTTAAAGGCACATGAACAGGTTTGATGTCGTCTGTAAAGGAGAGAGATGTTCATTCCCCCAATCAAGCGCTGAATATTAAAACTTTAATTAACAATTAGCCTTGTGTCTGTGAGCGTATTTATGTGCAGCCTCTTCTTTAGATAGAACTCCCTGTTCACTACACGAGCACGCTGAAGCGGTCTACGCAACAGAGCCATGATTAATGCGGGTGAAAGCGACCTCACCCGTCTCTGTCACTAACCGGCGTTGAGGGAACGAGAACGAGCTTTCCCTGTTGAGCTGCTTTGACTAAAGTAAATAACCGAGGAGGAGAGACGCTCCTGCTGCCCCCTCGCTCTGAGGTCTGAGAGGTGTATCCGGCTCTGGGTCGGCCCAGTGTAAACACACAAACACAGCCTGGTGTCACTGTGACTCTGGTTCATTGAGATCTAATGGATGTTAGTGGCTCTGAACCAACAGAAAACACGTCAGGTCATCCCAGCAGGTCATCGTGGCTTCGGTGATAAATGTTGCCCAACGCAGAAACCGGTGGATCAGGAACTGATGCATTTTGGGCAAAGAGGTCATAAATAAGTGAGATTTAGAAGTTTTTTACTCTCTATAAAGCAAAATGTAAAAATCAGACAATGCAGTAATCATTGTAATGACTCAGGAAAACAAATCCAACCTCTCCTGGTCCTGACCGAGTTAAAGCCAGTCCTAAAAATGGCATCCCTCTGTCTGTCTGACAGGTTTATTATTACAAGCCGGATGGTGAACGTGAGGATGAAGAGGAAGAGTAAACTGTGGGCTGTGTGGAGTGATGAAGCCAAGCAGAGAGACAGATGAGGCTGAGGCACAATCAGGCAAACACAGAACTCATTTTTCATTTTCAGACGGGTTGGCAAACATGCAGAAATTCTTGTGATTGATGCGCTCACTGATTCATTTATAACGTCTGATTTATTCGTATATTTATTATCTATCGATGCTCAGTTTAGATCACAGAGATCCTCCGTCTGCATTTATTCTCTTAGAGGAGCAGCAGTGATGGAGAGGGCTTCCCTCGGCTTTAATGCCCTCTATCTTTTGCGTTTTCCTGACATCCGTCCTGTCATCATTAGATTACAAAGATTACTTAGACACACACGCAGCGGACAACCTCCCTCACTGGTCCCTGACTCCTTCGGGTGCTGTGGAGGAGGTGCTCCTGTCTTCATCTCCCACCGTAGCTCAACTGGTTATCTGGCAGCAGAGACCGGCTCTGCCACTTCGTGAGACCCTCCTGAAAGTGCGGCTCTCCATCGACTCAGATTCACAGGAGAGAGACCAAGAAGAAGTTGAAAAAGTTGAGAGATCCTGCTCTGTTGAAAAAGGTAAGGTCACCTGCAGAGATGTTTTGATTTACACCTCTTAGATCTGAAGGCAAAAATGTGGATTTGCATGTTTGAAGACTTTAACTGGTAGTATAATGTGGCTGTGTCTCGCATCTATTCGTTTCCATTCAGTCGTGCAGGAAAAGTTAAAACCAGCTGGCTCTTCGAGTTGTTGTCAGGAGAGTTGTGTCGTGTTGCTTCAAGAAAAAACAAGAAATCATTTTAATCACTTGGTTTAACTTTGACTCATCAAACTGAGTTTCAGATTGGGATACAGTTTTCAGATTCAGCTCACATTTTGATATTGCTCATTCTTTTCTTTTCTTTTTTTTTATCAATATTCCATCAACATTTTACATATATAAAACAAATTTCCAACTGTATATAAGTATATCTCCACCGCAGAGCAGAGACATAGTTAAGTAAAGTTACAGCAGAATAACTAACGTACAATGAAACACGTTTCACACCTCTCTTGCATTGTCTTTTTTCTCCTGTTGGAGGGTAAACATAATAAACATACGAACAAGTTTGTATTCTGAACCAAGTGGATCAATAATCAACAATACACAATGTCTTTACTGCACAGAGTCTGCTCTCAATCGAGACAAAAAATCAGCCCAGTTTTCCCAGTCTATATATATTGATTATTACCTCTACCCAATCCTGTATTTTTCTGGTGATGGCCTTTTTAGCCGCCATCAACAACTCTTGACGTTGTTATCTCTTCGTTCTCGTCTTCAAATGTAAGTGGAAGCTGTACTTTCAAAATGTTTTCCATACTCTTCTTTATCTCCTGCCAAGAAGGTATAAAACCAGAGCATCCCCAAAAAATATGAAAATGATTGGCCTTATTCTCCCCACATCGTCTCCAACATTGTGCGTCTCGAGATTTATGTTGTTTTGGTGTAATAAAGTATCTTACAATATTCTTCCGACTATATTTTCATGTTGTTTTCCACTGTACTTCATTTACATCCTCTGATAACACCCTCCCTGCCTCTTTTTCCCATTTTTACCTCCGCCAAGGAGGTTATGTTTTCGGTAGCGTTGGTTTGTTTGTTTGTTTGTCTGTGAACAACTTTACGGAGAAAGTTACAGACGGATTGACCTGAAATTTTCACCAGAGGTGCGTCTCAGCCCCAGGAGGATCCCATTACATTTTGGTGGTGATCCGGATCGCCTTCTGGATCCAGGAATTTTTTGAAGGATTCTTTATCATTGTGAGATAGGGCACATTTGGGAATTTTGGCATTTAACTCTATAAAAATGTCCAGAGTCTTTAGTAAAAAATGACACAAAAGGATCTCAATGAGTTTTATGAGGTGTCAAAGGTTGATCCTGATCCAGACAAAATTCTGGATACTGTGATCCAGAACACACAAAAATAAGGGTGTCGTTGGAATTTTCAATGCTGAAAGATAACCAATGGGCGGCACAGTGGTGTAGTGGTTAGCACTGTCGCCTCACAGCAAGAAGGTCCTGGGTTTGAATCCGGGTCAGGGCATTTCTTGTTTTGGGAACATTATGAACAGTGAACATACCAGTTTAAACACAAATAAAAGTTAATAAAAGACACGTAACAGTAAATGTTTTGGTGTGAATCACAATATAAGGGGGGACATAAGCTGCTTGGCGGAGGTCTGCGCTCTCCGTGTGCTTTTCTAGTTCTTTTATATATGTCGTATTGTTGCCCTTTAATCTTTCGACTTCTCTACATCGTTTTGAGATTGCTCCTTATTTTCACGTATCATTCTACTACAAAGCCATCCAGTTTCGTCGGTATATCACGCTCATGCGGTTATTGTTTTTGTTTTAGTCTTGACTGTTTCTGCACTCCATGGAACTTGGCATGGCCTGGCCCATAACCCAGGTGGACTCTCATCCTGGTGGAGAAGGGACCATGAACAAAAACACCATCGAAGACCACCACTACGAGGGCTCCCTGTTCCCCACCTCCACCCTCATCCCCGTCACCGTCATCTGCATCCTCATCTTCGTCATCGGGGTGACGGGCAACACCATGACCATCCTCATCATCCAGCACTTCAAGGACATGAAGACCACCACCAACCTCTACCTGTCCAGCATGGCGGTGTCTGACCTCATCATCTTCCTCTGCTTGCCCTTTGACCTCTACCGCCTATGGAAGTACGTTCCCTGGCTGTTCGGGGAGGCGGTGTGTCGCTTCTATCACTACATCTTCGAAGGCTGTACCTCGGCAACCATCCTCCACATCACGGCCTTGAGCATCGAACGCTACCTGGCCATCAGCTTCCCCCTCAGAAGTAAGGTGCTGTTGACCAGGAGCAGGGTCCAGTACATCATCATCGCCCTGTGGGGCTTCGCTCTGGTCTCTGCGGCTCCCACGCTCTTCCTGGTTGGAGTAGAGTACGACAACGACACGCACCCGGACTACAATTCGGGGCAGTGCAAACACACCAGCCAAGCGATCAGCTCCGGACAGCTGCACATCATGCTGTGGGTGTCCACCACCTACTTCTTCTGCCCCATGCTCTGCCTCATCTTCCTCTACGGATCCATCGGGTGCAAGTTGTGGAAAAGCAAAAACGATCTGCAAGGCTCCTGCGCTCTGGCCAGGGAGAGATCCCACAGACAAACCGTGAAGATTCTGGGTGAGCGGCTTGTTTGTGTTTTTATTACAAAACAGTCAAAAACTGATGAGCAGGTCTACTAAAAAAAGTGCAAATTTTAATCGTTGTGTTTTCCCAAAGAGTAGAACTATTTTCAAGGCAAGGCTAGTTTGTTAGTATAGCATCATTCACACACAAGGCAATAGACCTTTTTCACAGTACGCTCGGGACTCGTTTTTTTGAAAGGTAATGTAAATTTTTATGCTTTGTGCTGTTTAACTAACTCCTGTTCTTCATAATACTGTCCGGATTTTGTACTTTACTTTCACGAGCTTGTTAATATAAAAGTCGTGAGCTTGTTAATATCGTGAAAAACGAATGACCGTCTATGGGCGATGCTAAGTGGCTCCACCACACGCTAACACCGGAAGTGAGCAGAATGTTCACTTCCGCGTACTGTGAAAAAGGACTATTCAAAGTGCTTTACAGATGCAAGGAAATACAAAAAAAAATTAAAAAGGAGAGATTAAAACAATTTAAAATAAAAAAGACAAAGATAATTTTTTTTCATCTGTTCAATGTTTGCCCTAAACATCATGAAAACCATCGATTTCCAGAAAAACAAAATAAGTCACAAGCTTTAGGATCTGGGGCTCCCCAGGTGGTAATTAGTTTTCTCTTCGTCTGACGGTTTTAGTTGTACTAGTTTGTTTTGGTTTTTTTTGCCTATCTTGGACGATGTTTGCTTTCTTTTTGTCTATCTCGGACAGTTTTAGTTGTACTCATTTTCTCTTGGTCTATCTTGGATGGTATTCGTTTTCTCTTTGTCTATCTCGCACAATCTCAGTTTTTTCTTCATCTGTCTTGGACGGTTTTAGCTGTACTTGTTTTCTCTTCGTCTTTCTTGGACGGTTAAAGTTGTACTTTTTCTCTTCGTCTATCTCAGATGGTATTAGTTTTTTCTTCATCTATCTCGGAAGATATTAATTTTCTCTGTCTATCTTGGACAATATTGGTTTTCTCTACGTCTATCTCGGACGGTATTCGTTGTACTGGTTTTCTCTTTGTCTATCTCGGCCGATGTTAGTTTTCTCTTTGTCTATTTTAGACGGTTTTAGTTTTCTCTTTGTCTATCTCAGACAATCTTAGTTTTTTCTTTGTCTGTCTCGAACAGTTTCAGCTGTACTTGTTTTCTCTTTTTCTATCTCAGATGGTTATAATTGTACTTTTTCTCTTCGTCCGTCTTAGACGCTATTAGTTTTTTCTTCGTCTATCTCTGACGGTGTTATTTTTCTCTTCATCTATCTCGGAAGCTATTTGTTTTCTCTTTGTCTATCTTTGATGGTATTCATTTTCTCTTCGTCTATCTCGAACAGTATTCGTCTCTCTCTTCGTCTATCTCAGACGGTATTTGTTTTCCCTTCATCTACCTCGGCAATATTAGTTGGACTAGTTTTTTTTTTTTGTCTATCTTGGACGATATTACTTCTCTCTTCATCTGTCTCAGACGGTATTAGTTTTTCTTTGTCTATCTCAGATGCTACTAGTTGTACTAGTTTTCTAATTGTCTATCTTGGATGGTATTTGTTTTCTCTTTGTCTATCTCAGACGGTATCAAGAATGATGCGCTCTGTTTCCACTTTCTTTCTGTTTTCAACCATAAATGATAATGGTTGAATATTTACAGACAGGAGTGGTAATCATTAGATATCTCTGAGTTTTAAATGTCCAGATTTTGGCTTTTTTCTGTGTTAGCTTTTCTAGTTTCAGATATATTTAAAAAACTGATTCATGCTCCATTAAAATACTTCACCCTCTCTCTTAAGTCCAGCTGCCTTCTTTCTTGTTTTCTTGTTTTCAAAGAGAAAGCTGGTGCGCTGGTGTTGATATCTTTTTTTTGTTTGTTTCGTCTGAGCCCAATCACGTCATGCCTCTGCTCATTCTGATTGGTTTATTTTGCAGCTCTGGAGCAGTTTGCAGGAAACCCAGTTTTACAGTAAAAGACCATGCATGTCCAATCTCTCTATTAACCAAATATTTAATCATGGAGCACCCATTAGGATACTAGAACCGTTCATTAGCTGAACACACATTGCACAGAGCTCATGTTGTCAGACTTGCATCCATATTTGTTGAATCCCAAATTGGATTGTCATTGTCATCGCCATAAATCAGACCTAATGGAAATTTGCATGCTTCCAGAGTCCTTTTTAATCTCCTCCTGTCACACGCGCACGTCTCACAACTCTCTCAATGATTGCTGTTCTCCTTCTCGACACAATCCGTTCTGTGAATCACCGTCCACTCTCCGTAGGTGTTCAATTTAAAGCTAACTGTTATGTGTCCCAGCAGCACCTTTCTTTTAATTACTACATTGACATTTATAACCCTTACTGAATCACTGCCTCCATCAGACGAGCTGATGGTGTTTGTATCTGTAGGGGCTTCTTAATCAATATCAGTGACTCAGTGATTACCTCAGCGGGCACCAGATATTCACTGTATTAATAAGGAAAATTAAAGCTTTCTCTTTCTTCTGATCAATATTTTTTTTTCTCTACACCTTTTCCTGCTGCATATACGCTCTCATTAGCTCATCTACCTGCCTGCCATGAAAGTGTAATTTTACTGTCGGAGCCAATTACAGGCCACCGCCACAAGAGAGGTAGAGTGAGCGAGAGTAAGTGTGTGTGTGTGTGTGTGTGTGTGTTTGTGCGTGGGCTTAAAGAGAAGTTCGGTGGTCATGAATCGCTGCTGGTCATTAATAAATGTCAAATGTGACCTCAGACCATAGATCACGGGTTTCTTAAAGAGCCTGGAATACAACATTATAATCAGTCTCTCATTGCCAAAGAGCCCCAGCATGAATAAGGTGTTATCCAGCAGCCTGTGTGTATGGATTAAACAGGTTATTTCCCCGGTGAGATTTTTCATATATGCGCATTGATCGTCACGCCGGGTTGAACAGAGAGGTGCAGTAATTAGTTTAAAACGAACGCCTGGAGAGAACAATACACTAAATAAGGTCGCTTCAGATCTAGTCCTCGTTAATCTGGTTTTCATAGCAGCAAAATTAATCCATGATGGAGAATTTGATTTAATTTACAAAAAGTAAAATATTAAACTTTTGTATGGAGGTTTTGAGTTTGTGTCGCATGGACTTAAGGAGTTAGAGGTGCTTAAAAAACACTTAATCCGATAAAAACTCAAAATTTAGTACGTGCGACTCTGTGATTCTGCCGCCCACATGGTCGTGTCCTCTTTTTGGGGATTCAGAATATGGTCACCCTACTTAAACTCCTTCCTTTACATTCTTAAATTCAGCTCACAATCAGTCATCAGCCCATGCTCCATCTGTTTACATGAGGAAGGTGATTTATGTCCTATACTGCAGCCAGTCAGTAGGGGGAGCTCTACTGATCTTGGCTTCACAGTCAGTTGAAACTTATTACATCCACATTAAAAAAACAGTCTTTGGTTGAATTCATCAAAAGTATGTAAAAACAAAATAGAAGTGTGTCCAACAAAAGAGGGTTAGGGCCACAAGAAGAGAAAAAAAATAATTACAGGAGGGAGATTTTTTAGTCGATTTTAATCTTGAAATTTCAACTTTAATCTAAAATTTAAATTTTTTGGTCTCCTAATTTCGACATTATTCATGATGTTTCAACATCTTGTAATCTCAAAATTTCGTCTTAATCTCAAAATATTCAATCTCAAAATTTTGACTTCATTGATTAATCTTGAAATTTTGACTTAAATCTCAAAATTTTATGTTTTTTGGTCTCCAAATTAAGACATTATTCACAACATTTCGACATTTTGTAATCTCCAAGTTTCGACTTTTATCTCAATATTTTTGATCACAAAATTTCGACTTTATTCATGTCGACTTTTTTCTTGAAATATCGACTTTAATCTCAAATTTAAAATTTTTTAAGTCTCCAAATTTCGACTTTAGTCACGACATTTCGACGTTTAGTAATCTCCAAATTTCTCAATATCTTTAATTGTGAAATTTCGACTTTAATCATGTCCACTTAAACCTCAAAATTTCGCCTTTTTTCCCAAATTTCGCCTTTTTTAGTCTCCAAATTTCTTCATTATTCACAACATTTCAACATTTTTAATCACGAAATTTCAACTAACCTTGAAATATTTAACCTCAAAATTTCAGCTTTATTCATGTCGATTTTAATCTTGAAATTTCGACTTTAATCTCCTTCCTGTAATATTTTTTTCTCTTCGTGTGGCCCTAATCCTCTTTCAGAGCGTCAGGTTGTGTCTTTGAATAAGTGTTATTTTTTGAACCTCATTTTTTGGAACTGAACCTCATCTCTTCCTCCTCCTCTGATTGCTCCTTCAGTAGTCGTGGTGCTCGCCTTCATCATCTGCTGGCTGCCCTATCACATTGGCAGGAACCTCTTTGCGCAGGTGGACGACTACAACACGGCCATGCTGAGTCAGAACTTCAACATGGCCTCCATGGTGCTCTGCTACCTCAGCGCCTCCATCAACCCCGTCGTCTACAACCTCATGTCTCGGAAGTACCGGGCCGCAGCCAAACGCCTCTTCCTGCTGCACCAGCGACCCAGACAAGCCCACCGAGGCCACAGACAGCTCACTGAGCTCAGCCACATCTCCACTCTGAATGAAAGCCTGACGGAGGTCTGAAGGACACGTTTGAGATGGCTGTCTTGTTTAGAGTTCAGAGGTAGCAGCTACAGAGGAAGCATGCTGAAGATGAGGATGAGGATGAGGACTGTTAGGTCTGTTTTATATTAGAGGTTTTTGGAAAGCAGGGCTGAGAGCTGCTCAAGGCTCAATGCAAAACCAGATTCCCTTTAACTCAGTAAAAACAGAGGACATGAGGTTTTAAAAGGAAAAATAGGAGGATGAATTTGCAAAACATGTAGGGGAGAGCGGGGTAAGATGAGCCATGTTTCATATTTTGCCTCTAAATAGTGTATCTGCAGATATTTTAAGATGTTGTTCATCCCTGCAAACCAACAGAATGAGTGTAAACACAAGTGTCTTGATAATATAGCATGCCAAAAAAAGTGGTCTCCTATGGTCAACTTACCCTGAGTATGGGGTAAGTTGACCATAGAGCGGGGTAAGTTGAGCCGTATCCCTACTACCCCCCCACTCTCCACCCCAGCCCTCCCTCACCTTCTCTCTCCCCAAATAACAGTCACATCTACACATTCATGTGTATTTTTATCTATTATACACTATTTAACTGGTTCAATATTTCTTCTTCTTATTATTATTATTATTATTGCATAAAACTTCTAAAAAGCTGTTTTGTAAAGAGTAATTTTAACATGAGAATGCCTTATACCTTCCTCCTGTGTTAGCTTTTACCACGCACCCACCATGTTAAGGGTCAGTTTTGACCCGTGTCTTAAATCTAGAAACAATTCTCTATCATCCAATTTGGTTCTCATCTCTAGGTTACCTTGTTTGGCTTCATTATCCATGAAAAAGTCGATTATAATATATTTTGTAGTGGGCTTCTGGGCCTTTCTTTGTCAGTATACCCCTCACACAGACATCTATACTGAATTGATCGCACATGTCTGGACATGCCTGACGTTGTTTTTTGTGCAGAGAAAAACAGGCAAAATGAGAATTTCCTGAATCTTACATGATTGGAAGAGGATCTGGCTGTCAGTGCACTTATGATTTTAGTGTTTGCTCTATGATCTAACCGGGTCAACAGCGGCCCTAACACCACAAGTGCCATAATTCTAATAAGAGCATTTTATAATTTTGTCAATTTATATCTTTATTTTGTTTAAATAGATGTTCCTGACAAAGTCAAAACGTCTTGATGCAAAATAGCTAATTTATTTGGTTCTTTTAAGCATTTAAAAACAAAAACGGGTCGATTCAGACCCTAACACAGGAGGAGGGTTAAGTGATTCAGAACATTCACAGATCTGTATTTTAGAAAAGAAAGTCAAACATTTCAACAATCTGAACTGAAACTCTGATCCTCTCATCAGACTCCTTTACTTTCTCAGTTACCCCAGAACTACTATGATGACTTTACTAGTCCTCTGAGATAAAATGATGGACTTTTATGCAGGTTTTTGACCTCATGTTGTAGCTCACAGATACCACAATTGATGTATAAAACAAATTTAAAATGATCTTTTTTGGTCTAAACACAATTCTAACAAAACTCATGACAGACTAAATTCACTTTCAAGAGTTAAAAGTGATAAATAAATGTCTAACCCCTCCACCCATGTGCTTCTAAACTTCACAGACTCCATGAATCGATGCCCATCTCCTAAATATTCGGTCACATGATCAGTTTCTTTCCTTTGGCTCATCTTACCCCACTCTCCCCTACAGTAGACAGACTTTCCTCCATATTGTGTTAATTTCTCGCTTGGATTCAGTGCGGCGAAATAATGATCCATCCACGGGCCTGATAAATTTGCAATTCCACTTTGTTAATGACAGATGGTGTTTGTCACAGCTGAAATGATTGTGCATTAATAATATTTAATTGTGTCTCGGCTTCTGTTGTAAGATTGAATTTTTTTAATGTAAAGTGAACAGTTGTTATCACATTGTTTGTTAGGTGTTCTCTCATTAATCAAGAAACTCAAAGCAAGTAAAGCCATTATCTGTGGGCCATTAGCTGTTCAGACCTGATAATGTGTGTATGTGTGGATGTTTTCAGGGCCGTGTACCATCTCTCCCGAGACCTGATGGGACATAAACTTGATAAAACGCAGATTACTATGAAAATGGGGCAGTTGTTGTCTGTGTGGGGAACAGAGGCCACCTGAGCCTTAAGGTTCGGGGGGTCTGCGTACGTGCCGGCCATCACATGTAAACTGATGCTGCTATTACATTACCTGGGCTCTGAGTTAGATTTATCCTGGCAGCCAATGTCCCTGCATCACCATATTTAAAGTAATGGCTGCTTTAAGTGCATTTCAAAGAGGAATAAAGATATTAGGTTGTCAGCAGCCGCAGAGCTTATTGCTTTTACTGCCTCCACTTGCATAATCTTGACACCGTTTTGCAAATCTGCTTTGAGGTTGCATTTCAGATTAGAAATTACCCACTTTTGTATTATTATTAGACGCCCCTAATGTCAGAGTTATGTATTTTTAACCTGAACAATGTCCGAGACTAAAATACACTCCGAGTTTTCCAGGGTCTGTCTACCATAAATCTTGTCCTTAAAAAGAACTGTCATGATTTGGCCCATGAATCATAGGGCCTTGGTTTGCACAAATACAAAGAGACAAAGTCGCGCTGGGCTGACTCATCCTTATGACGCTTTTTTTTTTTTAACCAAGCCATTCATCTCTGCCAGAGGAGCTGAAGCAGCGGGGGAAAGATTATATACCTCAGACCATCCTGCCATCACCTGGGGAGAGATCAGCGAGCTGCACGACTCCTCAGCTGGTTATTTTCTTAACTGATAATAAAGAGAGTGTCTGCGAGAGAGCGGCTCGTGCAGCCGGAGCTGTCATCGCCTCCCTCAGGCCTTTTTCACACCACCTGAAATTGTTCAGGTTTAGAAATAAACAGTTTGTTTGTTTTGGCCCTCTCTCTCTTCAGGCTATGACGTCTACTCCGTCAGCACCAACAAACAAACTGCACACACACACACTTTTACACACTTCTCCTGGTTCTGTGATGTGCTGGCAGTCATTTATTTGAATAATAAAAGAGCTCTTATAACAAATGAAACATGGTGACATGATCCCTGAGAGATTTTTTTAAGTGCTCATGTTTAGAAACTGTCAAACAATCAAACTTTGATATTTTATAACATGAAACTTGTTTTTTGCCGTTTACAGTGTGATCTGTTTTCTCCTCACTCCAGTAAAATAAAAGGTTCTGGTTCCTGTTGTTAAGCAACTAAGACAGAAATATATTTTTAGAATTAACGCACAAAACATGATTAACCTGACTCTCAGGCGGGGAGCTCTGACTGCAGCGTGCCTGGTTTTAACCCATGAGAAGGTTTTTATGAGGAAATGTGACATTCTTTTAAATTTATTGTAATACTGAAACAAGACGCAGGTTTAAGGACTGATTAACAGAGATTGTATGAATTTCTAATGCAGTGCTGTTCTGCCTTCTTACATTTTTCAGCTGTAGTCATCTTCTAAAAGGATGTTTAGTGGTTGTGGTTTATTATCTCCTCTTGGAAATTTGACTCCTGTCACATCTTCTGCACAGGTCATGATCATGTAATGATGTTTTCCACCAGAGGAGGGCGCCACAGGACACTGGTGTCAGCAGAGACTTACTATGTATGGACAGGGTTTTATACACAGACCTATCTTTAATCTTCCCAACATGCTTTTAAATGACAGTCATTCACTCTGTGCAGCCAGCAGGGGTGGTTAGGGGGTTCAGTGTCTTACCCAGGGACACCATAGACTGTATAAAGAATGGACAGAGTCTGCCTCCTCGCTGGGTGAAGCCACTCCGAGAACAGCACCCTCTGTTGATGGGCTGCAGAAAAGGTCATAAATATGGAGCTGTAGACAAATTTTAGAGATTTATTACACAAAATATAATTTTTTCTCCCCCCGCTTGTGATGTTGACATGTAGTTATTGACAGACTGGTTTGTGCTCAAGTCCTTTTTTTTCTGTACAGCTCCGTTTTTAAAAGTTATTAGGGGGTTCATGTTTTCTATGATTGACACCTGATACAGCCTATGGGCGTTCAGGGATTGCGTAGCTCACCCGGGGGATACGCTGTTTGAGCCGAGTGTCATCACAGCGACTCTCTGCGACTGCGCGCATCGCTACTGCGCAGCTCTGGTTTCAGGAAATGAAGAAAAATCCCGGCAATATCGAGAGCTTTTTGGCTTCAAATCCATATACAGGCGGTAGGCGGAACCAAGTTGTCCATAGTATATACAGTCTATGAGGGACACATCTGCACATTTCAGGGATCATGATTGGTCAGTCATTTTCTTGTTCTCTCTTATTTCTCCCAGGATGAAATCTTATCAGCTCCCTTCAAAGCCCACTTCCACAAATTATCAGCAACACACGCTAACTTCCTGTTTTGCTCCCTGTGCATGCATGCTGGTCCGTGCAGGAAGCTGAGCTAAAAACTGAGGATGTTTAGGAAAAGGGATGCATGAGTTAACTTTGGGGTGAAGTGTCAGACGAATAAAAAGGAGACTTCATGAGAAAGTGAGGGTTAATTCTCCTGTTCAAACACAACGGCCTGAATGTTTGATCTAGTTGGTTTAGTTCTACCTAATCCTGTTTCCCTAACCACAAAGAGAGAAACATGCTGGTGCTGTTTTTATAGTCTCAGCCGGGTGACAACAAGAGAAGAGCCGTAAATGTTCCTTTGCAAATGTCTTTAGAGACGGTAATAATGATAATAAGCCTGATTAATAAAGAACTAATCCACCTGTTTCTGTTTTAAAGCTATTAGGGAACAGCTTCTGTTGTTTAATGAAGCATTTTAGTGCCAATCCTGTTTCTTTCTTTCTTTCCACAAAGCTCATCCTAATTTGAATCTTAATTTCAGTAACTGTGAAGGAAAGAAACAAGAGGACAGTGTTAACCCTTTGGTAAGTAGAGCAGCCCGTGCCTGTTTCACAAGTTTTACATGGATGAACATTCTGAGTTAAACAATGATTAGAAAATGTCTTTTTGTTATTCGTACAGGTTCAGCAGTTCATTTATCTTTGAGAAATGTTTGTTCTGTGGACTCTGTCATGTTAGGAATAATGTGTAGTCGGTACACCAGCAGGAAACAGCCCCCCCTGCAGATGTGCGGTGTGCTTTTGGTGAGTTAGAAAGCAATCCATTAGACGGCTGCTCTACATTCCCACACCGCAAACCACATGATGGACTGACTCCTTCTTCCTGGCCCCATTCAGGACAGAACACTTACACCCAGATCTCTCACGCCAACATGAACATTTAAAGGTGCAGCAAGAAGAAATGAGAATATTTATGGTTATATTTAGTCTTTTCTGGACTGAAACACTCCATTACCTGCACTTATTACCTCCGCCAAGGAGGTTATGTTTTCGGTAGCGTTGGTTTGTTTGTTTGTCTGTTAGCAACTTTACAAAGAAAGTTACAGACGGATTGACCTGAAATTTTCACCAGAGGTGCGTCTCAGCCCCAGGAGGATCCCATTACATTTTGGTGGTGATCCAGACAAAATTCTGGATACTGTGATCCAGAACACACAAAAATAAGGGTGTCTTTGGAATTTTCAATGCTGAAAGATAAGCAATGGGTGGCACAGTGGTGTAGATAGGCGGCACAGTGGTGTAGTGGTTAGCACTGTCGCCTCACAGCAAGAAGGTCCTGAGTTCAAATCCTGGTCAGGGCATTTCTTGTTTTAGGGACATTATGAACAGTGAACATACCAGTTTAAACACAAATAAAAGTTAATAAAAGACACATAACAATAAAAGTTTTGGTGTGAATCACAGTATAAGGGGGGACATGAGCTGCTTGGCGGAGGTCTGCGCTCTCAGAGTGCTTTTCTAGTTGACAATGAAATGACAGTGGTCTTTAAGGACAAGAGCTCCTGTAACACACACTAAATATAATCCTCCATTTGTGAAGATTTTAGTGTCAAAAACATCCAAAACAGCAAATACATTTGCAAAAAAAAACATGCATGTTACTAGTTTGATTGAAAAAAAAAAAGACTAATTTTAAATGAACAAAAACAAAATGTCTTTTGTATTTCAGAGATAATACAGCTGTAAAATCACTCGTATGTAGATGTTATTCTACTTCTTCAAAGTCAGTTTTGCTCAAATCAAGTAATTTTCACACAAGAAACTGGACCAAAAGACAGCGAGTTAGCAGCTGTTGGTGGTATGGACAACATGCAAAATGAAGTGCATTCACAAGAGAACAGGCAGCATTAGAAATATGCTGAGGTGAAAGCAAAGTCTTGCTCTAATCCTGAACATGATAAAGTAGGGGGAGAGGGGAACAAGGCTGCAGCTGCAGACATTTCAGACATGCACTCTGAGAGCTGGACTGACCTTAAATCCTGAAACCACAACAGAAAATGTGAGTTATCATTATTCAGCTGGACACTTCTCCTCAACAAGAAAGAAAAATACTCAGCTATTTTTTATTAATATTATTGTTATTATTTTAATTTAAATATCTTGTAATCCACAGCTATACAATATCTCTTAAGTCTCCATACTCTGTGTGAAAAGTGTTTTCAAGTGACCCACAGTGTGTTTTTTTAATCAAAGTGCCAGTGTAGTGTGTCGTGGGTGGAGGACCAGCTAAAAAGCTACACTCAATCTATTTCCGTCTTAAGTGCAGCACAATTATGTTTTGCCCTGTCTCAACCTGGTGCGTAAAGTTTTGGATAACAAGTTGATCCACAACTTCACCTTCAAACTAAAAGGAAAAATTCCAGAGGATGAATGTGGAGACCTAAGTGGCCTTCAAAAGTGGACTTTATTTTGAAAGTCTTATGCAGAAGTAGACTTTTTCACTCTTAAGCTTGACAGAGTGCGGAGAGCCAGCTGCGCGTAAAAGTTGTCCACTCCTCCCTCTCGTTCATGAGTGTGATTTGGCTCCAGATATAAACACAGAGCTCCTCTCTCTGTAGTCTGTACCTCTCTGGGCTCTTCAGTCTCCTCTCAACCAGCAGACAGTTTCCTCCAAGAGGCCGAAAACAGCGAAACGCACCAGGGGGACGATCTCTGGCACACTCCCCAGGATGGAGGTAACGATTATGTGACTCTGAGCGGAGTTTGTTGTTGGAGTCTGTACTTTTTAGACGACTTTAGCAGATGTTTTTAAGAGTAACGCGGTTTTTGTGCAGCCATGTGTGGTTGAAATTGAAGCATTACATCATTTGAGCTGATTTTATGACTTTATTGTGAAAATTGCTGTGTTTGTGGAAGAGTTTGTGACCAATGAACACTTGATACAGCATTTTTTTTTTTATCTTACTGCATATGTTGTTGTGTGAACTCATCACCTGACAAGTTTCAAATGCTCTCTTTGCTCCTAAGCTTTTATTTTGAAGGTCTGTGACAAACACTTTTATGTGAAATATTAGTATAGTTTAAAAAAAGATCTTCCAAAGTAAAAGAGGGATAATTGTTCTCCTTTTTCCTGAGGGTGTTGACCTTTAATTACACTCACACAGACACTCAAACACTACAACATGTAGATTGTCTAAAAGCAGGAGAGTTTTGCCTCTGGCTCATCTTCTTCAGCTCAATATGTTTGAGCTTCAGGCTGTAACAGCTTAAAGGAGACTTGTGGTGAGGACTTTATAACCAGTAAGCACGGTGTAAGAGGAAGGAAACAGCTGACAGAACATCTGTCATCAGCAAATGTTTGATAAATGGGTGGAGTAAATGCTCCTCATTGATTTTAACCCCGTGTGCGACTGTTTTTTAAGTCTGATTTTTTCTTATTGCCAGTAACTTCCCACCCATCGTGTCCTCAGCTGACGAGCCGCGGTTTCCCCTCTCAAAGGCCAAACTGTCCTGAAGCTTAAAACAGAAAAAGTGCGCTCCTTTCACAGAACATGAGGCTTTTCAAAGGCATTTCACACATGTTTTTCCTGCAGGTTTGTGGTCTCCTCCCCTGCAAAACATGCTGTTCCCTCAGACTTTCAACATCAATTTAAAGTATTTTGTGTCATGTGGGGAATAGAAGGAGAAACGCCCATTTTTTTCCCACAACACATGAGGGACAACATGAGTGGACTTACTCAACTCAAGGGGTTACTTTTGCTTTTGGCTTGTTCTGTTTCGAATTGAATACGTGTGTTTTTGAGAGTGAAAATGAGAGAAAGATGTTTGACAAGAATTAAAGTTATTCTAAAAACTTAGTTGTTCTTAAATTGAACTTCCACTGGGTGAGTTTTCTTGTCACGTTTGTATGACTTGTTAGACTTTCATGACAGCGAGGTCAGTTTCCAGTTTTTAAACCTGAATACAGTCAGACTTTTGTCAGGGTTTTGATGTTTCAGTCTTTTCATTCAGTCTTGTGTCCTTCTAAAGTGACACTCAGGCTATGTTCACACTGCGGGACAATTCTGATTTTTTAACCATATGTGACACATATCTGATTTTTTCATGTAAGTGTGAACAGTGCAATTCAGTTTTTTCTAAATCTGACCCTGTGGATATAAATCGGATATGTATCCGATGTGACTGCAGTGTGGACGCTCAGGTCGCGTTCATCCAACCGATACGTCATCAATATGCGACAAACGTCACCATTGTTCGACAACACAAACAGGCGTGGAAAGCAATTTGTGCTTTGTGAGCATGCGGGTCACTTCACGGACGCATTCTGCTCACATTAGATGCCGCATTCGTTGTTGTAATGTGAACGACCGCACCAAATCAGACTTCTCTTCTTGTCCGTGTATACATGCAGCTGAGAAAATCGAATCATTGACGTGAACGTGTCCTCCTCCCCAAAACTAGGGGGCGATATCGGTCTTTTCAGCGGCGCTGTTTCCGACCCCATACAACCGCCAACAACAACAGCAGGTCCATGTCAGCCGTCAGAAGTGTCTACAACTGCTGCTGGGCATTTTGGAGCAAGAAGATGGAGCATTGTACAGCGTTGTTTTTGTCGTACATGATGTACGCGCTACTTTTTCTGCAGATGAGACAAACGCGACTCCTCTTCTCTGGTGTTTTTGTTTCGGAGTTACGGGGGCGTGGCACATGGGCACATGTATTGTCCGATCATACTCCGACTACGCTGGTTACATGGTAGAGAAAATCGAATTCCAATCGCGTTATCTAGGTGTCTTGATCAGAGTTCTGAAACTCAGATTATAGTCGGACGAAGGTGTTTACATGCACTTCAGTTGTCCAGTCTTAATCGGAATAAGGCGATAGTTCGGTTTTATCGAGTGTCATGTAAACATACTGACTGACTCGCCCCCTGTTGATGACACTGAATAAAAAAATGCTTACTATTGCAACATCACTAGAATATGACATTTGTCTTTTTTGGTTTTGCGTGGCGTGTTTGTGCTTTCTACTCTCAATCTTAGAATTTTTGCTTTGAAAGGTTGATGATTCACTTCCTGATTGCCCTGAATTCCCACCAGAGAACCAGTTTGAGGGTCAGCTGTGAGTGACGGGACGCTTTCTGCTGCTCAGTTTGAGTGTGATAGATGACATTTAGCCTGAAGCGCCCATAAACCAGTGTAGACCAGCCTGTTAAGTCCGCCTCACGCTCACTGTCATTTAAAGTGCCTCAGCTCGGTCCCGCGGTGACGTCGCTCTCTTGTGTGTTTTCAGCTTTAGGAAAGAGCTGAGCGTGTTTGCAAACATCAGGAGCCTCAGAAAAGCCCTGAGAGGAGATTAGCACATGGAAATTCTGAAGTTTTGGAACTTGTGTCTAAAGTTTGTGTGTTTGTGTGTGCACAGGCCTGAGGACTTCTATGTGTTTGCTGGGTTGTGGGGTTTTGGGGTAGGGGGGGGTGTGGTTTCCTTTGATGGAAAAACAACACCACAGCTAGAGGAGCGAGTATTTGGGATTGCCTTGCCAAGCATATGGCATGCACATTTATTATGTAATCACTGTAAAGTTAAGAGAGCGGTAACAGAGGAACTGAGTCTGTACCAGCCAGACGTTTCCTAAAGAGTTACTGTTTTTCCTTTTGCCTCACCACATTATGTCATTCAAATAATGTGGTGCTAACAGTATTTCTGTTATTGTTATGAACCAGGACTCACACTCTTACAGCTCGTACTACGGCTAATGTTTGCTCTGCATTAACAAGCATCCCACTGAGTATTTTTTAGTCCAAGAGAGGTCTAATAGACATCTAAATGTAGCCTAGACGACCGGTCTAAAATCAGGCTACCACAGGTCTAAAAATGAATGTTTTTTTAGACATCTAAATTTAGACCAAATCTAAATCTGGGCTATATCTATACTACACTGTATATTGCTCAATGGCTATCACAGCTATAAAGTGCAACGTCTAAATGCAGTCTAAAAATAAACAGAATCTAGATGGTTGAAATCAGGTCTAAAAATAAAAACTAGATGTCCAATAGCCATCTTTTGCTCAGTGGGATTAGTATGTGGTATAAAAGGGAAACCTGGAGGACAGGGCTAGGTGATAAACAGAAAACAGAAACCAAAATTTTGCTCATGTTGGTATATTGGGTGTCAAAAAAATCAATAAATCGAAGTTGGTTTTAGATGTGTGTAGGTAGCCTATGGTCTAATGTCCCTTTAAGACGCTGTCCTACATCAGAAACGTGACTCCACCCCATCCAGTCCGTAACAAAGAGGGAAAGACAGGTGAGGAGATGGAGGACGGTTCAAAAGTTGTAGCGGCTGGAGCGGCGGCTGAAGTAGATGGAGTTAATGTGGGAGGGGGTGAGCAGCTTGTGGAATAGTTATCGTCCATTTATCGTTATCATGAGGTGAACTGCTCAATATATTGTGATATTGATTTGAGGCCATATTGCCCAGCCCTACAGGAGGACATCCTTCAGAACTTGTTGACAAAGAATAAAGAGATCCATGCTGAAAAGTTTTCCTGACATTTACAGAGATCGATACTGTCAGAGGTATTTGCTGAGGGTGTATATTGAAGGATGAACATAAAAAAGACTCCCAAGTGACCATGAGACTCAGTGGAATGTAAAATATCAAGAAATTTTAACCCCTTCTCTGAGTCATGGTTTCGTTCCGGTTGAATCTCTGTTCAGATCACATAGCAAAGGTGTGTAAGCCGATTTTACAGCCTGTAAAAATCATTAGAGTCCTGTGACTTACAGGTTTCCGGGTCATGACCAGTAGAGATGCTGGGTGAAGAGCACGTTGCTACGACATCTCATGTGACTTAAAATAATCTGATTCCACTGATTCTTCCTCCTGTGTTGAAAAAAAAAAACCTCAAACTACAACTTCCTTGCTGTTTTTTTCACGACGTCCACCCACATAAACCCACAAGTTTTTTCTCTGCCATCTTTAAAACGAACTCTATACTACTCCAAACATGTAATTGTAAAACCAGCGAGAAAACAGAAGAGAAAAGAAGACTGCAGGAAGTGGTGGTGGTATGTCAGGAAAGTAAAATGCACTTGTTGAAGTTGAGGTGTAAAAGTGAGTGATTTTGCAGAGCTGTGTGCCCTGAAGGACATGACATACAGAACCGGCTCTGACAGGCTCTGACTTACAGAAAATGTATGAGCTTTTTAGAGTGTGTGTGTGTGTGCACAGACTTGCTGACATTAGTATGCACATAGTTTTTTGTGGTTGGAGAAATGCCTTTAGCTAATCTAACGTTTTAATTCAAACTCCATATTGGTTGTGCTGTCACGTGGGAAGCTCTCTGTTGAAGTGGTGGTGAAGCAAATACTTATGAACAATCAAATGGTTCATAAAGCAGTGATCACTTAACTGTTTTAATGTTCGCTGGAGTTTGAGGCCTGAAGTCAATGCACAAAGTTTGTTTTCCTCCCATCAGAGAAGAGGTCTGGAAAGACCCCTCCCCCCTTGGGGTATCAGTTTGAAACAGTGTGTGTGACAGAGAGATATATCTGGGTGGGGGACTGCGGGGAAGATAAAGAGGAGGACACTGGAATCTGTAAAAGGACAAAAACAAAACAAAGGTTTTTGACTTTTGTTTACACGCAGGCTCAGTGAAACTACTCCAAAAGTTACTGGATTCCAGATTATCTATTTCAGACAAGACCCAAAACAAAACAGAGGAGACAGAGCAAACACTAGGCTGTGTATATAACTGACATCACAGTAGGTTTGGTTTGGCACACTGACTGAGAAGCTGTAGGTTCAGATCTGAAGAGCATCGACCATACCGCATTCAGCATCTAGGGTTTGAGAATCAAACGGCCAAAGAGAGGAAGTAAATAGTCCAAGCAGCGACAAAATGACTCTATAACAGTCTCCCATATCTCCCTGCAGAACTGTTAAGTTATCCCATACTGCCTGAAACCCCCTTAACCACCCTCCCTGAAATTTGGCATCCAGCCATGCTCTTTATTTCCTTTTTTGGCAGAAAGGAGAGCAAACACAAGTACTACAAGCTGCATGTACAACCCCTGACCCGAAAAACTTTGAACCCTGTGGAAATGTTGATAAAAACAAGTTTCTATGGTTTTGTAAGTAATTTGAACCCTCTTGAAAATAGTGCAAAGATGAGAAATGAAATGGGGAAACTGAGGAATTATGTTTTGTCTCATTTTTAAATGTTGTAACAGCAACATGTTTCAACACAGTTAGGTCAGACACATTATTATTATTATTATTATTATTACATCACTGAAAGATTTAGAGAGTCTGGAGAAATCTCTTCATAAAAGGATCAAGGCTGTAAACCTAAACTGGCTGGTTCTGATCTTCTGTCCTTCAGGCCTTGCTTTGAAAATAGGCACAGCTCTGTAGTGGAATTCACCGCACAAGCCTGCCCACAGTCCCAACTTGTCACTCACTGAAAACTTAAAAGTGTTTTAGGAAATAAAGAATATGATATATATGTGCCAAAACCAATAATTTTGTCACTCTATTATTTTTAGTATTACTCTAAAAACAACGATTTAGTTTGTCTAATATTGCATCAGAAATGAACATTTTTTTTTTTTTTTTTACTTTTTCTAAAACATTTTTTATTTTTTTTGAATTATTTTTATTTTTTACTTTTTTCCCTCTCTATTTCCTTTTATATGGTTATTTTATTTTACATTGTTTTGGTATAGTCTGATTCTGTTTGATCTTGGCATTGATTTCACTTTGATATTTACAGATTTATTCATCTAATTTTTTTATATTTATTTATTTATTGATTGATTTATTTAGGTGTTAAAGTGAACCCTTTTGTGCCCTGACATTCACTGTTGAAATACATCCAAGGAAAACTCAATAAAAAGGAATTTTGAAAGAAAAAATGGAAGTAGAAGTGAGAAAATAACACTTTTGATCGTAGCTTAGTAGTGTATGCTAGCTGTTGTTTTTAAAGCTCCGTAAAGCTCAGTTACCTCTGATTTAAATAAAAGAAGAAGTAATTTTAGGTCATTTGTTTGGTTTCTCTTCACAACGGTACTCCACCCACTCTGAATGAAGACCACAGCCCTTCTATTTGTCGCTCCTGATTCTCTTAATGCAGAAGATGATATGATCCTATAGAATAAATGGTTGAACAGAAGCCAAAAACTGAAGCTCTGACTGATTTATAGTGTGGAGGGTGGAGGGCGTCACTGAATGAAGTCAGTCCACGTCTGAGCTGCCCAGCGTCAGTGTGTTAACTATCTGATCCAACAACCAGATGGTTTTTGTCTCCTTGATTGCTGGATCAGAGTGGATGAGGATACCAGAACACCACGTAGAATCCCCAACAGATGCTGGTATCTAAGCAGGCTTGCATAGCCTCAAAGATTCGGAGGGACATCATGTCTGCTGTGAGCTGTTTACATTTCTTGATAACTTCTCTATTCACCATTTACTCGCTCTGGTTCTGCTTCTTGTTGCACAACAGTTCAGAATTATCTCAAGCAGACCAAACTTGTCTGGCTTTATTGTATGTTCACGTTTCATCCTCATAATTTACCCATCAAACCACAAATGAACACTATATCTAAAGAGCCTCTCTTCTTTTTGAATCATTTGTAGTGAATTTATCACATGAATCAATAAACCAAAAACAAAAAAACAACAGTCTTAGTCATGAAGAGAATTTTTGGAGATAAATCTTACTGCTCTGGATAGGGCTGGGCGATATGGCCTCAAATCAATATCACAATATATTGAGCAGTTCACCTCATAATAATGATAAATGGACGATAACTACTCCACAAACTGCTCACCCCCCCCTCCCCTCCCATGAACTTCGTTTACTTCAGCCGCTGCTCCGGCCGCTACAACTTTTGAACCGTCCTCCATCTCCTCACCTGTCTTTCCTTCTTTGTTACGGACTGGATGGGGTGAAGTCACGTCTCTGACGTAGGACAGAGTCTTAAAGGGACATGAGACCATAGCCTACCTACACACATCCAAAACTACCTTTTATTTATTTATTATTTTGACACCGAATATACCAATATGGGCAAAATGAAGTCGGTTATTGTCGTAAATTTCGCTATCTGTAAATTTTCGGTTTATCGCTCAGCCCTACTTCTACATTGCCTTAAAAGCAAATGCCAACAAAAGCTCTTGTCCCCAACATTTACTGTGGGCTTTATCTACATTGATATGTTGTTTCATAACTATTGGAGCCCTGATTGAATTTTGGGTTTATTGCCCAGCCCTACACCAGACCCATGGGTTCTTTCACAGGCATGTTGCTGCTTTTATTCACACTTTTGCTGTGGAGAAAAACTTGCAATAAATTAAAGAAACATTAGCCAAAAAAAAACGCATAGAATTTCATTCTATAGGAAGTAGGGCTGGGTGATATGGCCTCAAATCAATATCACAATATATTTAGCAGTTCTAAAGGGACATGAGACCATAACCTACCTACAAACATCCAAAACCAACTTTTATTTATTTATTTATTTATTTTGACACCAAATATACCGATATGAGGTCGGTTGTTGTTGTTAATTTCGGTATCTGTAAATTTTCGCCCAGCCCTACATCTGGACATACCTGGCCTCTACCTGGAAAGCTCATTCTTTTATTTAACTTTAGTTCTCCTCCAGTGTTCCTCTGTTGCAGGGGAAGCAATGACTTCTTGATGAGAAAGTCCATTTACCTCATCCCTCTGATTCAGGGTCCTACTCTAACACACACACGTCACAAAAACACACCGTGTGCCAGTGAAGGCATTGGAAAAGTGAGATACTCAGATGAGGTCCAGTCCAGACCACATCATTTTTTCCTGGATCAGCATCAAGTAAGAAGGTGCCTGTCTGCTCTCATACCACTTGACAAGTGTAGACAGGAGGAAGCTGCAGTGAGGTGGTTTTCCCCGTCACAGAACATGCTGACTTAAGAAAACAAAGTCTGCACTCTCAAACTGAAGCGGTAAGGATCTGTCTGAACAGCTGGGCTTCAGTGCGTTTTATTTATCAGAGATCTTTTCTATGTAAGGCTCACCAGAGAGAGCTTACGGGGGATTGAGAGTTAAATCAGCCATTCCCAGAGAAGGGTTAAAGATCCTGAGTGAGACATCATTTTCATCAGCTCGGCGGTAGATTACATGGCCTGCTGCTCTCTGACCACAACGGTTATGTCAAGCAGATATGTGGGATTTACTGAGACTGATATCATGTGCTTCTTCTCCCCTGCCTCTGGAAATAGGAGTCACAGGAAGAGACAATAGTAAGCTTTGTGCGATATGTTTATCTCCGTGTTCTCCCTCCACATCTGCTGGTCATACAGTAAACCTCGTGTTTCCATCCATAGCCTGGAAATTAAGACGCTGGTTAGGATTAACCTTTACTTATCCGTTCACAGCTCACCAAGGATATCTCTGCGACACAGTCATCTTTAGAAGTGAGGCTGCAGTGAAAGCCATGTTTTAGATCTTGAATTATTAACATTTATGTGTACAGATATTTATAATCAGGGTGGTAAATCCCAAGCTTGTCAGGTATTTAAAAACACACCCAAAGTGATTATTATGATTAAAATAGACTAAAGGAAAGGACAGCAGAGACATGGGCGCTAAAGCCTCGCTGATTTCCACTGATTTTGGGGGGTTTATTCATGAACCATTCTGCACAAAAATGTTGAGTAATAGTTCAAGAAACATGAAGGGTTCTAGGTGTTGTTGTCTTGGTCTCCCGAGCAGGATTTCCTGGAACAACAAGACTCCACCTTGCACCTTAAGGGATCTACTGCTAACTTCTTTGAGCCAGAGACCACAAAACACCTTCAGAGGTCTTGTAGAGTCACGGCTCAGTGAGTCAGACACCTAGATGATTAAAAAGCACATTTTCCACATTGTTTTGACCGTTTTTTCTGTGAATTACTTATCCCTTCTATCATTGAATCTTTACTGTAAGTGTTACTGTAAAACAAGCATCATCTGTAGGAGCTTTTTTCCAGGGAAGTCTGGGTCCAGAAATAACTCATCCTTTTCGAATCAACCCAGTTCTGTTTATGGAAAAAGATAATCACATGTGTAAGACGCTGCTTTAGATGCTTTTTTCATAGATTCTGTGTTTAGACATGCTCCGTTGCACTATACGCGAGATTACAGTATGCTTCAGATGTGGTCCAGTATATCCAGGGACACTCTCTCTGAGGAGCTGAGGGGTTATAGAGCATAGCTATGATCCCGGCTGCTCACACAGCTCCGGGGCTTTTTCCCAGGCCTGGAGCCACAGAAATAGTTTGCCCTCCTCTCTCCTGCAGTGAACCAAAGTTTCCCACTCTTCCACAGAGCTTGGGGTCCCAGCTGAGTTAACTCTGCACAATACTGATAACCGAGGGAAGTCCTTTTATGGCTTAACGGATGTCTTTTGTTATGTCAGCGAAAGAGTCAGATCATTAGAGTCAAACTAATCGGAAAAGACAAACAAGTACACTACTGAAGTGTAAGAATGGCAGATGGTGCGTGTGTTTGTGTGGTAAAGTTGAAGTCATGGCAGAGGTTCAATATCGGCTTATTTCACTCTCTTTAGTGTAGTTGATTATGCAGCTGCTGTTAGTTGCAACGGCATTTAAACAAACTTCGCAGTGGACTGTGGTTTGTTCGAGGCGAAGACTGTATATAGAATGGACGCCGTCTGCCTCCTCACTTGAGGAAGCCACCATGAGGACCGCACCCTCTGGTGTAGGGCTGCAGTATAGGTCATAAACCCCGCCTCCTCCAGGAATCCCTATGGAGCTGTGGACAAACAAATTAATCACACAGAATACAATTTTTTTCTCCCCCTTGGTTGCGATGTTGACATGTAGTTACTGTAAGACTGGTTTGTGCTCAAGTCTATGATTGACACCTGATACCATTGACAAAATTTTGATTTCAAAGGTGGGGGGGGCATATGTGACTTGAGTACTGTTGAGTATTGTTGAGACACATAGCCTAGCAAATAGCACATCTGGCACACACAGTAACAGAGGAGGCAATGCGGCCAGCAGGTGGATGGAAGTACAGACCCGATACAGGGATGTTAATGAAACCTCCGATGAATGTGACGTGGGAAAATGAACGCTGCCCTCCTGATGTTCACGGACTGACTCTTACAAACCCCTTGAAAAACACTAGTCTGGTGGGCATGGAATGACTGACAGAGATAGCCAACACACATAAGAAGCACCCCCGCGGCAGAGCCAATCATGGACCTTGTGGGCGGTCCAAACCAAGGGAAACCAGTTTTTGCCTTGAGCGGCCATTTGGTCCTAGTGCCTGACGTGTATCGGTTTGCTACAGCGTAAAGTAATATTGTTTTCAGGTGGATAAAACTGCAGGGGACCAAACGAGGGGTCCCCTGTGTACCCCCCCCCCCCCCCCCCCCCAAATTACGTCAGTGGTTGATACAGCCTGTGGGTGTTCAGGGATTGCGTAGCTCACCCAGGGGGATACGCTGTTCGAGCCAAGTATCATCACAGTGACTCTCGGCGACTCTCCCCCCCGATTGCGTACAACGCTACTGTGCAAGTGGTGGTTCCAGGAAGTGGAGAAAATCCCGCAAATATCGAGAGCAATTGGCTTCAAATCCGTATAATGATAGAAGGCGGAGCAAAGTTGCCTATAGTATATGCTGTCTAGGGTTCGAGGTCTGACTGCTCAAAACCGAACCAGGTCTGGACTGATGCTCTTGAACTCTGGCAGTTTTGTTGCTGTTGTGTGTGTCCAGCTCTAGTTGTGCAACAAGTTCACAATAACAATGAAAGTGCTCCAAAAAGAAACTTTCACAACTATTCAACATTGTCAGGAGGAGAAAACTATACTCTGTGTATTTAGGAAAATAGAAAACTTACATCTGTGATTTTCTTTTACTCAAAACATCTGAACAACGATTAAAAAACGAACAAAGCCCCAACTTCCTTTGCCGTGCTGTTGTGACTACAGCGTGTTCTCTGAAGCAGGCATTTGTTTTCGAAGGACAGGAAAGTGTTAAACAAATAGAGGTTACAAAAATGGTGTGGAGGGTGTGGGTGGTCCCTGATGAATACTATTTATCATGGATGAGAAAAGAGAACTCAGGAAAGGGTTGGGAAGAGGATTTGGACACAGATGCGGCACAGAGTAGAAATACCAGAGGCACTGTGGAGTTTGCTGATGCTGTAAGACATTCTGGGTGGAGGCAGCAAGGTGGTGAGATCATATAAGAACAAAGGGATAATAGAAAATAAAGCGTGTGATTATGATGTGGCGTGTGTATTTCTGTGAAGCCTGTAGGATCTGTGTTTCCATGGGTTACAGCTTCAAACTCTGCAGACACGGAGAAGAACTGAAAGTGCGCACCCGAGAAATGTGACAGGACTGGCAGCTGTGAGGAGAGGCATGAATTTTTTAGTTACCTGCAAAGTTTCATATAAAAGCTAGAGGAGACCGAGAGGAGAATATCGGTGTTACACGGTCAATTAGAGTTGAGATACTTAGCACTAAACTGACCAGATCCTGAAAACTGAGTAACACTGAACTGCATTCCAGCCTGCTGCCATCAGCCAACTTATCACATAGGCCACAGATATGTGAAGTGAGTTAGAAGTCATGAAAGAGCGCAGCCGAAGAGGAGGGAAGTGTAGCAATCAGGCTGGGAATAGTGGGAGAGAGCGAAAGAAGAGAGGCCAAAACGTGATAACAGTGTGGGGCTGCAAGGACAGGTCCCTCATGTCACAGGCTGCAGCGTGATGTTAAACAGCTGCAGAGAGAGAGAGAGAGAGAGAGAGAGAGGGGCTCGCTTCCTGTTTTAAAACACACTCACTCAGCAGTGACGGGTTCCTCGAAGGACAGCATTAAACCCAACACTTTAGTCGAGTTGTTTTCTTGTATTTGCTTACTCTTCCTTCCTGGCCTGTTTCTCAACCAGTCTGCATTTTCCTGTCGAGAAGGAGGGAAGTGAAACGTGTTCTTTATCTCAGAGAAACTCCTGGAGTCATGCTCAGTGATTACATATTGTTATTGTAGCCGTCTTTGTCTGGCGAGTCCCTGCCCACACAATCACTGGACGGTTTTATCACCTCTCATTTCACGTCATGTTCTTGTCCCGTCGTTTTCACTGAAGTGGTTGACTGATTGTCTCTTTTTTTTTTCCCAAAAGGATTCTCCATCTAAGCCGTCTGTGGCTGAGCTGGCTGGAAGGTTCAAAGGTCATATTTTACCAATGCCTACCTCAAATGATGAGGTAATACAAATGCTTAAATGTGCATAAATAGATAGAAAATGTTTAGTTTCGCTATTCCTGTGTTTTCTTCACAGTTTCTCCTTCATATTTTCAGTTTCGAAGACGACCTCCTTGTTCCTTAAAGTTGCACAATCAAAAAGAAGACAGTGAGGAATCAGATGTAAGTATTTTCTTCTTTTGTCACTAACCCCTGTGTACAAAGGAAGTCCCTAGGAGACATACTTTGATTTGTTTACTGTACATCGTATTGCAAACTCCATATTTCAATTTTCTTCTGTTTTCTCGCAGAAAACAAGTGTTTCCTCAAATCCCATAAAATTCAAGATGAAGAACTCTGCCATCATCGAGAAGCTTCAGGTAAAAGCTCCTGACTGAAATTTAAGAAACGCTCGCTCTACCAGAGTTATTAAAGGCTGTTGCGGTGAGAAAGTCATGAGGAGTGGACAGTGGAGGGATGTTTAAAGCTTTACTGCCCCCTGCTGTCCAGTTGACACGGGTGCCTGAGCTGCTCACACACTGAGGGAAAGAGGAAGGGCTTCTTGTCCTGATGCTTCAATCGGCTCAGATTAACAAGCTAATAGGATCATGAGCCACTCAGCCTCTGTTTAAGGTTCTGCCTCACCACCATCATTCCTTTAGTTTGCAATCTAAACCGAAGGCAGCGATGGGACAAAAAGGCTGCCGCTTCTCTCTTTTCTTCTTCTCACCGGTCCAGGTAGGATTCTCCCAGCGGTAGATGTGCTGTAGATATTAGATTAGATATTAGACGTCCTTGCAATATGTGTAAAAAAAACCAAACTAAAACTATCATTTAAAGAACTGGGAGAAAATGTTCTTTAATTGGCAGTTTGGTCGTAAAAATATTTAGTCAAACTATATTTGAGGTCAAACCGAGATGTAACCAACATGTTGCAACAGAAACCGTCCTCTTCATGGTGTGCAGGTGTTGTTTTTCATTCTCAAAAGGGAATGTAAGGACATTCTTCTAGCATTGGTTTTGCAAAACAAGATCATGACCTGTGAAATAAGGCAAAGTCTCTTTTGTTTTCACCCGTTCAAAACTTTACATACTGCGCTAAAAATGTCAATAGTTAATATAAATCCTCTGTTTCTATGTTTCTTTGTATTTCCTAGAAGATTGTCTTTGATTAAATATAATGCGGATTACTGCTTCCTAGTACAGTTTCAGCTTCCTCTGACTGCTACAACTAAATGTTCCCTCCAGGATACCAGGATGTGTCTTACCTTATTGAATTAATCTTAAAAAAAAAAGCTGTTAAAGTCAACCGTTGTTTGGCAAATCTTATTGAACACTGTGTCCTCAAGAGATTACCTTGCCCAGGTTTCAGGATCTTCCCTTCTTCCCCCCCGCAGGCCAATCTTGCTTTATCACCCACTTCACTGCTGCCTTCACCAAAAAGCCCTGACGTGAAGCTCCAACCAGCACCGCCATCCCCGACCTTATCCTGCAGCCCGGTGAGTCCCCTCAGCCCCAACCTGAGGCCCTCACATCAATCCAGCGAAGAGGAGGATCCTGTCAGCTTCAGCAATCCTCCCGAGGGAACTCCTCTGCCTAGCTTCAACAAGGTAAACGAGAAGACTCATGACCAAGTTGATAACCTTGTGAACAAAAATCTGAGCTATTTGTTTGTTGGTGTGGATTTTTGGCGTTGTCTCTGAGGCACAAATTTACAAACATGGGCTGTCGTCACTATGAAGCCCCTTTAGTGTTTCCCACGCTATTCGCCATCTGAGCCGTGACATCACAGCTGGACACGTGGCACCATCCTTGCTGACGTGTTTCTCAGTGGGAGTCCTGTGTCTTCTCTTTAAGCAGGCCTCAGATAAGCCTGAGTAAGATGCCCCTGCAGTGCATGGATGCTGTTGCAAGGGGGATTGAAGCTGTAATCTCCTTAGCCTAGTTAAGAGTCCCTAGGTGCCATTTGTGCACTGCCCTCACGCATGTGTAGATTAGACTTAAGAGAAACTATTTGTTTACACATATAAGTTGATATTGAGTCCGTTTTTTTAGCTGTTTTAAGTTCTCAATGTAAAATAATATTGCATGTTGAACCTTACTTTCTTTCCACACAGACTCGTGCACGACTATCATTTAAGAGACGGCCACCTACGAGGCAGCACAGGAGGTCAGCTGGAGAGGAGGCGGCTCTCTTTGGGAGCGCTCTGTCCCCATGTGAACTGAACAAACCAAGTGAAAATGGGGAGGACCAGGTTTTCAACAGCCCAGGAGAGGAGGACAACCACAGACAGACAGCCAGTCTACAAGAAGTCGAAGAGAACAGAGACTGTGAAAAAGTAGATAAAGCAGCAAAGGGTGATCTGAACGTCAGCAGGGATCTGGTGGAGGAGTACAAATCAAAACAAGTCCAGATCTCTGAGACTGCTGAGGAGGAAGAGAGGCCGTCAGAGCCTTATGCAGCCAAGCAGATAGAGAGTGATGTTAAGACAGAAGAGGCGCAGAAAGAGATGGAGGAGGAATCTAAGAATCAAACTGTGGGATGTCAGATGTGAATGTGTATCTGAGAAAGAAACTTATCAAAAACTATCTAGTGCTCAGACTAAGAGCCCTTTTTCTAAAAGTACTTGTCAGGAAAGTTTTTAAATGTCTCGGTACTGACTTTGTTTCCTCCATCACCCTCTTCCTGCTGTCGGTAGAACAGGTCTATGAACACTGGAGGGTTAACAGAAGCAGCTGCTCTCTGCTCATGAAAATGGCCATTACAGTTGATACTGTATGAATCTGACAGAGAGGTTTTATTCCACGCTGTCTGAAATAACAGACTCCTGCTATAATGAAAAGATGCATTTTCCTCCTTGCTGTGATTTGACGCGAGTCAAAGACTTTTTTGAGAGTGCACTTTCATGTCAGAAATGCGCAGAGGCATATCTATTATCTGACCTCATGAATAAGCAGATATAAAAATGTTCTGGCATCACAAATAATTTTTGCTTCAGGTTGAAATGTTATGATTTGATGTTTTTTTCTGATCTTTGTTGATTTCTTTATTTACTTCTCTGCTTTTCTTTAATTTGGATTCTACAGAATATCCACAGAGCATACATAGAGCTACTGCTGGCTCCGGTCATCTGCAATTATGTGAAATGGTATTGAGATAATAAACCGCCTCATTCTTGTACAATATTGAAGTTGCTATACTAACTTTTGTTAGGTGGATTTTTTTGGGGTAGAAAGATTAACATAAGTCAAAATGTTAAACACTGAAAAGTATATTGAATCTGAAAGGCCTGTCGGTAATTACTGTGAGCCGTGTCTAATCTTCTAAGACGATTGTTTGGTCAAGGCTTCAGTCGAATGAGGCCAAAAAGGTAGGCTTTCTTAGAGGTTATACAGTATATAATGGTAATGGGTAGTACTGTAAAATGTTAATTTTCTGCAGGACACTTACAAGTGTTTCTTTGATTATTTGCCATCATTTGCATCATCAGTTGCTTTTTGGAGTGGTGCCTCAGTGTACAAACTGCCAGTCCCGAATGTTTTCAACAAGTCCAGGAATTATTACTGGTCATAAAACATGCCAATTTTTCTTCATTCCAGATCAGCGAGGCCTGTGCAACTTTCATTAACGACAACACAATGCTAGATAGCTCACTTTTTACTGTTTCAGTCTTGATTTTTGCAAAACTGGTGCATTTTGAAAGAGTTCCTGCACTGCCTGTTGCTGTTAGGATCATTACATTTGTCAGTCTTTCTTCTTTGTCTGAATAATGTGCATTTTGGGGCGCTGAAGGTGTTGTGAAAGGTGCATGTCACTTTGCGCAGGCATCTGAAGATATGGAAGTGTAAATATTTTATTGTTTTTACAAATATCAATAAAATATTGTTGAAAGCTGGACACTGGGTTAAACTCCACCAATATTTTAAACAATGATTCGTGTTTTCTTCTGTGGCCTTTGTCGACCCCTGCAGGTGAATATTAAGAACTTCAGCTTTTGAGGCAGAGGAAATATTAAAACAAAACAAAAAAGATAATATGACTCTGTCTCTGGATATTTGTACTGTAGATGAAGGTACTTTAACCTTAATGTGCTCTAATGCCATGAAAAATGCGCGTACAATAACTAATTTATTTGCATGTTTTTAATAGCACTCCATAAACAGAACTGAAGCAGGTGAAGCCTCGCAACCAGGGGTTAAGTGCCCCACTTCAATGGATGGATAAACTAACTGAGAATATACAAAAAAAATCTTTTACCTACATGAAAAAGAAAAATGCCCTGAAACCATTTTCTTTACTCGACTTCTTTACTATCCTATAATAAGACCCTCAGTTTCTCTTTTCATGTTCTTTTGTTCATCTAAAAAGCTGGTTCAATACTTAATGTTTGTATTTTGACGAAAAATAAAACATTTACAAAAAAAAAGAGATAAAAAAAACAACTTATTTGGGCAGATCCGATACCTCTCATAAAAAAAATAATAATAAAAAAAAAAAAAACCTAAAAATGTTTAAAATAAAATAATAATACGCATATATCAATTTACAGTCCAAATTCCAAGAATTTCATGTTGTTTATTAAGATTTAACGTCATTTGAAATGGGACATCTGTTGCCGCACTGGACAAGCCGCGCCCCCTGACACAGAACCACGCCCCCTGACACAGCTGAAAAAAATTTGAAATTCGCCACACCTGAGGGGCAAGCGAAGAGGAAAACACGGTTACTATTTCAGCACAAATGTCAAAAAGACAGTTAAATTTGCTGTCTGTTTTCAAGAAGAAGGAAGAGTTGCATGACACTTAAAAAACACCCAGAGAAGCCTCCACAAGCGGCGACGAGGGCAGCTGCAGCGGTCATGTTACCGGTCAACACCGGCTACCTCAGGAGGCTAGCGCCGCAACAGCTAACCGGGTTCACCGCCAGCCGGAGCAGGAGCCAGGTGGACCCCCAACAGCCGCAGCAACAGGCGGGTACCCTGGCATCAGTTAGCCCGGTATAACAGCCGGAGCAAGAGGCGGGAACCGCGACATCTGCTGGTCTACAGCAGGAGGATTCAGAGCATGGTGAGCAAACTGTTAACAGGCCGCCGTGCCTATCTTTGAATAATAATAATTATAGAAGTGATTCATTAAAAGCTCTTTTTTTCAACGTTACACCTGTTGAGGAATTAATTGCTAACTGTTTTCTGTAAGTCACACCTGTAAGTATGAGGGCGTTTGCCTGTACTGCCCAAAATAATGGTAAATTATCGTCTAAATTAACATTTATACTGTGGATATTATTTGAAATCGAGGCTTGTAAGTCCCACAGCGTGGCAAGTGGGCATTTACATGTTGTTTTCAGCACGTTTTCTATAAATGTTCCAGTGTGCCGGTACCTTATACTTTACAATTTACGCACCGCTTGCAACAGGTGTCAAATATGAGTGGTAGGTTTACTTCCATCAGAGATTACACTTTAACCCTAGAACACTATCCTCGGGTGATTTTCGCCCGACCAAACATGTTTACGTGATTTTCATGATGTTGCTTTTGTCTAAGTACCATGAGTCCCTGGGTAGCTTAAGCACTTCCTTTCACATCTTTGAAGGATATATTTGTTTCCCTGATCCAAAACCTGCTTTTTCCTACAGGCACGTGTTCACAAGGTGTTTCACCCGGCAATAGTGATAGAGGTTAAGTAGGTTTGGGTGGATTTGATAGCTGCATGTAGGGAATAAGGGAAATTAAGAGTGGTCCTGGAATTTGCATGCTATCTCTATTTAGAGTTGTGGTTATGAATCCCAACTATCACAAAGTAGTGATTTTCAAGGGAATTCATATGGTGATAAGAAATATCTTATTGTATTTAAACCATTGCTCTGTGGAACTTGACCGCTTATTGTACTTATTTAGCTATTTATTGCTGATCCTGCTGATCTGTGAGTACTGACAAGGGAATGTGGTTGTCTACTGGCTGCTTTTAATGTCTTGCATTGTCTGGTTTGTTTGTCTGCTGATCTGTGTGTTTGGATGGATCAAACGGCAGGGTAACTGTGAACGGAATTGTTCTTAGGGGATAAATAAAGTTGTCTGAATCTGAATCTGAATATTGTAGTCATCATCATCATTTTTACTTGATCAAAATCTGACATATTTTGGTGTATATATATGTATATATGAATTTTAGTTGATGAATGCCTAATTTCAGTTATTTTGTTGTATTCTTAAATGGTCCCCTCGCGGTACTTTTCCCCCTCCCTTTGGACATTACACACTTAAAAATATAAGAAAACTACTTTAATTTCTCATGTATTGTCCGATTTTGATAAGAAGTACTTTTTCTTGGGTGTATTTTGGGTAAAAATCACCCGACGATAGTGATGGTGTTACTAATTCTACCGATAGTGTTCTAGGGTTAAGAGCCACCGTATGTTATTTATGGGATATGCAGAAATGTCACATTAATGTTAAACAAGAAAGGAAAGAGAGTATGAATACCAGTTTATCTCCACAAGACATAATGATATATTTACATTAGATCAATAAAACCAGACCGCAGCTGTAAAACAGAAATATCATTCAGCATGAGTGTCCTCATCTGACTGAGTAAATATTTACTTTATTAAATCCTGGAGGCGGTCATGGGAAATCAGCTGGATCATGGAGGCTATCCGACAGACTTCAAATACCTTTAGATACCCACAATAGGACAACACAGTTTGAACTTAATATTTCATAGTGTTTCCCTATTAAATTATATCCTAAGTCTTCAGGTGTAAAGAATAGAAAGCTCTCTCAGTTGCTTTAACGTTTCCACCCCCCGTCGCTATCTCCACTTGACAACGCCTTCCGACGTCACCTACCGAAACTTGAAGAACTCACCTGGGCGTCTGGAAAAGGGACGGTCACGGACACGGAGAGAGAAGAAACACGTCTATTCCCTTCGAGCTGTCAACTCTTAACCATGTGAACCCGCTGCTGTCCTGCTGTTTTTGAGGAAGCTGCCTTTTTGACCCGCTCATGGTGCGTTAAGGGTCCTTCGGACGGTGCGGTTTCGTTATTAAAACTTATAAACTCAAAGACACTTCCGGGTTGGATCTTTTCACGGGCTGAAGGATATGCCGTCCGGATCTGACAACATGGACATTGAGTTGCAGGCAGTGAAGACGAGAAATGGGGACCACGAACCTGGATTTGTATCATATGATCGGGTGAGTTCCCTGTCTAATAAGGATTAAAAACACAGAGGAAATGGGTGGTAATAAGATTAATAGTAATTAAATTTGTATTTAACTGAGTGTCTATAATTCTTTAATTTACAAAAGAAAATGTTTGATTATGATTTTAAGTATAAAAGTCTAAGTATGTCTAAGTATCTGTCCATATCTAAGTATGTATTTGGATTTACTGTACCACACTGTAGGCTGGGATTGCTGATGATATCAAAACTGAAACAATAGTCCATTAATTTCATAACCACATATTAAATTGCTGACAAGATTTATTTATATCATGTTACCACAAATTGAAGAACTCCTCTGCCTTAAGCTATCAAATGAAAATTGTCCTTGTCTTATGTAACGGTACAGTATGGAGTGTTCGTCTGCTTTTAATGTCAGTGGGCTACAGGTCGCAAAAAACAGGGTTACGCTATATATGTATGTGTGTATTTATTCTATTTTCTTGACACATCAACCAATGGACAATATCTATCTATCTATCTATCTATCTATCTATCTATCATGTAAGGAAAAGTATCAAGAAATCAGTCAATGAATAGATGGATTATTTCCATTTGATGCTCCATAATATGTATTGTAATGTCATGAAAAAATGTCTGTTTGTAACTTGTATTATTCTCTAATATTTACCTGCTTTAGGTAACAGGTAACGGAGAAAGTGTGGCCAACTCGAACCCTGATGCATCAGAGAAAGATGTGTTATTATCTGTGCAGGTGAGCTTCTGTAAAGGTTGTGTTTATGTCTTTTTGTTTTGTTTAGTTTGACAGTCTTCCTAAGTAAAACTGTCAACAGCTTGCATCGGAGACTCTGTTGAAAGTGGTGATATAAACACACCGTATCCAAACAGTTATCCATTTTTAGTAATGGTATGAGGAAAGTGACGTAGTGTTTGTCTGTTGTGTTTATATCAGATCGACGGTTGTAATGGGGAGACGACAGCCGCTGGATCAGCAGCAGCAGCTCTACAAAACGTGGGAAACACCTCTGAAGAGGTATAAAGGCTTACATTCGCTGTTTTAGTCGTTGTTTCCTCTTTACATATGATAAAGAATCAGTTCTTTTTTGAGAGAATTTCTTTCAGCTCTCTTTAAAATGTGAGGTAAATGACAATCTTGTGTTTTTGTTTCTCGTCAGGTTACCACTCCTAATGGTGAGACAGTCGCGTCTTCAGTTTCAGAAGAATCTCAAAGTATTCTGGGAAATGTTTCTAGAGAGGTATGAAAGCTTTTATTAAAAATGGCTGTATGGGTTTTGTTTCTCTCTTCTCATGGAATAAAGGAAGTGTAGTTTACTGTTTACTAATATTTCCCTATTCTGTTCATTTTTGTGAAACTAAAACCAAAGCTACAGCTGTAAATTATGAGGATTAATCAGGAATTTACAACTGTCTTGTTATTCTACTCTAAATCTATCTGACTGGAACGCTCTACAAATTGCCACCACATCTTGATAAAGCATTTTTGTTTTTGATTTAAGGGGAGACGAATAAAGAAAGAGCTGAATGAGATCCTCTTCTGGAAAGTCAGACTGTGGATGGCCATCATCTTTGTTTTTTTCCTCATCTTTGTCGTAATTATAATTTCGCTGCTGCTCTGCTCAGGTGGGATAACATCGTCATGAGTCAAGTCATCAACATCAGTTGCATATTTTAAAGCATTCAATGATGTTGTTGTTTTTGAATCAAAGATTACAATTTGAAACAATTTGATTCAACTATGCTGTTTCCTTTATGCGCAGCAATCCACGAGGACAAAGACGAGAAGTTCGACCCGTCGTTGTTCAAGTTTCCTCTGTATTTTAACGGGAGCTTCCAACTGCCCAACCTGGTCTACACAGAGAATCTCCTCACACTGTCCTTCAATGAAAGCCAAGCACTCGCCTCTGACCTGCAGGAAAAGGTTTGGCCATTCATGAGTGTTTCTTCTCTTGTCTTTCTTTGAATGGTGTACTTGATAATTCAGATTTTAGGTGATATTTGCAGCTCAGTTCGTGTTGCGCATGGAAGGACTGAAATATGCTGTTAGACGCTACATTTTTAACTGGTGTGTAGCTCTTTGCTTTTGCTGTTGCATCAGTTGTTTCCCAGTTGCAACACCCATGTAACACCTAACTGAGAGATGGTTGTGCTATGCACAGTGTGGCAACAGTTCAAACTGACAAATTTAATAACCACATCAGCCAAGGCTGCATACCTGACCTCCACAACTCTCTACTTTCAAGAGAGAAACCTTCAACGTATCGAGACGGCACAAAATAAAAACCTGCTCTGGCTGCTATTATCAGAAGCTTTAAACCTTGTGTTGCGGTTTAATCTTCTCAGAGAATTAAAATCAAAAGCCATCTGCAGCAGAAGAGAGCAAAGGCGATGTGAGGTGAAAGTACGTTAGAGTTAACCAAACACATTTCACACCCATTGTTTGTGTCTGCATTCCTAATCCTGGCCCCACCCAGCTTGCTGACCTCTACAGATCCTCACCTGCCCTGGGACGGTACTTCTCAGGAGCTGAGATCCAGGCTTTCAGGTACAAACACATCATCCGCAGCGATTTTGATAAATGTCCACTAAGATGAAAGTGAAACTTAAACATATCCCAGGGTTCCTGCACAGTTGGAATTTCCATACTTTTCCATACCCTACCCTAATTATTTTTGGAAATACCTACTTTTCTATTTTTAGAAAGCAGTATTTTAGAGCTGTGGTAATAGTCTGGAAACATAGATACTTTATTTCTCATTTACCATACTTTTTAAGACCTGGAAATTGATCAAACTACTTCCATACTTTCTATACTTGCATAGGGACCCTGATATCGACTTTTGTTTTTCTACAGTCTGATGTGTTTGTTGAGCTTCAGTAACCTTGCATTCCTCCCCCCACAGGAACGGATCAGTCATAGCTGACTACCAGCTGAAATTTCTCATGCCTGAAGAACGACAGGAGCAGCTAAAGAACTACATTCTGAGCAGGGAAATGGTGTACAATGTGCTCAGACAGTTTTTGTACGACCAAGAGTCTGAGGAGTCGGGGCCCATGTATATCGATCCAGTTTCCCTTAACATGTTTTTAAAACAATAGAGTTCACCAGCTTTCAATTCACCGTGTCTTTTTGTCCTCAAACACTAAGCTGCCTTTGGTGAGGTGTGTGTTTGCAGCATATGATCTGTGGGATCATACTTCTGTGGTATATCCTCCCGTCAGTCCATACAGAAGTTGCACATGATTTAGCTCGACCACAGGAAACTACACAACTGCCGTCACTTAAGCCCATTATGGCTGTAGGTCATGCGGACAATCCAATGGTCTGATCTGCTTAATGAGCTTTTACAGACTGATCTTAATTAAATTCAATCAGGAGTAAAGGAGTTATCAGGTAAAATGGACATCTGTCTACTGTCTTGGCTGATTGATTTAACCTGCAAAGAAATGTCCAGAAAATTCTGTACTTTGCAAACATATCATCAAGTTTTATTGGAGCTTTTACCGAGTATTACTGTGCCTTGTTTTATTGCAAGTTTATACAGCTGATTAGTGTTGTTGAATTATCACTGCTGGTCTGATTTTCTATCACTGTGATTCATGTGTATTATACAGATCCTGTGGCTGGATGCATGTGTGTGTTTTTTTATTGAAAATGTTTGTGTTTTTAATTGCTTACTGTGCCAATAATGTTTGTTACCACGACCAGACATGATTTGCATACCTATCTGTGGGATGCTCTTAAAAAATATTTGCCTAGAGAGCAGCAAACACATTAGGGAAATCCGCCTTGAAGAACTGTACATGCAAATGGGTTTAAAAGGTTTGCATGCCCATTTAAATGACTCCGCTCACAAATACTGAATACAGGGTTCAGTTTGACGCCAAGTACATCACATTTTTCCAAGTGTCCTATAGTTTGCAACTCAAAGCAGGGCAGATTTTTTACCATTTTAAACCTGCTGTGGTTGAACACTAGAGGGAGTGCATGTCCTTCATGCAAGTCGAGAGTTATTGTCTCCGTTTTGCCTTCTCCGTGTCTCTGCTGTCGACATTTAAGAACGGTCATTCATATTTAATAGTTAATTTGTGTTAACAGCATTGAGGTAGCCTACTGTGCGTGCTCATCAAACCGAAACTGTGTCAGTGTGCGTCAGGGGAAGCCTGTTTCCTGTCAGGAATAATGCACACAGGTCCGTCCTCTAACACGATTACAGCTGTGGGTTAAGTTTATACCAATTGTCCGGTAACAAAGAGTAATTGTTCCAGCAGATGGTTGTTCATTAGTCTTTGTTTGAGCTGGTGGAACAAGACTTTCAGAAAGTTTGGATGTTTGAGCCACAGAGACACTAACTGCCTTTTTTTCATCACTTCAGTATCTGGTGTGAAAACACGTTTTGTGGTTATGGTTGTGGTCCAGTCATGAGAGTCATTACAGATTCACATGTAAGGTCTGTGATGAAAATAAGAATAAATAAAAGATGTTTTTAAATAATCAGAGTTTTTGTTTCTTTCTATGAAATGTGAGATATTCCTTTATTTGTCCCACAGGGGGGAATTCCAAAATTTACAGCAGTGATAAATAGAGAAGAGAAATTAAAGAATGAGGAAACTTAGGAGTTAAAAAAAAGTTCAAATATATACCCAACAAACCAACAGCTTTCATAAAGGAGACCTCACAGTGGTTATCAAAAAGGGTTAGAATAACTCACGTTCAGACACACTCAGCTTTTTTTTTGTTTTACCTCCTGAACCCTCTGTCCCTTTTTTTTTCTTCCAAAACAGAAATACATTTTTGCATGCACCTCTCTGATGCATGACAGTCACATGCCGGTCAAGAGGTCAAGTTTGAACAGCAACACACGTGCATTATCGAAGCCATGTTGACTGTTTCGAAACATGTAACTAAACCACACAGCACCTGCTTCCTCCTCAGACTACAAATGTTTGGATGAACGAGAATTAACCTGAACTTTTCTGTTAAGACCGGATTTATTGACTAAGACTGGTAGGCTTACTATGTAAAGGTGATAGTGTGTATTTTCTGTGCGGGTGTCTACCTCTGATCTGGGAGAGTAAACACTTTTCTTTAATCTGTTGACAGCAGTGAGAGATCAGGTGCGATAACACGGGGCAGCAGTGTGGATCCCGGCTGCATACAAGTTTACCTTAAAGACTGAAAGATACGAAGTGGCTGTGATCTCTCACCGGTGGTCCATCCCCTCTGTCCTATTTTAGGAAATGTTAATCTTCTGAATCCAGATTTACTAAAACGAGCGCTCTGAGCTTTGATAGCTGGGTTAGTTTGAACACACTTTACTACTCATGAATCGTAAACATAATCCTTAAAGGTCAGTCAAAGATCAGCAGGGCTCATTAAGCATGTACCCATCCATGCTGGTGTGTGAGTGTGTAATGTTTAACTCAGTTTTTACTCAGCAAAAATGAAGCCAGCATGTACTTGTGTATATTTACAGAGCCCAGCATAAGTCAGTACACCCCCCCTTAAAAGTAATGTATTACTCAATATCTAGATGAGCAAAAGTACAATTTCCAAAGTTTTGACAAAACTGAGTTTGACATAAAATTTAATTTACCAGAAGATGAAAATAAGGGTGAGATGGTCACTAAAATTTAGCTTTGCTCCCAGAACATTGATTGGGGTGTACTCATTTTTGCATCCTGATTTTTAAATTGGAAAAAAAAATTTGGAAAAAGAAAAAAAAAAATGTGGATTTTGAAGAGAAACTAAAGGTTTTCTTACAACTCTAAATGGGTGTACTCATTTATGCTGAGCACTGTAGATGCATGGAGGTATTTGAATCTTTTTTTAACCCGACTGAGAATTAAAGCTGGACAGCGGTTTTACTCTTTGCAATATACAACAACATATATTATCATCAACTAGTATACTGAGACAAAATCATGCAAAAACCATGAAAGACCCCAGAAACATCAAATAGACAAAAACCAAACCTATTTTTTTTTAATAACCAGAAATAAATCACTTTTACAGTCTGACAGGATTTTATGAAGTCAGCAGGAAGTCGGCAAAAACAAAATTCCTGCATGAGCGTTATTTCTACGTGCACATTCATAACAAGCTAATTTATGTTACCCATCAGCTAAAGAATAAGAAACTGAATTGATTGGCTAGATCCAAAATCAAAATTAGAATAAAAAAATCAAAATACTCAATCCATGCAACTCTTGTTACGTTAATTCATACACTCTGAGGGTCCTCAAATATCGTGGATAATAATAACCTTTTTATGTAACTGTTCATAAGAGGCTTCATGTGTGTTTGTAGGTCAGAAAAATCTCTTAGTCTTTTGTAAAGAGGATAAGTCGGTTTATGGGGGTCTTCCCAAAGATAATTCTTCGAGGAATCCCTCTAGATATGTTTGATAACCTCAGTAAATATACAGGTGAGTTTTAGACGGGATAGTCTTTTTTTATATCATGTATTTAATTGCACTCAGCTTTCAGAGTTAATGGAAACTGGAAAGAAACAGATGCAACATCATCCCAAAGTTTCTCTGCAGATCTGTATCAACTGGACCCTAAACTTTTGCATGCTTGGTATCTTCTTTGCATGCGTTATGAATGCAGTGGGCTTCAGTCATCGAGCATGCAATGCCCTGGCGTTCTAGGAAGACTTCCCCAGTTATCCCATTAAAGGGTTATCTCTTCTTTTGGCTGTCCCACGACTTAAAGATTAAGGCGGACCTCGCATGAAGTCTTTGCCAGACCTCACTGCTGCAAGTGATCTATACGGTCACTGTCCTCTTTTACACATCGAGACCTGACCGCCGGTTCTCTGCAGAATTCTGGATCGAATCATCGCTGTGGAGGAATTATGGGCTCCCACTGCTCCAGCCTGGATGATATCTTGGAGGAGGACATGCACCACTGGTACACCAAATTCATGCGAGAGTCTCCTTCAGGACTCATCACGCTCTTTGAGCTCAAGACCATGCTGGAAATGACCAATATGACAGAGGAGGCCCACAGCTATGTCGACCAAGTCTTCCTCACCTTTGACATGGACGGGGTAAGAAAACAGAAATCACCTCTGCTGCCCAGAATTTACTTGATTACCTCAGAAATGTGGTCACTGTAGGGACACTCGCTTCATGAATAACCATAAATCTAAATCCTTCAGATCGGTCTTCTTGTCTTAATGAGAAACTTTGCCATGGTAAGAGAGTCCAGCTGTTGTATTTCAAATGGTTAACCAAGGAGAGAGTAACATTTAAAAGGACTGCTGAGAGATTACAGAGATCTGTGGATCTGTTTTAACAAGGATCAACAGAGGCTAACCTCTTTCTGCTACGTGAGTCCTTAACTCTTTCACAAATCTGAGATCGAAGAGTCTTCAGTTGTACGTCAGGAGCACATTTACATTATCTTTCATTATTACAGAGGAATTGCACAACTTATGTAGCCCTGGCATGATAGAATAACACAACTCTATGACTCCTAAACATTTTGATTGTTGGTTTAAAATGTTTGCATGCATTCAGATCTGTTTGCACGCATCCTCTGACTGCTTCTTTCATGTATTTTTTGCAGGATGGTTATATAGACTTTGTGGAATACATCGCAGGAATAAGTCTTCTGCTGAAAGGAGAAATTAACCAGAAGCTAAAGTGGTACTTTAAGCTCTTCGATCAAGATGGAAACGGGAAAATTGACAAAGAAGAAATGGAGACTATATTTAAGGTACGGTGAAAATCTTCTGAATCTGCGGTTATTTGAGTTTCACAGAAACGAGGACAGGGCAGTTACCTGAATCATGAGGCTTAAGTCGGCGCTCTGCTCTGAATGAGTACGAGGGGGTTTAGCTGGACGTGAACGAGACATAACACTTAATCCAGGGGGCTTCTTATCTAACCCCTGGTCTAAAATTGGCCTTGTGACCATTTTCACTCAGGAAAGACGACGTACAATAATCACCTGCAGGTTACACATAACATTTAACCTTTTCACCTTTATTACCTGAAGGTTCTTTCACTGCTCAGGACAGTATTAAGTGTAGTATGTGGTGTTTAAAGTGTCATGTTATCTATTCATTACATACATACTAAGTTATATATGAGATCCTGAACTCAGCAGCTGAACAGTAACTGTGTAATCTCCTCGGTCAGGCTATTCAAGACATCACCAGAAGTTACGACATCCCTCCAGAAGAGATCGTAACCATTGTTTATGAGAAGATCGACGTCAATGGAGAAGGTAATCATTTATTATTGATCCAATCCTCATTCTCATCCTCAGCATAATGAGGTTTCTGATAATTAAATATGTAGGGTGTGATTCTGATGTTTGCCTCTTGTGTGTCCAGGTGAGCTGACGTTGGAGGAGTTCATCAGTGGCGCCAGGGATCATCCCGACATCATGGATATGCTCGCTAAAATGATGGATTTAACTAACGTCCTGGAAATCATTATTAAAGGTCAACAGAAGAAAGTTGTGGCCTCGTAATTGACGCGCGGGACTGAGCAGACATCGAGATCGATTTGGAGGATTTTGAAAACAGCATGGTTGAAGAAAGAGTGTACTGTTTGTGTTTGAACGATGAAGAGCCGAGTTTCATCTCAAACGGCACAGACTGGGCTGAATAAACTGACTGAACAGTCTCATCAGATATGATCTATCTGTGTGTCGACTGAGGGAAGTGAAGACTTCGTCCTTCTCTCTCTGCTTGTGCTCTCACTTTTCTGCAACATCAGGCCTTCAATTTGGTCAATTCTCAAATAAACAACAGACGGGTTTGAAGAGTCTCCATGAAGCAAGTCCGGTCTGCACTCAAGTTCCTGTTATGCTTTGCGCACAGTAAGGTGGATAAATCGCTTTGATTTACTTAATTAAGAGCTTATTGAGCCGGAAAGTGATCGGGACTCTGTTTGGCAGAGCTGTCAAGGACATTGGAAAAAGCAGAGGGGGTCATCATCACTTCCCTAAACCTCAAGCAGCGGTGAAGCCTGGTGAAAATAATCAAATTGTTTTCATTTTCAATTCTATAAATTCCCGTAAAAGGCCGATGCAAAACTCTTAATGAATTTCTGTAACTTTTTATGCCATTATCAACACTAATTGTTCTTTATTGTGTTTGTTCTTGAAAAATACGTCACTTTTTGTGTAGAAACTAGATCGTAAATGTAGTGACTGAGTGTTCAGATTCTGGATGTGAAATGAAATGTGTTTTCTCTCTATGTCACAATGATGTTAAGGTTACAAAGTTGCCTTTTAAATTTAATACAACTGTTTTTGTAAAAAGAAGTTCCCATATTTTTTTTTACAGGTAACTAGCTTCATTCAAGTCGACTCAGTAATTTACAAAATGTTTATGCATTTAAATGCGGGCGTACCAATAATACAACTTTTTTTAAACATATGTTGGAATAGTCTTTGACTTCAATTTTTCTGCTACTGTATTCACCAAAGGTTATGCACAGTATGTGAGCAAATAGAGGAGGCTATGTTAGACATCAGTATACAAAGTTCTGTCACTGTTCTTAAACCATTTGGCCTGTATCACTGAAAGCATGTCAAAGCCTCATTATTTCAAGACTGCACAAGTGTTAAACGCACAGTTAAGACCAACGACTTCTACAAGAGCTCAAGGTTAACATCTTGTGAGCACAGGAGCTCAGGTGACTCTTACTTCTTGTTACTACTTAACAAACAGATGAGGGGATGCACAACTTGTGGTCCAATCAGATGGTTACCAAGATCTGCTCAACCTGCAAATATACTGGATTTGATCAATTTAAATCCTACCTGATCAAGAGTTGGAGCAATTATCTGTGGGATAAGCCATCTTTCTCATAGTCACTAAAATTCCATCAGTGATTCTTAGCTCCTTCTCTACATCCTTGTGTCCTTCTGCTAAGAGACAAAGTGTCTGCAGTTTTCACTTTTATTTGTGCAGAAAATACCAGAGCTTGTCACACACAACAAAACCTGCAAGCAGCCGAGGTGAACAAGATTTTTCCTCTTCAGCCCACCTGTAACTCTTCAGCTGTGACTGAAGAGCTAAGAGTTTGCGTGTCTGCAAGTCTAAAAAAAGCTGAGCTTGACTTTGCACATCTCTAGGGTCACAAAAGTTTGAAATTTGACATTGCTCAGCTTTTTTTTTTACTGAATATCACACCACATTATTTCTTCACACTGAGGTCATTGTAACATTAAAGTCTGTGTGGCTAATGATTTAACAAAGGTTCATTATCGTGCAAACTGGTCAGACAACTCAAATAAAGATAAGGGCTTGACTTCACATGGCACTCCAAGCTCCAAAATATATCGGATGATACAGTGACGCGTCTGCACTGATCAACCCACCTCTTCTTATTGTATAAATACCCCCGGTGTGTACTCCCATGGCTTTGCACTGCATACTGCTTCCTACTTTCAACCAGCAAAGATCAGGAACAGTCATCCACCTCCAACTGGAACCATGCAGTCCGCCGAAGCCAAGTTCAACAGGAGCAGTCTCTTCTTGGCCCTGAGACGATACAACTCAGCCATCAGGGACATGGAGCAGACCATCCTCCTGCCCAGCCTGCTGCGAGACGTGCCCTCTGAAGACGTGTGGGACTGTGATGCAACAGAAGAGTCCTGCGGAGACTTATACGACAGCTACCTGATGCTCAAAGCTCTGAGGAACACGATAGAGAGTGGCTTGATTTCCATGGATGACCACAAGGCCAAGAAACATGTGACACTCAACAAGACCCTGGAACCTCTCTTGGACACAGACCCCGAGGCTGTCTTCTGCTTCCACCTGAGAGGATTGTTTTCTGTGATGAGTGATCTCACCAAGAAGTCTCAAAGCCTTACTGAGAAATACATGGACATTATTGGTGTGGCAAATTGAAAAAACATGGACGTTCAAGCAAAAATCTAAAGCTGTGTATGGAACAAAGTCAACAGATCGCACAAGCCCTCGACCCTGTGCTCTTAACTTTAAGGATGAAAAATAAACATGCATTGCCAAAATGTGTTCTCAAACTTTTTCTTCATTTCAAAATTGTAATTGCTCTTCGAAAACTATTTGAAATACTGAATAATTAAATGATTATATAACAAAACAACAGTGCTTTGAGCTTGATTTATGCAACTAAACACAATCTTGTATGGTGAAAACAAAGAGAGCCGTGCCTACTTCTACAAAATGATCAGAATACACTACTAGTGTGTTAAATTTTGATCATTTTATTTACATGGCTATATTTCACACAATAAATGACAGAAATATTTGACAAAAAGACTGCTGTAGACCGATGGTAGTCTGCAGAAGGTTGATGGCGGTCTGACATTTAGCGAATAGGATGGAAAGGCTCCACAATCTCAGCAAAGGTCTTTTTTTCTGGTGAGATAAAAGACAAAAAGAGAGATACATTTTGATTAATGCTTTAGCTCCTTATAATTTTAGTTCTCTGCAAGACTTACAAATGTATTTCTGTACATTAAATTCAATGAGATAGTCTCATTAATCACTCATCTTGTAGCCTCACATCCTCATTTTGACCATGTTTAAAGATTCTGAGTTGTTATTAGCTGATAAAAGGTACATCATTTGCAAAATCATACATGAAACTATTTTTGCAAAGAGCACTAAGCTTTTGCAAAGTAAGTAGACAATAACAAAACTTCTTGGTTCTTAAGCCAACAGTTGATAACCTAAACACTGAAAACCCACCCAACTCATCATGTACAAACTTAGCATCTGCAGTGAGTTAGTCTGGGTCTGAGGTTTACTAAACTGCATGTAAAGGTGGATAAGGTGATCACAGTCCTGCCCCAGGTTTAAAGAGTAAGTGCAGTATCCTTGTGGAGCACAAAATAAGAACTACACATGGAGATAGTTGTTTTTAACTCCCTTGTGTCCTCCTTAGCTGCATTTCTCTTACCCTTTGGTGCAAAGTCCTCTGGATGCAGTCTTATATACTCGTTCATATCTCGATCAAGTTTGGCGTAAATATAGTTTTCCCTTTTTGTAAGGTAATAGCCGAGGAACCAACCGACTGTTGTCAAGAGGACCTGCCGATGGACACCTAAAAGAGGGAAACATGAAAACAGGTCATTTATCGTGTATTTTAAGACCAAGGCATGACACTTTTGTGTAGGTCCTTTCTCCTCACTGCCACTTTAATTAACCTTTAGTAATAAAAACAATGAAAAGGAATAGTTGTAGTTGCTGCATTTTCATACACACATTAGTGTAATATTTCTTTATGACAACACGGTGGATAACTGCTAAATGCACAATGTCTGCGCAGCTTTTAAGCTTTTTTTCTATTAACCCTAGAACACTATCGCCGGGCCAAACATGTTTACGTGATTTTCATAATGTTGCGTTTGTCTGAGTATCATGGGTCCCTGGGTAGCCTCAGCATTTCCTTTGACATCTTTGAAGGCATATTTGTTTCTCTGGTCCAAAACCTGCTTTTTCCTACAGGCACGTGTTCACAGGGTGATTTTCACCTGTCAATAGTGATAGAGGGTAAAGTAGGTTTGGGTGGATTTGATAGCTGATACCCATTTTTATTCATTGGCTTTCAACCCTACATGAGACTCGGCTCCTGTTTTAGTGTTTTATGGTTTGTTTTTAGTTTTTATTGTTTTTACATTAGTTTTTAAAAACATTGAAACTATATTTTACTTTTTAATATCTGCTTTTATTTTATCCACTGTTTTGATTGTTTTTTGATTGTTTTTCTGTCTGCGTTGTTTTGCCTATTTATGTACAGCACTTTGTTCAGCTGTGGTTGTGCTTTAAGAATAAAGTTATGTTGAGTTGAGCTGCATGTAGGGAATAAGATCAGTAAGAGTGGTCCTGGAATTTGCATGCTATCTTTAATTAGTGCAGTGGTTATGAATGACTATCACAAAGTAGTGATTTTCAAGGGAATTCACATGGTGATAAGAAATATTTGAGTCAGCTGGTCATTTTTACTCACTCCAAATAAAAAGCTGCCATATTTTGGTTCTCTCTCCTGCAGCTGTTAAGGACCCTGAGTCTTCAGCAGGGAAGACTCAGATGCCCCAGGAATGGGAGGAAAAGAAATTAAGTTTACAGTTTCTATATTTTTATGGTTTTTTTTTTTTAGGAATATTTTGTTCATGAATGCCTAATTTCAGTTATTTTGTTGCATTTTTATATGGTCCCCTCATGGGACTTTTCCCCCATCCCTTTGGACAAGAGAAAACTACTTTAATTTTTCATGTATTGTCCTATTTAGATATATTTTGATATGACTAGTACTTTTTCTTGGGTATATTATTTCAGGTAAAAATCACCCGGTAATAGTGATGGTGTTACTAATTTTAGTGACAGTGTTTTAGGGTTAAATGTCAGATACTCTCCGGTCTAAAATACACCTTTGTAGACTACATACAGTCTGAAATCCACCAGGTAAACACGCTGACCTGCTTTAATCGGCGGCCTGTGGTTAATGGCGTTATGGATCAGCGCAGAACACCAGCCCACTGCTGCCAACCACATCGAGTTCCTGTTGATGATTCCCGGCGGAGGGAGAGACTTCGCCTCGTCTGGTAAGAATCCCATGGTGAGAAATTCACCTCCAAATGTAGAAATATTAGTGACCTCCCTGCAGCCTGGGATTTCCTCTCCACAATCACCTCTCTCGTAGGAAGTCAAGGGCAGTGCAACCGAAAGATACGTCCGGGCACAACGAAAGAAAACGGCTTCAGTTCCGCCTTTGTTGTTTCCTAGCAACCAACGCCTGTAAGTTAGACTTTACATTACTTGCTGTCCTTTCAGCGAACTCGAAGTATTTGGACATTTTAACCTTCCTGTCGTGTTCGGGTCAATTCTGACCAATTTACAACTTAAAACACTCATAAATTTTGTATTTTACATCTGATCTCCTCAAGACCTTATGATACCCTCCACACTGTGCACTTGAACATATAAAAGTGATAACGACCACTTTCATTAAACTTTGAATGTTGTAGTCACACTTATGTTCTGACCCTCCCACGTGAACCACCTCCCAAATAAAACAATTGCTGCGTCCGAATTGCCCGCTGGCATACTACATACTACTGCTACATACCACTGCTAGATCCTACTTCTACATATTAAACACGTTGGCCCAATTCCGACACACAAGACGAGTGGTGGGGAAAGACGACCCCCGCAGGCAGAGAGTAGGTACTGCGCCCGTGCTGACAGTCTAAAACTCTTTGAATGGTAATTGTGCAAGTGATGGATGCTGCTGTATTATATTCCTGCACTGCTTTAGAAATTCACAAAGTGGCTTTTCCATTACTTTTAGCCTTCATTCACTCACGTGGTGATCGTTTGTTCAATGAGATCTGCCTGATAACTGCAGCTGTGCAGTTTAATGATGGAATAAGTGAGCTTTACCTCCACGATGTCGCCACATATTTGCTCATAAAATGATTACTTGGGCAAATATGACACCATGACATGACAAAGAGATACAACCGCACATTTTTTAGGACAGTGTGTGAAGTTACATGAAACTTACATCTGTACTGCTGCGGTCCTGTCACAGGCAGCGTAATGCAATGGAGTCCTACCCCACTCACAAATCATAGACTCGAGACTTGTTGAAAAGTTGTTTTAAATAAAAACAAATGAAATGCTTATGTTTTATATGTTTTCCCCATTACAAAAGTACGAACAACAAACTAAGTAACACAAGCACATTCACATCACAACCCTCTCCATAATCTCTCCTTCCCCTTTTTGACACTGCAACTGTGTCTTAAAGACAGACACCATGTAATAATTTCATCATTTCTGTATTGCATCACAAACACATGGCCTCACATCCATTTATTCATTCAATTCAAAGCTTCGTGCACCAAAGTCTCGGGGTGTCTTTGGTTTATCACTCTGCCTGTTTTACATTTACTGTCCACTGGATGGCGCAAAAGAGCAAATGGAGCGCAATCATGAAGCTTCGGCCCAGGAGGCGAGTAATTGGATGGAAAGCTTCAATCAACTCAACTTTATTTGTTAACCACAGCTGAACAAAGTGCTGTACATAACTAGACAAAACAACAAGATAAAAAACAATCATAAAAACAATGGGTAAAATAAAAGCAGAATTAAAAGTAAAATATAGTTTCAATGTTTTTAAAAACTAATTTAAAAACAATGCTTCAAGAGGCTTCATCTCGCCATCACTCGTCTCTACTCACGTATCCTCTGTTGTCTTCCTGGCTGCAGCAAGTGAATCTTGCGAGATGTCAGAACAGTACTCTTCACAAACGTGATTTGGTTGTACAAAGATGTTTTTAGCTAGTTCCGCGGTTGCTAACTACAGCTCCGCTGTAAATTGTTCACTGTGACAGTCAAATATACAGAAGCACATGGAAAAAAAGACATTTTTAGGAAGTTTAATTTTTAAAAGTAGGGATTTTAATCAGAGTGTTTATCAAACCAGTCCCCACAGGTAGCTACGGGATTACTCCCCACTTCACGAAAATGCAACACCAGTTGATAAGCAAGTCGTCAGAAGTACACCGATAAAGACAATAAAATATATTAAATAAATAAAAGACTTTGATTTAAGGACCTGCAGACGTGGTGAGAAAAAAAAAACATTATCTGAATAAATACTCCTTTCTCTCCTGTCTTATACATGACAATGAAAGCATTACTTTTCTCCAGATATATTTATTTTCACACATACCCATACAATTATCAACACTGTGGTGCAATGATGGATCAATCTCACTGAAGCCAAATACCAACAAAGGAGATATTATATTATATATGCAATGGATGATGTGTGTTCAGCTCCTTGAGACACCTGGAAACACGGATCTTGTCAAAATACTGCTTGTAATAGACAAGCAACATGGCAGCAAGTTGAGTTTGTTTTAAATCATGTGTTTCAGCACTTCATCCAGCCTTAAAACTACAGATTCACTTCATCACACATTTACCTTATGTATGAGCTGCCTTGGCTGCCACTTGTTTTTTTACTTGTATAATAAGTATTTATGATCAAAACCTTACTTGCATTATTGATTAACAGTGGAAAAAAAAGATAGTCATTGTAAAATATGACCAAAACAGTCAGAAATCTTGACTCATTCAATGACATCAAATGAAAGTTGAAGGTTTTCAGATACATACTATTACAGCTATGTGATACCTCTTTCTTAAAACATGGACATTTATACATTAACAAAAGTATAATCAGATACTTTTAAGATTCTATTATTATAATAATATGTTTTTATGTAGCAATAATAGAAAACTTTAGAAGAAAGTCTGTAAACTTCAACTATCTGGCCTACACAGGCATGAGACACTCAAAGTTAGATTTCATCATCCATGGGTAAAAAGTTCTTGGTGTGATGTCTTGTCTTGTGTAACTTTGATGCAGTAATGACCATAACAAGTTCACCGTCTGTATTCCTGTGTGACAAAACAAACTCCAGTGAAACCAATTTAAGCTGCTGTTTAATGGCTTCATTAATTATGCAAAGACTTCTCTGTTGGTGCAAAACATCTGAAGAGTTGGTTAACACTTCATCACTGTTTGAAAACTTTGGATAAAACTAAAAGGTTTGATGTGAGATTTTCCTCAATATTTTGTATAAAGTAGGATTTATCTTTCAAAACGTGCAAAATCTAAGTCTTCTTACCTCGTCACTACAATAAGGGATGCAAGAAGAGAAGAGGAAGAAAATAGGAAAGTACAAGTTGCTAGATAGACAACAGGGAAAGTAGAGCCTCTGTGGGCCTTTTTGGGCCAGAGCTGACCCTTACTGGACTCAGGCTGTATGCTCCCTTATTCGCCCACTCCATTAAGGGATACAGGGAAGTGAGAGATAACAACAGAAAAGTAAAAGGTGCAAGAAAGAGAACAGGGAAAGCAGAGCCAGAAGAAGAAGCCAGTTTAGGCCTGAGCTCACCCTTCAAGGTCAGTTTGAACACATCGACCTCCCCCTACTCCCCCATGCAAGGAGAGAACAGAGAGGAAACAGAAAGAGTCAGGGATATTCAAAAGAGGACAGGGAAAGCAAAGCCAGGGCCGAAGCTTGGTTGGGTCAGAGATCAGCTCTGCCATGTTGGGCTGTATCCACGAGCTCTGCTTACTCCACCACTGCAACCTGAGATGAGAGAAGAGCAGAAAGACAGATAAAAAAGAGGTAAACATTTCCTCAATTCTCCCAGTCATTTGAAAGTTACAGTGAACCCTCTTCATCATACTTCTACTGGACCAACACTTACTTAAAATTCTTGCTGTTCAGCTTCTTCTGCCAATCATACACATTTAACATTGGTGCAGGTATATTCCTGACTCTGACCTTTAAGGCCATGATTTGACCTATGGTGACATGTCTCTAGTCGTGTAACCACACATCTCTATGTATGATTGTAATTGTTGGTCTCTGTCCATCTCTCTCTTTTCTCCTTCTCCCTCTATCTCCTCTCTAAACCCACTGCAGTAGGAGCAGATGACTGTCATACATGGGTCTGGTTCTGCTCATAGCTTAACCCATCATCACATTGGGTCTGTGTAAATATCATGAAGAGAAGCGTGGAGACCAGCTCTTCTTGTTAAGCTTCATGAGATAATATTTGTATTAAATTGGTGTGATATCAGATAAAGATAAATTCATTGATTTATTGATTGATCTCAGTAGCAGGTGAATCAAATTGCAATGAAATACAGTATGAATATTCATATTGTCCAAACACAAAGCCTTGAGCCTGTAGAGCTGAAAAAGTGGAAAACTCTCAGTGTCACGTGTGTTGTGTGCCACTGGGATAATGATGTCTTGTTTACTTCAGGATACAGCCTGTACAGGGAGGGACCACTGAGGGTGACAGACAGTGAGCAGGAATGACAACAGTGCTTTAAGAGAGGTTAAATTTGCTGTTACTTTGCCTGTATCCTGGTCACTTATGTGAAGTCATCTGTGGACAGCACTTGCTGACTTTATGACTTTATGTAAATGATTATTTCAGAATGAATGCAGGTTTGCCTTTAACTTTTTCTCTTTCAAAATCATTATCACAGTTTGTCATTTGTCACTGATTTAACAGCTACCTGCTGAGGAGAGTGATGGCAAATAACACTTTGCTGGATGGTGCTGGGTTCTCTCTGCAGCTAATATTTACAGACCGTTATGTTATCATTGTGCAGATTGTGGTTGTCATTTTTCTCTGCATTAACACTTTCTTAATTGTAACATTTTTCCAGAGGGAGTGCTTTAACACAACTGCACGCTACATCTTATTTGCTGTTACCTTACACACAGATAGTCTGATTTTAATCATCAGTGATTTCCTGCTTGTCTTGTTATTTTTTAGAGTCATATTGCCAACATGGGTTTGTTTGATCATCCTTTCTATGATACTTCAGTGGGTTGTTGTCACACCACTTACTTTGACAGCAATGGTCCTGGAGCGTTATGTGGCCATCTGCATGCCCCTGCGTCATGAAGAGCTCTGCTCCATGCGCAGAACTCTGTGCTGCATCTTCATCATACAGGGCCTCAGCACAGTTCCCTGCTTGATTGTTTTCTTTCTCGTCTTTTCCTCGACACCCG